GAACATTAGTCACAGGCTAAGAATTTGGAAGAAATTTCGCCTAAATGGCAATTTTTAAGACTTTCCGATCACAGAGAGTCATTTATAAAATTAGCAGGTGAGAAGTGGCATTAAAGATACTACTTGCCATTCATTACATGTTTACCAAAAACTTCGTCCCAAATTCAAGAAGCATTTTCCCACTAGCCATGAGTCAATAGAGCGACAGAGAAGTCAAGCGATCAACAATTACCTAATACGAACTCCACACGGCTACAAAAAAGTGCGCAAAGAATGCGAAATGAGATAGGAAAGTGGCGATAGATCGCTTTATTTTGCATATAAACTCTCTTCCTTCACTCGTAGGTGTAAATTTCCAAGTCGGAGTGGGCGTGAGCTCTTCCTCCAGGTCCAGCGATGGCCACAGCTTCGGGGTGAAAGATGAGCGTGGCTCGCGTGTTGGGTGGGATAACAGCTCTGGCCAGTGGAGTGGCAATTGCAGTGCCTCTCTCGCCGGCAACTGCTCTGGCCGATGGAGCCAAAAGAAGTGTGGACTCCGCTTGAGGAACAGCGGATCTTCCCTTGTGAGCAGGAGTCTTGAAAATGTACTTCAGAGGAGCCTGAAATATCTTTTCAATGACGAATCTCGAGCTGTGCTCTTGGGAATTCTTCGGTTGTTTCTGGATCAGCTTTTCAGGCTTCGCAGGAGCATAAGTCGGGGGTGGTTTTGTCGTTGGTTCAGTCTCACGAAAGCCCGTGCTTGGCGGTTCATTGTGAGACAAGGGCACGTCATTGGTGGTGTAATAGACAGGGAGTTGCACGATGGGGATTGAGAGAAGCCTCGGCAAATAGGGCCAATTTGGGGTGAATCTCCATCTAAATCAGAGGGGATTTCAAAGTCACTCTCAAGTTAAGGTCCGTAAAGTGTCAAGAAAACTATTCAACCCGATAAAAGTCAGGCAATCAGTCATGCAGTTAATAAATTAGTGACAGGAGTGTCTCCTGAAGATCTTTTATTGGATGTGTGTCTGTGAAGTATTTTTTGGCAAGAGTCCTTGTGACAGTGTTCAATGCTCCTTTATCTTCCCGGATTGTAATAAACTATCGGACCTGTTGCCACGATTTCAGTGGGAAAGGAAAAGTCCCTGGACGACGCTGTGGCATTTAGAGACACTTGTTCCAGATCCGTGGTCTCTGGAACTGAATAGATTTTCGCTCCAGGTCCTGCAATTGTCAGTCCTCGAGGATGAGTGAAGGCAATGCCACCTGGAAGATGATTTCACGTTAGCAAATTCCTTGATTAAAGAGAAGAGTCAAGATATTATTACCTGGTCCCACGATTGCTGTTCCTCCACTTCCTGCCGTGGCCACTCCTCCTGGTCCCGCGATGGCAATTCCTCCCTTCCTCACTTTGAGTCTCTGGATGATGATTCCACCTCCACTGTCCTTCAATTGCTCACTGGCAGGCCGAAAGAGAGCCCCGAAAGGCGATTTTTGATCCTCTGGATTGATCACATCAGTTGGCTTCTTTGTTGGTGGTTTCTTCGTCGTGGTTTTGGGCTTATTAGTCGGTTTGGTGGGTTGTTTATGTGTAATTGGCTTGGGCTTCTTTGTCGTGATCAGAGGAAACTTCCCTTCCTTATCCAAACTCTCTTCCTTCTCGAGATCTCTCTTGCTCGGCGCCACGAGAATATTCTTGTACAAATCATTAATGTATTCATCATTGTCCAAGCGCAAAGTTGATGAGTCCTCTTCATCGTCATCATCATCCACCATTTCATCAATAAAGACATCGAAAAGGCTGTTCTTTTTCAGCATTGGAGGCGCTTCAGTCCTCTCATTTTCCGCTTTCTTATTCTTTGAGGACTTCTTATTCCACTTCTTGGACAATCTTGCTGTTCGCGCGGAAAAGTGCGGAAATATCTTGCGAGAATCAGTCTTGATCGCCACGAGAGAGGGATTAAGTGGGATCAGCAGGAATTTTCTTCCTTCAGTCTTTCCTTGTCTCGACTCTTTCTTATACCTAATCCTCTGACTTTGGACCTCTTCTGGCTGTCGTTCACTGATCCGCCCGACAATAAAGGTAAATTTCCCAATCTTTCCCATCCCAGGGGGATGAAATGGCGTTTTGGGAAAGAACAGGGCATCAGCCAATCGTTGTGCTTCTGACACAGTCTCTTTTCTGGGCAGATTCTTCTTCTTATAGCCCAGAGATTCATTTATCCGATCAATCTCTTTCAAAATCCTCCTAGTTTCATCAATTTTTGCCGTAGAATTCATGGCGGTTATGTTGTAATTTCTCGATATATCCACCACATGGTGCTTTTCCACCCTAAAAACACCACAAATAACTTTAATATTTGATCACCACAGAAACCACTTTGTAAAACTATCAATAAAATCATCCATTTATACAGTAAATATAAAAATCCATCAAACTAAACATACCTTGTTTTACTAAATCTATTATTTCATTGTTATCTTCAATCCAGGTGTAAAACTATTCACAATATTCATAAACTTTATCGCCACAAAATATCCCGCAAACAATTTTTTTTCTGTCTGTACCAAATAATAATAAATCTGCAATATATTTACAAGAATTACAATTTATATCTAAAAAAAAATGTGTGTTGATCGTGTCTTTTGGAGTGTGTTAGTGTGAATGTGAAGCACTATAAACCAGCAAAAAAGTAGTTCATTAGCCCAAAAGCATTGAATTACAAGAAAAAAAGTGCCATAATGTCTTAACGATCATTTGTCTTTCCAGATGATCGTCCATTCAACTTACTCAACATTGCCGGGTCTGGCGAATATTTGGCCCAAAACCACCGTGAAGATTGCTATCTGGAATAAAGAGGAAGAAAAGAGGGTGATCTTCACTGATCTCCAAGTGATCATGAGTAGTACAAAAATGCAAACGAGTTCAATGATCGCGAAGATATTCTCATGTCTGATCCGTAGATTCTACTTTTTTATCACGTATGATGCGAGTTAAAATGAAAAGTAAAAACCGATCGCGAGTAGAGAAGATCTCTCAACTCCTCTTCCCCATCAATCGCAATTGTATCTCATTGGGCTGTTTGAGGATTTAATTGCACAAGTGAACCTCTTCATTACCTCCAGACACGATCGTCACTTCTGTGGAAGTGATCACAGGGGAAAAGTGTATCTGATCACACTTTTCTGGGTCGTTTCTCTCCTCAAGATTTACCCAGAAAAATTTGAATTTGGCTGACGATCAACTGATTAAAGTCGCTTTACGTGTTTTTATTCCATCCAGGCGTGAGAAGAAGTAAGAGTTGATCTCGTGGCCCCGATACACCAAAAAAGTCTCTCAATATTTAAGAGGTTTTAAGCAAAAATTCCGGCACAATGTCGTCTCTCATGTTGATCATCAAATAAATCTCTAAAGTGTACACAAATGCTCATTAAAGGCGTCAAATGCAGACTTGTGCTCCATTCGATCGCACACGATCATAGCACACTCTAATGTCTTTTCGTGTACCGATATTTGCATAACTGTAATCAGCACTTAGCAATTGAATTCCTCAATTTAACAGCCTTTGGCTCTTGGCAGTGATCTTTGCCGTGAAAGATCACTGTGAAGATCACTTACCACAAGAAATAACTTCATCTTTTGTCACTTTTCTGTTCGGCTAAAGACACAAGATCACTTGGAGATCACTCACGCTCACTTAGGATAACTTTCTGCTAAAATTACTCTTGATTAATGGTGTGTTGGTACAAGAGTGTTAACACCTCATTCCTCTGCGGCACTGCCTCGCCAACTGATGTCTTCTTCGGCGCGGGAAGAGATCACTGATCGTGTCAACAGTGTGTAATGAACTGTGCGATCTTTTGCCCAGGCAATCTGGTTTTAAGAGACCCTGACATTGTGAAAGACACTTGGTGGGGCTGACGACTCGCGGCCGAAGAATGAAAACGGTACATTTTTCGCCTCACGATTTTCAATTTTTGTTCCTCTTCTTCGCCAACACCTTCATTGCCAAAACAGTAACGCTGACTTAATTGGCCACCACACGATCACACACCCCTCGCAGATCACTGACTTTTTGGCCAAAACACACACAATCTCTGGACGAAGATCGTCGGATTTTCGCAATTTTCCACCTGCGATCACTTAAGATCACTTTTACGCCCAAAAATTTGCCATTCACATCTTGATTTACTGAGTAATCCCACGAGAAGTCAACGTAAACCCGTTATGTTGCAGCAGAGTAATTACGAAAAAAATTTCAGAGGTATTTTACATGCGAAAAAAATACATTTGATTGACGATGGAGACGCCGTGATGTGAATTAATCGCAAATTGATCATTTTAGGCATGTTTGCGTTTTATGTGAAACACTTTTGTGGTATTTTTTCTCCACAATTTGCTGAAAAACTAGCAATTATCTAATAAACATAAAATATTGTAAAGCATGAGTAATAATTGTGTCATCCAAATGTATAGAGAATTGTTAGACTTTCACTCTCTCGCTGAGTAGAGGAGCAAGAAAAAATTAGACGCAATTCCAATAATAGTAATAATGTGCGGAGGTGTGAAGAATGTTGATTTTTTGTTAATATGACAGATATTTCGTGGAATTATGCACTTAATCACCAATTTATAATCCCTTTCTGGGTTGCTTCTGGCTCTGGGAAGGTCGGACGGAGAACTTGAGAAAACAGTCTTCCGTGTGTCGTTGAACTTGACCATAGAAAATTCATAAGTTTTTGCTGAGAGATCTTGGCACGATCACGGAGCGATCGGATGAAAAAGATCATAAATCCAATTGTCTACTTCACACTTGGTTGCAAAAACTCTCAGTTTCACCACATTTTCACAGGGTTTTCATTCTCTTACCATCGCTTTTTTATTGCTCACATGGCGAAGATCAGTGATCTGTATTCATCAACGCATAGGAATTAGGCTGACGATCACTCTCGCCATGGACACTCGAGATCATCACTGACAAGATACACTAAAAAGTAGAATAAGTACCATAAGTGCAGTTATTAAATTAAAATTTATTCATTAGACAATATTAAATGATAAATTCTTTACAAAAACGTGTGGCATACCCTAAATAGAGATATTGGGCAAATTACTGTATAAAGCAAATGGTATTTATACACTATGTTGGGCAATGTATCATCACTGATCTGGATCTTCGGCCCCACTCACGGCCTGCGGATCCACTCAGTGAGCTACAGAGTATTGCGCGATGATATAGTCTCTAATCACAGATTTCGCTGTTCATCGAGTAGGAGCGCCTCTCCGGGAGATGGTGGTCTGCCGCCCTCGGGCACCAAGTCAATGTTCTGCACGTGCGCCCTGATGGCGATCCCAGAGGGCAGTGGCGGACGCTCGCGATCGTAGTTGGGATCTGGACCGCCGCCAAAACCGTCTTCATCCCCCAAATCCGATCCAGTGGCGTCGATTATGTTGGGCGTCACGGGCACATCTGTGTAGTCCAACTCTTCCGAGCTGCGTCGAGCAGGTGTTGTGCCGCGTCCGCGTGGTCGATAGGGTCTGGACGATGGCGGTGGCACAATGGCATTGGGATCTCTGCCCTGTGGCACATTGTCGTAGGAATTGTCGTTGCCGTCGAAGAAGGCTGGACCATCATCACCCAGATCACCACCATAACTGCCAGGAGTCGGTCGAGGAGTGCTGCTGAACTCCTTCCGATTGGGCCTCGGACTCACTGGACCGCGACTGGATGAGGTCAGGAAAACGCCGTCGTCATTGAAGTGCGGAGTGTCTCTGCCCAAGTCATTCGATTCCGGCGAGAGAACACCCAATTCGGGAATGGCTGGCCGAGGAAGATTGTGAGTTCCGGGACCTGTAGTGCTCTGGATGATCTTGTATCCTATTCCAGCGCCTGCGATGTACTGAACAGTCCTCTGAACACCTTTGTCATCGAGATAAGAGTAAGAACCACGAACGATTCCGTCAGGTCCAGTGCTTTCGGACCTTCTCTGATCAGGTCCGGAGGAGATAAAGCTAGAAAGTTCATAGCAGATGATCAGATCATGTCAGTACATTAAGGATAGTAGGAGTCCTTACTTGTACTGTCCTCCTGGTCCTCGCTGAATGGCAATCCTTCCCCTTGTTCTCTTGTTAGGTGACTTGTAGAGCGGTGAGCTGTACTTGACGAAGTTTGGCGCGTCCGGATAGGAGTTGATGATGTTGTATCCTTCGTCCGTGCCCGCGGCATAGCGCACCAGATGCTTCTCCCCAACGTCATCAACATAGGAGTACAAGCCCTTGACCCTTCCGGCGGGATCTGCGTCCTCTTGGCGCGTGTACGTGGGCGTCTTAAAACCGAAGCCGTAGCTGGGATCGTCGAAGGGATCCGCCAGTGGATCGTCGGGGCTCCCAATGGGCCCCCGACGGATCTGCGAGAGGTCCATTTTCCTCGCAATCGACGGTCCACGTGCCCGGAATCTGTGTGTCGAGATTGATGAAAACAATTGCATGTGAGATTTAATTGTTGGCCAATTAAAAGTGATCATGAATATGGATGTTGAATGGGGCAAAGTGGGTCTTCACCGTGAAGGCAACCCAGGGAGAGAGAGAGAGACTTTTCACTGAGGCGGAACAGCGCGCCAAATGGAAATGTTCTGCGTGAAGACACCCAAAAGTGATCCACTTGGCAAATGAAAGGGAATCTTTGAGTGTTACGTGATGAAATTACACTCACCCACGAGGACCAGCGGTGTAAACTGTCTCCTCAATTCGCTTCGAAGTGGGATTCCTGGAACCGAAGCGTCCTCGGATGATCGTCTTAGGATTGCCACTTGCCATGTGATAATGGCCACCGTTATCTTCGGTGTTCAAACTGATCAGGAGAAAGTATGAGAAAGTAAGATTGTTTGTTCTCTGTTGCGAAAGAATCATTGCTGATTTGTTACCCAAATGAAAAGGATCCGTCAGGATTCACATTGTTAAAATCCGATGCAGCATCTGGGAAAACACCGGAGATTTTGCACAAAATCACCAGAAAGATCACTAAAAGTCCTCTCATCTTGTGGCAAATTTATCAACACTTTAATCCTCTCGCAGATGTCATCCAATAATCCTAAAGCACAAGAACACAATCACTATTTTACTCCGACTACCTCGAATGCTAAGATACAAGTGACTACCTCTAGTCTCACGGAGGAGTCTTTAAATATGATGAATCCCTCTTCTCGCGAGCTTTTCGCGGAGTTCTTGAAAGTCTGAGTAGGAAAACGAGCAGAAATGTGTGAGAGTGACTGGGGAAACACCATGAATTGTACAATTTATCTTTTCCACCTCTCCCTCCCACTCTGGCAATATCAGAATGCTTCTGTTTGAAAGAGGCTGTAAAAGAATTTTTATGGTATACTTTTGATGTTGAAGGTGGAAAAGTTTTACAAGACATTCTTCAAAAAATTTTGATCATCTCTTACAATGACTGACCTTCCCTTCATTGGGTGTTTTGTGATGATCTTCTTGTGATTTCATCGTGTCCACGAAGAAATATCACTCTTCGCGCATGCCAAGCATTTCGCAAAAATATGCTCACACATCCTCAGGACCACATCATATCGATTTCCCATCATTCCACATGGCTGAGGAGTTCGTGTCATCTCATTTGCATACACGGACTGAGTATTGCCGAATTTCCCTTGGCGAATCGCATACATTGGGGGCCCTTATCTGCGCCTGAAATCATCTGGTTTTGATTGTTATGAAAGCCACACTTTGGGAGGAAGCCGCGCCGAGATGAATGATGTTGCTATTGTGAAACATTTTCCAACTTGTGTTGCTCCGCGTGCAATTTCTTCTGCACTTCAGCTGGTATTGATTTATGGAGTCGATGAAATGTTCAGGAAAACATTTTCGGGCATCGGCCAGGGTCAGAAGCCCCAGAAGACATCCACCATAGGACAGCCAAATTAGCAACGATAATTACCAAAGGCAGTCACCCGAAAGTTTGCTGACTTACGAAATCATCATACAATGCGCCAATCTCTCAACTTCCTTGTCACAACTACCGAAGAAGTTCACTCTTATGCGATAACAATGGACACGAGAGACAACACGGCAAGGATGTCCGAGCCAATCTCCCATATAAATCTGGATGTAAACATGCCGCTAATCCACGCAGTGATTCTCTCTGCTGGCTTTTGTGCTCAATCTCGCCGAGATGACAATGAAAAGTTCTCCTCCGCGTTTGGCGCGCGCGCGCGCGAGAGAGAATAATCTTCACCTCAATAGCATTAATTGCCCATCTCTGGGAGATTCCTCAGCAGCAGATAAAGCATCCCCGGTGACGAAACGGAAGCTGGAGTCGTAGCTTATGGGATGTCTTATGGATTCAGACCAGCGACGCACTCAAGCATTGTTTTTCCCATCGTGCCTGTACAAAGTGGAATAATTAGAGATTTTTCATATTTCTTTCAAAATACCCAACATAAATTACACCCAAGCTTGGAACGATAGACAGTCTCGGCAGCGCAAGTCAAGGTCCATCCGACTTTGGGCTTGGACGCTGTGTGAAATTTATCACACAGTCCAGGAAAAGTCTGCAAACTTTATTAAATGAAAAGAAAAAAAATTGCTTCACGTTTCATTTCACATTGCAAGAATGCGTTCTTGTGCAAGAGTGTTAGCAAGTTGGATGAACGTGTTGGAATCAGTAACAAGAAACTGAACAAGCAATTGCGCATGTCAATCAGAGTTTCAACTAATGAAAGTACAAATGATATCTAACAAAGTTTCGCCCACAGTTTTGCCAAATTACTATCATCAAAAATTGGTGCGAGAGAACAAATGTTTTCTTTAAGAAAACACGCGGTCTAACTTCTCTATATTTTGTAGAAATTACTGCCGTTGGCGTATTTAGGAACTCTGATTACTTACTATTCGCAGACAATTTATTCAAAGTAATTTCCATTTTTCCAATGTTTCACGCGTTTCACTTGAAAGTTTCTCGCCAAATGCCATCCATTGCGCTTCGCGCCGTCCATCATCGTAAACAGTCAGCGTATTTGCCGAGCATAATAGGTAATTTTGTATTAAAAATGGAACAAATTTGAATACACTTGAGGTTGGCTGATACATTCATCAAAACTTTGATGTGTTTTGTGTACACTTTACACCTTTTCCAACACTCTCAAACTCCCACCAACGGCTTCGCATTAAAAATAATAATAATAAAGATTCCGTGTGAATGATTTCGATTGTGAATGAATTTCTCACTGCAGAATTGATTGAACTTGCATTTGTCGGAGATTAATGAATGACACTGAAGATCATAAAGCGCACCACATCAGCGGAAATTGCCGCAGCATTCTCTTGGCGGAAATCTTGTGGAAAATGTCGTCGTTTCCTAATTGTGTCTCCAAGGAAGGGGAAACGCTCAAATTTGTCGTTTATTGTGCAATAAAAATTAAGAGAATCTCATTAGATGGACTTTAGCGTGGCACTGGAGCATTTGAAGTGTTCATTTGTGCCATTTTGCAATGGATTTATGGTGAGAAAACATTTGGAGTCTCTTTGAATTCCACCTGGGAAAGTTACCTAAATTCAAGTTTAACGGGTTAAGGGCGCCTTTCCATGCAGTAAAGCAATTTGACATGATATCAACTGCATAAAAATACACACAGATATTCTTGTATTTCATCTTCTGGGAATCATTAAGGCAAAAATTCAACAAACGCCAACATTTTTTCCCGTTCAAAAAATATGACAACAAAGAGGATGAATATTTTTCTCTTAAAATTGCCGTCAATTATTTCCACAATGAGTCGTAAGAATCAGAATTTAAATAAGAATTATCAGAATACGATGTTCTTTGTCTCCTTCTGGCCTCATTTTTCCTTTGTTTGGCGATTCTTTGAATCATCTTGAAAGCTCCACAAAGAAGTGTGCAAAGTTTTTACTAGATGGTCATCTTGATTATTTTGGGTCAAATGCGTGATATTTATTTGGACATTCACACAAACATTGAGATCATTTGATTCATTAGAAAGGAACTTTATCGCGCTGATGTGGAAAAACTTTACAACACAATTAGGCGCATCTTCGGATCGTATGGAGGTCAGAAAAATCAGAACAGCGCAGAATCTATGCAAAGATGATGGAATAAAAAATAGAATCTTGATAATTTCGCACAGAATCTATCTGATTATGGCTTTACTGAATTTAATACATCATTACTTTCTCAATTAAATCATTAAATCGATCCATTCATTTCCATATACTCTCCTATTAATTGCATTCATAAATACTGAGTGGATTCACGTGCCAAGAAATCTTCTGACACCGCAGAACTTCTTCAAAGCAAATAGAAAAGTGTTGAGCGAGAAAAAATTTGGCGTGACAAAGTCTAAAGAAGGCTGGCAATGAAGTGAGATGTTATCTGGACAATAAGAGCCTCATAAATTCCTTCCGATTGCAGTCATAAATATGTATTCAGATAGTGAAGCTCTTGAGAGAAAAGCGTGGATGGTTGAATAAATGCCGTAGGAATTAGTCAAAATAACAAAGAAGCGTCGTAAAATGTTATCTCAATTACTTAATTTACGAGTGCGAAAAAAACCATCGCAAGCCGAAGATGGCTTTTCAGCAAAACGCCTCTGTAGAGTTGGTAAAATACCAGAACTGTGGTGAATTTATTAACACCTCTTCGTGGGTTAGAACTGTAGCAATTAGTGGTGATATAAATTATATATTTTGGATTCTTGGAATATTTAACTGTCTGTTACGCAGATGCAGTCTTTTTTTAGCATAGGAATTCCGCACATCAAATCATGTGTGAAACGGCGAATAAAAACATTTCAGTTCATGTTTGAATTGTTTGAATTATACTTTTTATTGTCAGAATTAATATATTTTAGCAACAATGTATCAGAAACATTACAGCGAAATGTAATACTGGATGTTTGAGATCTCTTACCTAATCTTTCATTTTCCCTAGGAAAATCGAACATTTTCCGCCAAATCCACGGCATGCTTGACGTCTTGGGTTGAAGAGCAGTTGGTCAGCTTTGGAGATTAGAGAAAATCATTGGCAGGGAGCTGATGATCGCTGCAGTACTCTGTAATCTTGTCGTGCAGGCAGTCGAATACGTCGAAGGCGACATCGCAACTTTCACGATCAACTGGAATATCGGGCAGAGTGAGAAAATATTGCGCACATGATCGAGAGACGCTCTCACCGGCGTTGCTCGGGACGCTGTTGGCGTACTTGTGGGCCACGCCAGTGATGCACTGCTCGGCGGCGCGCAGGACCGCCATGAAGTACTCGTGATCATCGACGCCGTCCGTGTAGATCTGCACGAGGCCGTACAGAGTGGGATAGCCGAAGTAGTTGAGCGCCTTGTTGCGCTTGTAGAAGCACCGGAGGAGACATCCGGCCAGGCGCCGCTCCACGGGAGTCACTGTGTTGGGATGTTGAAACTCCTCGGCGTCTCGCTTTGATCGTCTGAGGGTGTCCAAGCGTTGAATCGATTGCGCGGCAAGGTCGAGCTGTGGCTGGACGCTGAAGAGCTGCAGATTTTCGCGCGCGAACTCATAACTCACCTCCTCTTTGCACTCGCCCAGTACCGCCTCAATCCTCTTGTCCACACTGGGCAGTCGCCGGCACTTGATGGCCTTCTTCAGGAAGTGGATGAAGAAGCCATCCGCCGTGGACACGAGCACGAGGATCACCAAACTAAGTCGCATTTTCACGCTCAATGCGCGTCACTCTGCACTCGGCGGACTCTTTTATAGCTCAATAGAGCCACAATAGCAGATTGCAGTGAGGAGGAAAGTGGATGGACAATTTCCAGTCTTGCAATTTTAGCACTTGCCATCGAGACTTTCTCTGTCGCGCGCAATTAATTAATTGTCTCATTGGGACACACACTATGTGTGCAGAGATCCAAGATCAAGAGCAATTGCATCACAGCAAAAAAAAACGCACGTGGCGATCCAAAGAAAAACACAAGTGTAAAGTTTTTGATGTTGATGTTCTTTATTTTGCGTCTTAAATTGAAATATCAATTAGAAATAAATAAATGATGAATCTTCCTCCTAAAATAATAACACTAATAAATCCGATTGAGTCAAGTGTAGAACATTCTTTTTTTTTCAACGTCAAGATTCCCAAAAATACATTTAAAAGGGGTTCACAAATTGGTGCGCGTCACGAGAGAAATCATGCACATCAGTAACATCATTTCATAAGTTATTTTTCTTTACTTTTATATATATTATCTCAGTTATCATTAAAGAGGTGAAGAAGGTGCAATTTTTGTTTTCTCTACAAACATTAAAGAATCATTTGTGGTAATATCACGCTTTTAAGCACTTTGTAGTAACATTCCTCTGAGTGGTAGTTTGTCCTCTATAACTTCTACTTGTTAGTTTATAAAGTGTCTTAAAAGCAATCATTTATAATCATCTTTCATTTCCTTTTATCTCTTCTTCTTTTTTTTTTGGTTAACAGATGCGAAAGTTTCTTCAATACTGACATTTTTTCTTTCTTCTTCCTCTTTGTATTCCATGCGGATTCCATTCAGTCCACCTGAAAAATTCCACTGTCTCTCTAGCACCCATTCAACAAAACACTCTCTGCAATGGTTCTCTTGCCCTCTCTCAGTGAATTTCCACCCCCAACCGCCCTCTCTCTCACCTGTATCACTTGAATAAATATATAGTCAAAAAGATTTCTTCTTTTCCTTTCCTCATCCTTGTATAGAATTCTGGCCACATCAAAAGGCAAAAAGAAAATAAATCTACGAATTCATAACATTTTTTCCTACATTTCTTTTTTTTTCTTAGTTCATATCATAATTTTATCTCTTTTTTTTATGTTTGCATCAATCTAAAGAAAATTACACATCGAACAAAACTAAAGACATCACACATCCTAAATATTCGTAATTCGATAGTTTGTTCTCATCAGCAGCGATTTCTACATATTTTCTTCATATCAAGATTTCTTCTTTCATTGTTGATTGTTTTTTTTTAAGATAAACAGAAAGAAAATATTTCTCAATACATGATAATAAAATAAATTACTTTTAAAATTCCTCATCATCATCATCTGTGTTATATGACAAAATACAGTGTTTCTCTCTTCTTCATTTTATCTATCAGGTTTGATTTATATCTGGTATTCAATTGAAATAAATTAATAATTTTCCTTAAGACATCAAATTTCTCCTTTCTCTCGCCACTTAAAGCGCCATCGCGTCCTCCAGGAAGTGAGCCAACTCCTTGTTGTGCTGTGCCTTCGATCCAGTGGCCGTTGAAGCAGCAGTTGGACGACCGCAGTAGCTAAATTCCGATAGGAAATCGGGCAAGAAAGAAAACAATGTTATTTTTGTACACCATAAAAACGCCACATTATCAAACTGTCGTCTCTTCTTTTCCAACTTATATAACTCTCAATTTATATTTAGGCGGTAATAGAGAAAAAAAAAACATATCGCTGAAATTTGGACAAGGATCCATAAACACGTTATTTTTTGAGTTATCAACATGCACATAACAAAGACTCTAAAATAATAAACACAGTGTTATCTTGAGAACATTTCTCTCTAATCGGCAAAAGGAAGAGTGTTTTAGAGACGAAAAGCCAACATAAATATAAATGAAATGGTATTTTATATAATGAAGTATGGACTGAAAAATGTATAATTTCTGCATGAAAAGCTATGAAAATGCTCAGCTGGAGGATTGTTAGTTTGCTACTGGCCAATTAAATGAGAACTGCGCGTTGTAACTAGCAAATAAGAATAGTTGTGATGGAATTATTGAGTGTTTTCAGATGTCAAGCAATGAATTTTGCGTAAAATCACTGTAAAAAATTAGCCAACATTCTGAAAACCCCCCAATAAATCCATCACAGAAATTAGAATGAAGAGTGGAAATTAATTCATATTTTTGTATTGACTTGAGAAAATCATATCTAAACTCATACAAGAAGCTCTGCAAAGAAAATTTCGGTGAGATTGCAAAGGGCGCAAAATAAGTGATGTACCAATCCTTAATGAGTTTAAATCAAAGAAAAGGAATATCAATGAGTGATTTGTTCATGAACAAAAAAGAATCTATGAATGACAAATTACAGAAAAATCATGGCAAAATTTTAAGCAATTTTTGTATCTTTTCAAATTTTTTTTTGTAATTTTCAAAGAGGCATCATTGTGTAGAATTGGTACATCCAAATTTCTAGAGTTATTTTGTGATATTCTTGCTTGTGGTTTCGGCTTATCTTTCATATCTACAACAAATTTAGTAATAAAGAAAGTAGAGTGAATTGTAGAGAAAATGTGTGATTTTTTTTTAGATATAGTTAAGCTTTTCTTCAGTACATCAGTGTTCTTCTTCTGAGACATGCCAATTTTATATAGTGTCTCACATTCTGTGTTAAAAACAATCACAGATCATTGATTATTATTAATATTATTTTGTTATCAAAATCACCTTTCCAGTGACATTCAAATTACTTTTATCCAAAGTATATTCAAAATCTTTGCAAATCTAGTCCTGCAACTTGTTAAAAAATAATAAAATATAGTCCAAAAATTAATATTGACATATTTTTTAAAAATAAAAAGATAAAACAAAGACTTCCATTTCTTAAAAAACTTAATTCATCCTTTTCACAATTAACCATTAATGTGTTTTTTTCAGCCTCTATATGTATTCTTACATAAATTATAAGAAAAAAAATGCATAATAAAAGGACAATCATTTCCCGTCCCCCTCACCTAATCGTTCTCGTCGTCGTTTTATATGATTTTTTCACTTTGGCCGCATATCCGTCAGACGGCCTATTAAAATCACTATGCGTTGGTGAAAAGTCGGTATTAATATTCGCATGCTTTTTCGGGCTCTGCGGCCCAAAAATACGACCCAACCATGTACCATCATTTGATTGGTCAGTAGTAGCAGACGATGATGAAGCGGAAGCACTGGACGCAGCAGCATCTGGAGTAATCTCTCGGTTTCCTACCTCATGACTACTGCAATTTTACAAATTAGTCTTTTTGTGTGTGGTTTCTTCATATGATAAACAATTAAACCCTATTCAATACCATTCATTCAATAAAGCCCAATCAAATTACTAAGAAAACCAGTTAAGAATTGCTTATTTCTGATAAAAAAAGGGGTTTTTCTTTTCTTTTCTCGACAAAAAAAATCAATTAAAATAGAGAGAAAGAAATTAGGAGATAAAATGAAATGTGAAATATGTGATAAAAGGGATGAAGAATGATTCAAAATATGATTTTGACCTCTGAGAAAATCAACGAGGATAATAATAAAGAGCTGTAATAATATATATATACTTTGTAATTGTGACGCTACTACTTTAAAGGAAAAGATTTACTGATAATTGTGCAATAAATTGTCCACAAGTTAAAACACCTAGAAAACCAACAATTATTAGACGATCATTGTATTAATAACTGAGGATCAAACAAGATTTTTTTTTTTACATTTGATACTTTTCAAAATAAAATAAATCCGAAATAAGGCTAGAATCAACTTTAACTGCATTTTTAGTTAACCTCTCCCCTTGTTTGCAAGAAATACCTAGAGAAATTTGGAGTTATTAGTGAGAAAACACATGCAAATAGGCGGAGCATTTAAGTGGGCGGAGCTTCTGAACATTTTCCAATCTTCTACTCTCTACTTCAATGTATTTATAGGTTTAAGTTTTCAATTGTCGAAGACTTTCTTAGGGAATCCTGCCTTAGTTTCCAGCATAAGGGGGGAGAAGCTAACTTGAAATGTTGTTAAAGTAAAAAGCCCAGAAAAAAGAGTGAGGACAATCCAAACGAGCATCAAAATCTTGTGTATATCGAAACGTAAAATTTTGACACCCTCACGCCAAATTTTCAGAGGGTATTTTCAACCAATATTTTGCGCCAAACAGAATTCATAGGAGAAAAAACTCTTTCAGACTCTAAAATGCATGCTTTTGCTCAATTTGGACACAGAAAAAAAAATAAGAGGGAAATTGAGTAGTCAGAAAAAAACCAAAGAAAATAAAGGGGAAATATAAGACTTACGCATAAAATGTGAGAAGATTACAATTTCTTTGCCACGAGACAAAGAAAATGTGAAGAGAAAACCCTAGGGGATTTCCAAGTAATTACCTGACTTCACGTGCTGCATTGAGAGCCGTGTGGAATCGCGGCTGAACATAGCACCAGGCTCCCTGATTCTTCGCCTCCTCCTGAGTCCAAACCAGCTCAGCGTTGCTGTACTTTTCCGCCTCCTTCTTCACCAGATCATACGGGAACGGAGAAATCTGCGCCACACACAATAAGAGTCAACAATTAGCCATCAGTGGTTTCATGAATGAAAAATGCCTTAAAACTCACCTGCTCAACACGAGCAATAGCAATATCAGATTCAAGTTTCTTATCACGTCGCGCCTTCAGCAAGTCATAGTAGACGCGTCCACTGCAGAAGATGACCTTCTTCACGCCAGAGGCATTATTGGCGGCATCACCGTCTTCCGGGATGAGACGCAGGAACTCCGTGTTGCCGGTCATCATGTCAAAGGAGCTCTTGCACTCCGGATGTCTCAGCAGCGACTTGGGCGTCATGAGGATCAGTGGCTTGCGGAAGGGCATGTGAATTTGCCGACGCATGATGTGGAAGTAATTGGCCGGCGTTGAGCAATTGGCCACAATCCAGTTGATGTCGTGCAGCTGCCGAATGGCAAACTCCTCAGACTCGGGTGGGAAGTAGTCGGGATCGTCAGAGGAGAGCTGCAAGAAGCGCTCAAGACGCGCCGACGAGTGCTCCGGACCCATGCCTTCCATGCCGTGCGGCAGGAGCATCACCAGTCCACTCTGTCGCACCCACTTCGCCTGGCCGCACGAGATGAACTGGTCAATGATGCACTGGGCGGTGTTCATGAAATCACCAAACTGGCCCTCCCACATCACCAGGGCATTGGGATTGGTCATCGAGTAGCCGTGCTCGAAGCCCAGCACCGCGAACTCAGACAGGGAGCTGTTGCAGACGGTGTAGGGTCCCTGGTCGGGGTACAGGTGGCACAGGGGCCTGTAGGTGGCCTTATCCACGCGCTGGTGATGCAGCACATGGTGACGATGGGAGAATGTGCCACGCTCCACATCCTGTCCCGACAGACGCACGTGAATTCCCTCCTTCAGCAGCGAGCCGAAGGCCATGGCCTCGCCCAGAGCCCAGTCGACGGTGCGCTTGTCCACCATCTCCTTGCGAGCCGCCAAAATACGCATGAGACCCTTGTGAATGGTGAATTCGGCCGCATTGGGCGGCGGCTGGGAGAAGCGGTTCCCAATGTGCACGAGTGTCTCCTCGTGAACGCCCGTGGGGCACACCTTCAGCGGGTCCTTGCCCTCGAAGAAGCCCGACCACGGTGAATCCAGCCAATCCTTGTACTTGATGTGTGTCTCCGTCTTGGCCAGCTCGAATGCCTCCTCACAAATCTTCTCATATTTATCCTTGACGGCCTTCACTTCGTCATTCGACACCACACCTTCTGTCACCAGCCTGTCGGAGTAGATCTCCAGGATGGGCTTCAGCTGCCTGATCTTCTGGTACATGAGCGGCTGCGTGAACATCGGCTCGTCAATCTCATTGTGTCCATTGCGACGATAGCACACCAGATCAATCACCACATCCTTGTGGTATGTCGCACGCCACTCCGCCGCCACATTGCACACGTGCATCACGGCCTCAGGGTCATCGGCGTTCACGTGGAAGATGGGCGCATTCACCACACGCGCCACATCTGTGCAGTACGGCGACGAACGTGATCGACGCGGATCCGTTGTGAAGCCAATCTGATTATTCACCACGATATGAATAGTGCCGTGAGTTGTGTAATCGGGCAAATCGGCCAAGTGGAACGTCTCAAAGACAACACCCTGACCACAGAATGCAGCATCGCCGTGCACGAGGATCGACATCACCTTCTTGCCCTCGCCATCGCCACGGTAGAACTGCTCAGCTCGCGTCTTGCCCTGCACAACAGGATTCACACACTCCAGATGAGACGGATTGGCAACAACAGCCAAGCGAATGTTCTTGTTCGTCACACGATTCAGACGCTCAATGTACGTGCCCAAGTGATACTTCACGTCACCTGATCCCTGTTCGAAGAGAGAATGAATATCAGTCAAATTCCACAGCAAACATCACGAGATTTTATGTAGAAATAGAGTTATTTTCAGCACTAATAAATCCACATTTTCCCGGAAAGTCTATGGAATTAATAATCCTGCTCTGTAATTTAACTGATCTTCGACAAACTTACATCATCAGCAGCCTCGAGACCGGCAAATTGTGTCAGAATCTGATGCAGTGGCTTGCGACAGACATTGGCCAGCACATTGAGACGTCCACGATGTGGCATTCCCATGATAATTGATTCAACACCAAGTCGTGTTGACACATCAATCACCTGCTTCATGGCTGGAATCATTATTTCGGCACCCTCGAGACCAAATCTCTTCTCCGACGAGAATTTCTTCGCCAAGAAGTTCTCAAAGCCAGCCGCACGACTCAATCGTGCCAAAATCAGACGCTTCTCATCATTGGTGAACTTCATTATTTCCGGCGTCTCAAACTTCTGTCGAATCCAGTTGCACTGTTCCAGTGAGTTGATGAACATGAATTCCACGCCAATCTTGTTGCAGTAAACATGCTCCAGACGATCGAGAATCTCTCTGCGAGAGGAAAAAAGGCAAATTAGAGAGTTTGCAGAGCAAAGTCACGTAAAAATGTTTCAGTCGTCGGACAATTTCATTCAATTATCACATGAGAAATCCGAAGCGCAAATAATCTAATTTGCATCAATTACATATAATTGCGCCAAATGTCATGGTCACAATGATAAGCGCCTCGTCCGGAATATTAAAAAGAAATCCAGATTAAAATTAAAATAATCATATTAAATGGAATTATTGTAGTTGGACGAAGCGTAAAATCAATAGTTTGTCCTATTTATAGACGCAATTGCTTGGAGAATGTAAAGTCAAACGTCTTACCTCAATGACAGATATTTCTCCTTTCCGCCAATAAAAGTGGTGCTTGGGAGTTTAAACACCCTCTCCATATCGTGTTCACCTATTTTTCCATTATCGGGACATGAGAAATATTGATTTTAGTCAATTTCATATAATGCCATTAGCCAATTGATCAATAAGATTGTGTGCATTAAATTTACTACTCTTACAAAAGTTATTTAATAATAAAAAAAAGAAAATATATCTAAACTTTTATTATTGAAATTCGGAGCGAAAAAAAATGATTAGATTACTTTTTATCAAATTTAATATATTTTGTTAAGTATATTTATGAGTTTTAGCACTATATTTTAACTTCTTATCATAATATGTATAATCCAATGTTTGCGCTTTTAACACCACTTTCCAGAGGATGAATTGTTAGTATTATAGAGTGTTAAGTGACAGAGTGAAGTCAATTTCTAAAATATAAATGAACTACATGTAGATATTTGCAATCAAACTTCCAATCAGTTATTCATGCTTGAGGATTTGGTGAAGAGAGAGCATTGAGTGAAACAAGTGAGAAAAGAGAGAGCATTAAAACACCATGCTTTAGAGAGAGAGAATAAGAAAAGGAACCAACTAACCTGAACCAGTGTGAAAAATACTTTTTGAAAAATATATTTTTAGCCAAAGTTTTCTGTTTTTTTTTTAGCATTCTTTTTTTCCATTACAACAAACCAGAAGTTACGCCAATTAATTTGTGTTCGTGGATTCGTTTAATAACAAAAGCAATCTACACAGTGTGGGAGGAATTCTAAAAATATATACTTTCAAACTAAGAAACAGTGAATAAAACCAAAAGAAAATATCGTTTTATCTCCCTTTTCCAAACAACTCTCCTTTCTACACACACATTTATATGTAAGTAGATTATCTATTTACAAATGAAGAAATCAAATTCTTTAATATTTTTATACAACAACATGTGTTTTTATCACTCGGAAATGATTTCTTTTCTTTTTTTTTTTGGAGTTTTGAAATTTTTTTTCAGAAAATAAAACTTTTGTCTTAATCTTTTTATTTTTGCTTTTTGGTGGGAGTGTGCAGGAAAATGTCTACTTACCGAAATTAAAATTCGCGTAAATTAACTTCGTTGATTTTTTTTCTTCAAGATTAATGTTGTTAATACCAAGAGGATCGGTTTGAGCTATATGATGACCTCGAATCTAAATTTCGTCACGGATTTTAAGGGATTCCCATCCGTAATAATAAGTAACAACAACAATAATAATAACAATAATTAAATGTGGATGAAAAATAAGATTATTCTAGCGAAGAAAATATTATGTAATTTTCTTCTCTATAAATTTAAAAAAAAAATCACATATAATAAAAAATAATTAAAGAATAGAGTAAAGAAAAATATGATAGAGTAAAATTATAAGCATAGAAAAAAAATGTGTCTTTTTTATATAAAAATGTATTTTTTTTTTGAGTCAAAAGAAAAGAAAGTGAATTCTCCGGTATATTTTGATAGAACTTAAAATCAATTTCCCTTTTCATCCCACTCTCGATTAGATGTGTTTCAACAAAAAGTGCAAAAATATTTTATTTACAAAATGTTAATATTATGTTTTTATATAAATTATACTCTTGTATGTAGGTAAATGCTTTTTTTAGTTTAGTTTTTCCTTCCACAATTTAATCAGTATAATGTTTTCTGTTGTCTGTCACAGTTTTTTTTTCTTCTTTCTTTCTTTCACATTTTCAGTGTCTCGTGTCGTAAAGGGTATTAAAAGAGAGTAAAAGAAAAGAAAGGAAATGAACACATATAAAAATTGACGAACTAAGCAATAATTGTAAAAATAAAATAATAAGAAAATGGAAAATATACAGAGGAAAAAAAACATTAAGAAGCTGTCAAAGAACACCACACAACTTTGCTCATAAGGAATATCAAACATACTTTGGTAAGAAGGATAAGAGAGAATCACCCAAAAACTGGTCTTTTTAAATAGGAATTACAACGCAATGTTTCTCCAAACAAACATAACAAGAATAATAATAAATAAATAAATTGAAGCCATGAAAGAGTGATTATAAAATTCCTCAACAAACATCTCAATTCAAGTTAAAATAAAAAATGTGCATCAGAAATTTTAATCACTACAACAAACTAATTAAGGAAAATCTTTCCACCCGCTTTTTTTCTTCTTATTTTTACCCCAGAAACAAATACAATTTGACCCATTATTAATTTTGTGAAGAAGCATTAGATTTGTCCAATAAAGTCTCCTCTTTCGCTTTATGCTTGATTTTTGTCTCAATTTTCCAGCGAAAAAAGGGCCAATTTTATTAACCCAATTTAACACAAATTTCTGTCCAAAGAGCCTTTCAAAAAAGCAGTGATTTGTCTGTTTTCCATTGTTTCTCCTAAAAATAATTCATCTAAATTTTTTTTTATTTACAAGGCGTGTTTTCTCCGAATTTCAATCGATTTTTGATTGTTTGATCTTAAATAAAAAAATTAGTATTTAAAAAAAATAATAAAAGAGAGTAAACTATTTGTAGAGAAAAAAAAATGGTATAAATTTTGACATTGAAGTCTAATTACCAAAATTCATATATTTTCTCGTCACTTGCTCATTAGCACGTCGCTTCACTCCATCCGGACCAACTTTAAGCTCAGAATTCAATATTCCGAGCGGATCCAAATCAGCCATCAAATGACCACGTGACTATTTTGGCGATTATCAACAGATTTTTAGAAAATCATAATTATTTTCATATGGGGAAAATATGGAAGAATATATAGGAAAGAAAACAGTAAATTGTAAAATAGAGGAATAAAGATCTGTTTGTTCACAAGAGTCAAAGTATAATATAAAGGTAAAGGACAAACTTAGACAAAATCCTTGCGAATGAATTTTATTATTCAGTGAAAATGACAAATTTTAAGTAAATTCATTCTTTCTTTTCGCAATCATTGATGAAAACAATCAAAAAGGGGATCAAAAGTAACTCAAACTTAAGGGGAATATTTTGAGAAATCTCCAAGAATTTAGCAACTTAAAAAATAATAAAAACTATAACTTCAGACATACAAGAAAATAAAAATCAAAAACACATTAATGAACATGGAAAAATTATACTGATAGTCTGTAGGTGAAAGTTGTCATTCATCCCAATTTCCCTCAATAAAATACACAATCTAGGACTAGAAGAATAATATTTATACGGAAAAAACGCAATATTTGCGCCACAATTGAGAAAAATAGTGTAAAAAACTGAAGGTCACATGCAATAGATCTCTTTTTACAATATCATTCTTCTTATTGTTTCGCTCTTTCTTCTCGCCCAACTCCCAGTGAATTTCTTCACGTTTCATTTTATTCCACACACGTTCTCTGTCCCCGATAAAAAATTGTACAAATTTTAAGCTTCACTGGTTTTGGAGGCGAGCTAAAAATTGTTTTAGTTTGAGACTTCTTCTTCTTCAAGATGCTCGCTTGATCATTAAAGGAAAAGCGAAATCAGTTAAAGTAAAGCTGTCATCGCAAAAATCTTTTGTACACCCCATTTTTCTACCCCTTATTTACACTCTTAAAAATCCCCCAAACTTGACTTGAGAAATTACAGGAGAAATAGAGGATATTTCCTTTATATTTTGACTCAAAACAATCATAGAAAAAGTATCAAAGAAAAGTCTATCAGTGGCAAATAAATATTCTTTCATACCTGATAACTCCGAATGATGGCCTGCACGGCCAGATGATCGTCAATCACCTTCTCATCAGACGACATGGCAGAGCCAATGCCCGCTGGGAGTCCACGGATCTCAGACAGAGCCACATGTCCCTTGGGAACCGGCGCCAATGATGGTGGCGCGGTGTATGAGTTGTTTCTGAAGTACGCATCCCAAGACTGTAAAACAACCATGTCCAGATAAGATTTGAGATTCATCAATGGGCAAAGAAATTATCGCGAGACACCAGTCTTAAAATTGCCCGTGTTGACTTTATAAATTTACAGCTCTTGTGCCGCATTTTTTTTCGACAATGTCACGAGTTTCCCGATAAGATTGACGTGTTCACACTTGATACGCACCGCGTGCACTGACGCCGGGTCTCGCAGCCAGGCATTGTACATGTCCTCCACGTAGTTTGAGCTGGAGCCATTGAGGAAGGGCTCCGCCGCAGCGGAATTGTACTGTCTCAGCGATGAGGCAGGAAGTAATTCGCTGGCAATCTGTAAATAGTTAGAATTTTCCACTTAACATTGACGGACAATTTTTCTCTGATCAACACACATATCTTCACATTTGGCAGCAACAGAAAAAAACAGTGACAATATGGTAAACTCTCATACACAAACAGGAAGGAACCAGTTGAATCCCATGCAAATGGATTTCCTAACATCGATCATGACTATTTCGCAGACATTTCAAATATACGTCATGATATTTTTCCAATTAGACAATCACGCGGGCGAATCGTCCTTACCACCACCACTGGTCTTTTGTGCCACATTCAGTACATTTCTTTAAGCACACAAAAGTCATCCAAGTGTGTGATAATGACGATTTACAATTCACATTAATAACATTATCAACCACAACTGGAAAATACCGCCTTCGTGGATGTTATGACAAATGCAAATCAGGCGCACAAAATGTGAGAAGATCAGATTTCACTGAACCATAAACAGGTGGAGGATTTTCTTACTCTCGATTTTGAGGCACTGCAATTCAGCCATGATGCGAAAGATTGCTGTCCGCTGGGGATCAGCATACAATTCAGTGCACTCCGTGCTCTATGCATTTTTCTGAGGGCTGCAATGAGAAGAAAAAAAACGGAACATTAGAGAGATCAATGGCGATTTTAAAGGTAAATTTATCATGGATTTTGCAATGCTACTTTGGAGGTCACAACACCACACAATCCGAATCGCCTGTGCATTCATAAACCAGTGTACAATTGGCGCTTTAATGATCACCCCGCCTTCCCTCCAATTTCCCCGCTCTGTGATTCACTTCAGACTGTGGAAAATGTGAGTCCAGTTGATTAACCCTGAGAAATTATTCAGATAAGATAGCAAAGACTGTGTCGTGACAGAAAAGTTTGAAATTTTTCCTTCAAGAACTACGCAAAAACACAGCAAATTTGAAGAAGTGAAATTCTGAGTGACAATTTTCTAGAAAAGAAGAGAAAATATCTCACGTGAAGAGATCTTTTTTCGCTTACGGCATGTCGAGCATGTTATATAATTAAATGTGAATATATTTTTTATTCTCCTTCTCCACACACAAACACACAATTCGTCTGTATATATTTGTGGCAAAAGCACACTTGTGAATTTCACAATCATCAACCTCTTTTGGGATTCTTAACACTCTCTCTCTCCTCTCATTCACACATTTCATTTCTTCTTTCAACTTCTTTTTGCATTCCTTCTAACGTCACATTTTTTTTTCCACACTCGCACGGCAAAAATTTTCCATTGAAGCCCAAATATTCACGAAAAACACCTCGAGATTTATGGATTTACTGTGGATTCCTATCATCTCTAAATTACGCGCTAATAACAATTGATTTTCACACACGCACAAGTAGATATTGTGGAAAATTTATTTCTCCATCATGAGAGAGGTCAACTCTTTCACTCTCGCTCTCGGTTCTCCAAAAAACGAAACAGCAGAAGAGAAAAAAATGAAACCTGCGCTCCCATAAAAACTTTATCTTAGCATTCACCTCTAAAAAGAAACACCGTATAAACAAGTCACTGATGCTGTCCTACTTTCATTCAATTCTACACAAACTCTGTGTTGCAATAAAAATACTTTTTGGTCTCTCGGCGCGCTCGTCTCTCAAGTCAAAAAAAAAAGAATTGGTTAGCGTTGGTGGACTTAGAGCCTATATCCGCCACATGTGCGAGAGCGTTTGAGCTCGTTCACTGCCTCAACTCGACTGACTCAGAGTTTGCGCCAAAAAGCCATGAGCAATGGGCTTCTCTCTCTTGGAAATATACACACATCGCAATACAACACACAAATCCATCCAAACATCGCGCGCCCGGACAACGTCAATGGATTTTGCCACACACCCATTTTGCTGCGGCATAAATTGCTTATCGAGTCTGGCCAAGGCATGTGATAAGCAAGTCAGCCACACATTCATGGAAATCCACGAGGAAGTCACAAAATTCACCTCTCGCCTGAGACACAAAATGAATCAAAGAAACCCTCTCTTATTGTGCACTTCTTCTTCTTAACGGGAAACCACCACAAGCCGTTCGGATTGGCGATTCACTGATCCGCATCGACTTTGCCTCCAAAAGGTGAACAACATGTTTCATTCCATATTAACCATTTTTCTTGCATTTTCTTGATTAAAGAAAGAAAAAAACACACGCCTCTTGTGGCCACGAAAGTCCAGCGATAAATGCTGAAAAACACTTTTACTGCCTGTGAAATATGTTGTATTAAATGTAATCTCGGCTTGAGTTATGTTTATGTAATGGTGAGTTTATCAATTTTCAACTTGAAATTGAAAGTTCAATTGATGAGAAATTGACTGAACAAAGGCTAATTGTAAGATAAGAGAACCACTCGCTCTACGAAATCCCAAGAAATCCCGAGAAATCTTACAGCGCTTTTCACTGATTATGGACCATTAATTGATCTATGAACTTTTCCAGCTGTTTCTGCCTTTGTCTTCAAGTCCAGAATTATGATTTTACTGTAAAAATATGTCTAAAATCAATCGATGATGTTGGAGATTTTTTGTGATCTGAAATTTCATGCTATTTTTCCCTCTCGCTGATCTTTTGGCAACATTTCAAGGACCATTTGGCGCACTTTCCTTTCAAACACACACACTTTCTATGTAGATTTAGTCTATTTAGTGTAGAAATTCCCTCCCACTTGCCCGATGATCTTGAGACCGGATTTCAGGCTTGAATCTTTTGGAGAAAATGATCGAGAAAATGTTACATGAACTGTTCAATGAGACGGCATGAAACGACATGTGATAAGAGAAATTATTATCTTAATTGTGAATAGTTTACTAGTGTGGTGATTTGTATTGTTGTCTGACCTACACAAGATCTTTCCCACTAAATCGCCACTTCACAGTTCCAGACAAAATAAAGGAAATACTTTTCTCAACAGGTGGAAAAGTACGATCGTCGAATGCGAGCCCGCGAAGACTTGAGCGAAATCCTCTGGAGAGGCCATAAATTTTCATCCTATTGTCGACACTTGCTTGATAACTTATCAAGACAAGCTCAACAGAGCTTGGGAAATAATAAGCGGTTATTATGAAATGAAATATACCAGAGAAAATGTGGCTGTAATTTTCATTTTCTCCTTCTCATCTCGTGGAATTGATGGTATTTTGGCGACAGAGATAATTTTGCCGCGCGACCCCGAGACCCCGCGACATTGTAAACATGCCAAGCGAGTGCAATTGGGGGCTCGTCCGGAATAATTTGATACAATTTCTGCCCTATCAAGATCAAGTGTTGTGACGCCTTTGACTTCCTCTTATCAACAGAACACCCTCGATTCCACTGACACGATAATCTCAAATCCCCTCAAGTCAACTCCGCAAGTCGCGCACACAAAACAGATGTTCGATCAGAAACATAATTTCCCCGAAAGTCAAACATTGCGTCACTATTTCCGGGCTGAAACTGTCATTCTATGCAAAAATCTAGGAGCCCCTGGGAGATAGGCAAGCCACCAGAGGGACTTTTCCCACATTTTCTAACACCTTTCCCAGGCTTTGAGCCACTTCGGACTGGGGCGAAAGGAGGAAAAGCGCAATTTTCACTTTGCACACTCTTCAAGGGTGTGTTACATAACGTGCCGAAAAACTCCCATTTTCCACCTTTCCCACCTACAATTCAAGTTCACTGCACGTGAAACAGCTTCAACACACTTTTCCACCCACTTTTCGCACTGAATTTAGCGAGAAAGTCTGCAAAAAACGAGCCTTTTTACCTGGAAAACTCCCGTCGATGCGCTGCTGCTGTCACACTGGCACGTTGTGGAGTTGCGCGGTGGAGAAACCCGTCAACGGCGAAAGTGGTGAATTTCGCTCCAATTGGAATCACGATGTTTTGTTTGCTACGTTTTGAGTTCAAATGCACTCAAGCAATTGCAGCTGTGTAGTAATATTGTAGCAGCACGTCAATGTGATAATAATAAGGAGTTTTATGTAATTATTCTGAGGGTTTTCGGCAATTATGCGGAGTTCTTTGGATTGGCGGGATTCTGCACGCTTTGAAATCGGTCAAAACAATATTATTTTGGCGCTAGTTGGCGCTGCCGTCTATGGGCACCCGACTGAACGTGCCTCTTCAAGTTATTTCATTTCAAATTATCTCATTTTCATCGCTACAAGACGTGCAAAACAACACTTCAGATGCTCAGACAAACCCCAAAGCAAGCAAATAATCTAAATATTGAGTGCTATCACACTTTTGGTAGATAAATCTGGTGATATTCTAGGTGAGTATGTCACGAGTGGGCATATCGCAGCGACAGGCAATGCGCAGTCAGTCGGGCATGGAGGAGAGCAAGAGCAGCGAAAAAGAAAAGTGAGAGAGAGAAAACAGTCAAACAAATTAATCATCACTGAGGAGATCTGAGAAAAGTGCTGTGGAATTCTGGAGTGTTGCGACGTCCACCATGAAGTCCAAGATCGATTTCAACGAGGCCCTGAAGGACTCACCGACGTTCCGGTGAGTGGCCAACAAGTGGCTCAAGTGGTGGCGTTTCTCTGCACAGTTTCCGTGTTTGTAGGTCAGTGCTGGACGAGGAGGAGGGTGACATCGATCACCTGGAGCAGAAGATCGAGCGTGTGCTGAAGATGTGCACGGCGGCCGTGGACTCGGGAAAGGAGTACGTGAAGAACAACTCCGCCTTCGCCACTTCGCTCTGGGACTTGCAGAGGCACTTCAAAGACGACCGGACGTCACACAGCGCCCTGGAGAAGGTCATCCATTGCCTGCAGGAGATGAACAAGTTCCACACGATCCTGCTGGATCAGGCGAGCAGGACGGTCCTGAAGAATCTCACCTCCTTCATCAAGAGGTGAGTTTGTGGTGCCAGAAAAGAGTGCTTCCGGGATTTACTGGTTCATTTCCTCCCGTTTTCTGCTTCTCTTCGCAGTGAAATCAAGGAAGTGAAGGACTACAAGAATCTCTTCCTCAAAGTGTCTGAGAATCTCGACGGGGCACTGCAGAAGAACGCCCAGGTGAACAAGAACAAGCCCACAGACGTGCAGGAGACGGAGAATTACCTCTCAGCCACGCGATCCTGCTTCCAGCACACCGCTCTGGACTACGTCAACATCCTCACGATGCTGCAGGCGAAGAAGAAGCCCGAAATACTCTCCACACTCCTCAGCTACGTGCAGGCGTGCAGCACTTACTATCATCAGGTGAGCCCATTGATTTTCCCATCCCTCCAGAAGCGCGCCCTCGGAGGCGTGAAAAGGTAGCTGGTTTTACGACGAAGAGGCACGCTTGGGGAATCCAAAGCGAAAAAGTGAGAGTGTTGGCCACGAAATGCCTCGCCGGAAATTTCTAAAATGAATTCTTAATCATGCCATTTCCATAAACAACCCAAACCCAAGAGGACGACTCGCATTGCTCCGGGTGAATTGAGGGCAGAAAAGGTTTAGTCGATAATTCTTATGACTGTTGCTCATGCCATTCGGGGGTTTATCTGTTGGAAATACTCAAGAGAATCTTTGGTGGAAAGTTGTTTTCCCTTGCAAATGCATTTGTAGAATTGGAATTTTGTAGCAAAATATTCGTACGTTTGAGCGTGAAGAAACGATAAATATACAATTATTGCGTTGAGGAATCGCACAATCCATTCTACAGTCACATAAGTTTGATGTGATGCAAGATTTTGCTTATGAAATTCATATTTTGGCACTGAATTGCTGAAATATTACACTTTTGAGAATGCTTTACATGAATTATCTGACATTTTATCACTTGTCCTAACTTTAGCACTCAAGTGCAGATAAAGTTTTATGGGCAAACATTGTCACAGGTTCGTAATTTGTAGGAATTTTTATGCACTGATTTTCTGCCCAGATAACACATTGTTGGATGGCGTGTGCGAAATCCGTTCTTTAGCAGTTGTTCTACAGTACCAGTTCACGTGCTGGTGAAATTAATTGAGTGGAGATATCAAGAGCGTATAGAGAAACTCAACAGTTGATTGTTTTTTTTTAACTGGCCAAGAGCAAAAGATTGTCCAGGAAATTTCTCTCTTAATGGCCATTTCTATATACCTCGATAGACTGACCAAGAAGAGAGAAGAACATAAAAGAGCGGGATTTAATGATAGTGATTGGAGATGTGTGTGAGCGATTTCACAAAGGTCTTCTTGACCTTTTTTTTGCGTGCACTTGTTTGGCGTGTCAAGAAGTCGCATGATTAATTTGAGAAATTACAACTCCTATTTCACGGGGTGTGTGAGTATTTTTTGGGCGGCGTGAGAGTGGCCGGAAGAGTGAAAGCTCGTCTTCTCTCTCTTCGTTTTTCTGCGATAAGGTGTGTGTGACATGCTTCTGACTGTCTCGATATTGATTAGCAATTTCCCGTTTGCAGGGCTCTGACTTGTGTGAGGATTTTGATCCGTACTTCAAAGTGTTGGCCGATGATGTGAGTAATGTGTGCTTTTATTAGACCCAACTCACGACGGCGTTTTTGTGAACAATGAAATCCTTTCTCTTGGCTCAGATTTGCACGATGCGTAGTGAATGTGTGTCGCTGGAGAAGACAATGCAGAATCGCCATGCGTCAGTGACGAACTTCGATCAGGGCCACACGGAGGGTTATCTGTTCAAGAGGACCTCCAAGGGCTTCAAGACGTGGAACAGGCGCTGGTTCTACATCTCCGGCAATCAGCTGCTCTATCGGAAGCGCAATGGGGAAGAGAGTCCCACGGTGATGGAGGAGGATTTGAGCATTTGCACCGTTCGGCTGGCCAGTGAGTGCGACAGACGCTTCTGCTTCGAGGTGATCTCACCCGCGAAGAATCACATGCTGCAGGCTGACTCTGCGGAGTCCCTGAAGGCCTGGATCTGTGCACTGCAGACTGGCATTGGGACGGCGATTCAGAACAACAATTCCAAGGCTCTGCTGACATCTGCGGACTCATCAAAGCCGTCTGGGGACTCGAAGAGGGTGAACTGGGAGTACTTCCTCACGATTCCCGGCAACAGCATGTGCTGCGATTGTGGACATCCGCAGCCCAAGTGGGCGTCCATCAATCTGGGCATCACGCTCTGCATCGCCTGCTCGGGCATCCATCGCAGCCTCGGCGTGCACTACAGCAAGGTGCGCTCTCTCACGCTGGACGCCTGGGAGCCGGAGATCATCAAGGTGATGACGGAGCTGGGCAACGGCGTGGTGAATAGAATCTACGAAGCCACTGCCGATGGAGCTGCCGTTGAACGGGCCACGGAGAATTGCGACATTTCCGTGCGTGAGGCGTGGATTAAGGCGAAATACGTGGAGAGGCGCTTCGTGGCCTCTCTCACGTCCATCACGGATGCTCTCTGTGCCGAAAGTGCACGCAATTTCGGCACAAATCATCGGCGTGGAAAGGCTTTCCAGGCTGCCAGATGGAGTGTGAAGAAGCTGAGGCGCAGACAGAAGTCAACGAGTTTGAAAGCAACTCCTGCCGCCGAGGAGACTGCCTCCGGTGAGTCCTCATCCGGGCAGGAGGAGCACGATGAGGAGGATTGCAATGAGGACAAGGACGATGGGGATGAGAAGCAACCGGTGAAGGTGGACGTGGTGTTTGGGGAGAATCTCAGTGAACCCCTCAATCAGGCGTCCTTCTGTCTGGACTCTGACGATGAGTCTGTGAATGACGAGGAACAACCTCAGGACAATGAAGACATTCAGAAACTCAATCCAGACGTTCTTCTCTACAAGGCAGCTCTCAATCACAATTTGCCCGTCATGAGTCAAGCTTTGGCTTTGGGAGCCAACAAGAACTGGACGAATGCCGAGGATCTCGACAGGACGTCACTTCATCAGGCTGTTTTATCTGTAAGGATTAACTTCGCAGGACGACATTCGCCGGGGAATAATCACAGCGGTTTCTTTGCACTCTTTCAGGGCTCAGTGATGGCTTGCGAGTTCCTCCTTCTCAACGGTGCCGATATTAATGCCAAAGACCGCAACGGATACACGCCTCTGCATCTGGCCACGGAAAAGGGTGGCACGGCACAGGCGTATCTGCTGCTGAAGAATAGGGCCAAATATGATATTGTGACAGCTGAAGGAAAGCAGCCAATCGACATTGCTGTTGACAATGCAAATGCCGACATTGTGACGCTGTGAGTAACTTTTTTCCCTACAACAGTTCTGTTTTATGGGCAAAAACAGAGAGCATAATGAAATTGTTCGTGTTTTCTCACTGAGTATAGAGTTTAGAGAGAGAGTTGAAATTGTTATATTCATATTCGAGATTTTATTAAGGCTAAATTCAACGGATTACAAAAAATCAATGTGCATCGCTCTCGGTCGCAAATTATATCTTGTAAATCTTGGGCTTCGAAAAGCGTATGTGCGACAGAGTGGACAGCGTATAAATGCAATTGATTGACTTAACATACAAGATTTCACATATTTGCGCATACAAATCCGACAAAATTCGTGCTCGCATTGCAGACGCAAAGCGTCAGTGATTGTTTCCAAGCAAATTGTACAAATTCGTTTTCTGGCAGCTGCAAAAGAAGCGAAACATTGCGAACAATTCTCTCTAAATGCCAATTATAATAACTAACCAAGACGGGCAGAAGTTCTTCTCACGGGGAAAATGGTGTCTTGACCAGCCATTGTGCAGTATTATTTCAATGAGACAATAAAGCTTCCTAAAAAAGTTACTAGGATTGCTTTGATTTTCCTGAAAATTCCTAGACAATTGCTTCATTTTTAACTCCACCTTCGATTATTGCAATATTTTTTGGGATTCAAATTGAGGGAAAATGCTGAAGAGGAAATGAATTGCAAAAATTCCCATGAAAGTTTAATGTGTCCACAAGTTGTGACGAACATTCGAGAGGCAGAAAATCTGTTTTTTTAAAGCAAATAAAGAGCTTCATTATTAATTAAAATGAACGATGACAAAGCCAATGACTAGTCGTGACTTGAGGCCAAAATCAAATGACTAACAATGACAATTTCATGTCAACTGCTGGATTTCTGACCAAACTTCTGCCTCAGCAAGGAAAGATCGTGAAATTCCTCAATGTGTTTACATTAATTCAATTGATACGCGCTGTGGAAATTGCGCTGAATTGTGTGTGGCGCGCGATGCTGCGGAATGTTCACTTGTGTGTGAATTAAATCGACAAGTGGGCACGTAATATTCCCATTGAGATAAATTGAAGAGAATCATTAGCAGCGAAGAAGACTTTCGATTGTAAATCTCCCCCTCGGAGGAAATAAGTGGTTGGGCTCTCGAAGCGATTAATTAGCGCATTTGTTTAGATGAAGATCTCTAATTTCCATTAGTGGCTGCGGAATGTCTTTTGACTCTCTTTCTCTGTCTCTGCAGACTCCGGCTGACGAAGCTGAACGAGGAGATTGGCCTGTCGGAGCAGGGATTGGGCGGTGATGAGACTTACAACGACGTGATGAAGGACTTTTCGCATTTCGCTATAAATCAGCCCCATCGCCTGCAGCGCCCGAAATTGGACGATCAGGAAGCGGAGTGAAAAACTCTAACGCAGAATCTCGTATGTTATTCCACTAACTGTAATTGTAAATTTGTGTTTTTTCTCATTTTCTAATTATTTACTGTTTATACAAGTTTATTCTATATACAAAAGCAAAAAAAGTGAAAGAGAGAATCGAAGTGTTGTTCCCGATTATGAACATTAAACGAAAAAAAAGGTATTATGACAAATGCTGGAATGTTTTTCCTTTTGGCGCCTCCTCGAATGGGGAACAAAAAAGGACGAGAGGGAAGAAAAGAAAACCACGCAGTTCTTGTTGGGAAGTCTATTTGGAAAAATATCTCAGGATTTCACTTCGTTTTACTAAATGTATTTCTAAATTCCTAAAATCAACAATTTTACGCTCTTTGTCTTCAACTAATATTTTATTCCCCCTTACATGCCTAACTTTGTGCCTTTTATTCAGCCATTTGACATCCTTTTTTTGCACGGATCAATTCGCCCTCGAGACAGTAACAAATGTGGACGAATTGCCGAGAAAGAAAAATGAATTTGACATCATTGAGAAAATTCCTAATACAAAAACTAACACAAAAAAAGACGTGGAAAGTCCTAAGAAAAATCCTAGATTAAATACACGAGAAAAAAAATCTAATCTTGAATGCCAAAGCAAATGAATAGAGTCACAGTTTCAAAAAAGATTATTCACTCTCTCTTTGCCACGAAACTTCCTTCACGCGCGTCACATCGTCTTAAATGCATCATTCTCACATTTTTTTTGAGATTTGTGTGTTTTCCTTTCTTTTATCTTCCTCACATTTCTTTTCTTTTTTTTGCCTAGTAAAGTTTATAATTTATGATTCCTATGCAGAGACTATTAAACTTCAGCCATTTATCCAAATCCACCATACAAATTACTATTGCTCTCCAGAAATCTCTCCTGATCACTCGTAATTTTCTTCACCATATAAAGCTCATTAAGAAAAATCGAATGCGGAGGAGAGAGAAAATCACGTGGACAGTGTTTGCTCAGTAATGGATAAAGATTCTTCCTCACCGCGATCATTCCTCACTTGAAGGACACGTAGAAACGCCAGGCGCAAAAGGCAGTGGCCAGGACAGTGATTGTGCACTGAAGATAGCACTGTCGTGAATTTTCCGTATACGTGAGAACGACAGGCTGAGCGGTTTCCTTGTCCGTGATCCTCTCCAGTGTCTTTCGATTCTTCTCCACCTGCAAACAGGAGGCACAAGTGAGAGATTTGTTGACGGGCAAGTGATTGCTCATCTCACCTGGTATTGACAACAGGGATCGTAGTACCAGGAAACTGTGTAGAGACTCGTGAAGATGATCGAGACGACACACAGAGGTGCACTCACGATGAAACGACCCGGCAGTGCGAAACCCGAGCCAATGGACAGTGCTCCGGTCACAATTGAGGTCTTACTCAGCAGATTCCCCACTGTGATCCACCTGAAAAAAGGGGGAAGTTTAATTGAATAATCTTCGCTATTTGACTAAAGTACAAGAATAAAGCCATAAATCTCTGGGTGTGATAAGAGAAATCTCTTGATCACATGAGATAAATGCAAACAAGATGCAAAAACACGACGTTCGCACACAAAAGTCCGCATTTTGGTGATTGCATAATAAAATCAATAATGTCCCACTTGTTTTGTGGGCCACGACGAGAGACACTTACCTGGCCGTCTCCTCGCCCAGACGCGGCGGCTCGATGACGATGTACTTGTAGCGGGCCAGCAGGGCTCTGTCCAGTTCAGACTCAAAGTTCTCCTGAGCATTGCCATCATCGTACACTTCCTTCACCACGAAAACCGGCGGCAAGTGTTCACTGAAAGAGAGAAGAAAGGACAGTCAATATCTTTGGCTCTGCCAAGCTTGGCGCATCTTGCATTGCTGGGCGATGAGGCGGTGATGAATGGGGGGTAAAGTGTGAGGGGTCAAATTGTGCGATGCATGATAAAAAAAAAGAAAAGTTGGAAGAAAACACTCACTCAATGGGACTGAGACGCTTGCCCTCGTGAAAATCCATTGAATTTCGACCAGAATCAGTGTCTGTTTACTATTTACCTCAATTCAGGGACAACTTGTGGCCACTCCCGGACGGGAATCACATGGAAAAACACACACACAAGTTTCCAGATAAGGCTCAAATTGGCAGAGATTCGGCGGAAGGGTGAACAACACTACCCGAAATGGGGCACAGTTCAAGGTTAGGCAAAGGGGATTCGCATTGCGGAATGACCAGAGGCAGAATGTGCACTGGATGCGAGTCAAGGAGGCGACACAGCAGCCGGGGAGGTGGACAGGAGGCAAGGGAGTGATGAGCTAAAATGATAAGAACCTTGTGAAAGAAACCTTCAAGCGGTGACTGGCAGCAAAAAGCGATGCCATTTGTGAGATGCGCAAGAGGTGCGGAAATTTTGGGGAGTGAAATATGGCACGTGACGACACTTTCTCAAGCGTATGACTGTCGCAATGGCGAGCTGACACTACAGGAGGATGATTGTAATGCAACAAAGACGCTCTCTGGCTTTGCTAGTGGGCTAAATCACAGGGAAAATCTCTCTACCTCATAGTTTTGTATCGGAAAAATAAAGGGAAAACACACACAGCTGTGACGGAAAGTGACAGCCGACTGCATTCGTGACATTTCTAGCACTCGTTCGGGCATCAAATACCGCCAGGAGGCGTTGGCGATTGCAGTTCGAAGAGCGCATCGAGAAGATTCGCAAAAACAAAACCGTCTGAGTACATTTTCTGGGGAAATCCACCCTTTGTGCTGGAAATTCAGTGAAATTATTCTGAGAGTGTGAAGGCAAAGCATCACCATGGTGGACTACAGCAAGTGGAAGAACATTGAGGTGAGAATTTAGGTGATATTCTAAATTGAGAGGGTGGGATTGGAGGTTAGGGAGTGATTTGACTTTGTGGATGAATTTCTGGGCAGATTTCCGATGATGAGGATGACACTCATCCCAACATCGATACGCCCTCGCTGTTCCGGTGGCGACACAGAGCCCGCGTTGAGCGCATGGAGGAGGCGCAGAAGGAGAAGGAAGAGTTCGAGGCCAAGAAGAAGGAGACGGAGCAGAAGCTGAAGGAGCTGCAGACAAAGGTGTCGCAGGAGCCGGAAGCGAGTGATGCGAAGAAGGAGCTAGAGAAGCTGGAGAAGGCGAAGAAGGAGCTGCAGGAGAAGGAGGAGGAGATGGTGAAGAAGGAGCGACAGACGCCATGGAATGTGGACACAATCAGCAAGCCGGGCTTCGCAAAGACCGTTATCAACACAAAGCCAGCACGTCCCAAGGATGAGGAGTTGACTGAAGAGGAGCGCGAGCAGAGAATGAAGGACTTTGTGAAGGAGAACGAGAAGTTGCTGAAGAAGTTCGGAATGTTGCGCAAGTTTGACGATTCGAAGCAATTTCTGGCTCAACATCATGAACTCGTGTGCGAGAATACGGCCAACTACCTCGTGATTTGGTGCATCAACCTGGAGATGGAGGAGAAGAAGGAGCTGATGGCCCACGTGGCGCATCAGTGCATCTGCATGCAGTACATCTTGGAGCTGTCGAAGCAACTGGACGTGGATCCGCGCGCTTGCGTGAGCATGTTCTTTTCCCGCATCCAAGTCGCCGACGTGGAGTACAAGAGTCAGTTTGAGGATGAGGTGGAGTCCTTCAAGCAGCGCATTCGCAAGCGGGCGGCTGAGAAGATTGCCGCTGCGGCTGCCGAAGCGGAGGAAGAGGAGCGACTGGCGCGCCTCGGACCCGGCGGATTGGATCCCGAGGAGGTTATCAATTCTCTGCCAGAGGTAAGAGAACACTTCCTAATCTTGCTTGGAAGCTTGGTTTTGATGCGCTTTTATTTCTGCAGGAGCTGCAAAAGTGCTTTGAATCGCGCGACGTGAAGCTGCTGCAGGACACAATCGCCAAGATGAATCCCGAGGAGGCCAAGTATCACATGAAGCGGTGCATAGACTCGGGCTTGTGGGTGCCGGATGCCAACAAGGGGGACGCTGAAGATGAAGAGGAAGGTGAGGAAATTTATCAAGAAGCCTCGTCGGAACTCCCCAAAACCACAACATCCACTGATGATGTCGATTAATCCCAACTTTTCCAACATAATTGCTATGCTTACAACGCTACCGAACACCTTTACTAACATTTCGGCTCTGAAATAACTTCTAATTTTAAAGTTTATTATTGATTACGAGTAGATATTCATACAATAAAGGAGGCAAATTGATTTTGAAGCCAGTATCAATTTTCCACAGTGATAAAATTTCGTCCCTGAAGACAAAAATACTCATTTTGGCCTTTCAGAATATTTATTGATTTGTAAATTAGGAAACTTGTTCCATTTTCCGCTTTTTCGCCTCATTTGGCCATCGAACGTCCTCTTTGAGGGAATTTTCCACTACTTTTTGGTCTCTTAAGGGAGATTTTCTCGAGGAAAATCCTTCCAAATCGTTGACTATGTCGTTCCACAATCTGAAAAGCGCTTCCTTATTAGCTTCTCCACTCCATTCTTGACCATTTTTTCGTGTATTCTCAAATCTGCTCACGATATTAGGATCAATCTTCGATTCTACGTAAGTTTTAATCCTCTGAATGTCTTCCTCGCTGAAGTTCTGTTCGGGCAAATCAGCCTGATCGTCTGAAAAGCCGCTCTTCTGTGTGATTTTAGGGACTTTAGAGTAATCCACAGCGTTGGAGTCGAAAGGAAAGAGCCCTGTCGTTACAAATCCTGATCTCACATCACTAGATATTTGATTGTCTGAGATGAAAGTGTTAAGAAGATCCGGGATATCAAATTTGCCAACTTCCCGACCATGAGTGGCTCTCCATTCCCTCTTGAGACTGCGCCAGGTGGATTTAAGTGGCTGGAAAACTGCCCCATCGAGAGGCTGCAGCAAATCTGTCGCATTCGGACAGAGCGCAATAAGGATTATTCCGCAGTCACTGCACAATTTGCTCAAATGCATGGTGAGATGAGAATTTCTGCCGTCCAGGAACACCACAACAGGCTTCCCGATTTCCTCTTGGTGCAGAAATGGCAGGAAATCCTTCTCCATGTACTCATAGAATGCCGATGCCTGCATCAAGCCGGATTCCGTGCTTCCAATCCGCCAGTTTAGAGGAGCAAACTTCTCAGCTTCGGATGGCATTTCTTCACTCTTAAAGACCGTCAGCGGAGGAGCAAATTCACCAGTCGCTCTCACGACGAACAGAGTCGTGATAATGTCTTTGTCACACTTGGAAGATTCCACAAAAACATTGCGATTCGTCGAGGAGATGATTAATTTTCCCGTGGGCGCAAGACAGATAGGAAAATCGTCCAGACAGAAGATTCTCTCCGGATGGCGCAAGACATCCGCATTTTCACCCAATTGTCCTTCGACATCGCCGAACCACTTTTTGAGCTTCCTCTGAGACGCACTCCATCGCGCCCTCTTGGCGTATTCCGCCCTTTTCTGGCCCACTTCCGGATGCCTTTGTAGGAAACTGTAAAACCATCTCTTCGACGGTCTGGTGTTCTTGAATTCATCCGGTTTGAACACTGAGCCGCTGAGGATGATCTTCTCCGCTGTCGTCTGCAGACCATCTTTGGTGACTGGGAATCCTGCGCTGGCGACAGAGAGCACCCATCGCACGATCTCATCCTCTGTCTCCCTGCCCAGAGCGCTGTGATAGCCTCTGTGTCCGGGAGTCTCCATCGGGGATTTGCCGGTGATCTTGTTGCGCAGAGTCGAGCGAGGAATCTGGAAGTGCTTGGCAGCCGTCGTCACGGGCATCCCATCGTCGATGGCTTTCAAAGCCACTCGCATCATCTCTGGCGAGTAGCCGAATTTCTTCTCCGCAGAACAACTCAATTTCCGATGCTGCGCCAAGACGCACGTCTTGATGTGGTGATTCCTGGCATGCGGAGATGTGAAGAGCGTCTGACAGTAAGGACACTTGTGTGTGCTCCTTGTCTTCGTCTTATCTGACTGGGATTTGTGAATTTCCTCCTGTTTAACATTCTTAACATCAGGGAAATCAGCATCTTCAAGTCTGGGAGGAAAAATGCAGTGTCAAACCAAAACACCTTTATGTTTGCAGCAATTCACACTCACTCGCTTTTCATCCATGAATTCTCCACTTCCTGAATGCAGTATTCTTCCTTCACAATGGATAAATCGATGGAATTATCCTCTTCCTTGACTTTCACAACTTCCATAATCTTGTGCACCTCAGTTTGCTCTGTTTACTTATCAAAATCATAGAAAACACACGTGGTTGAGTGTGTGAGTGTCAGATTGCCAGATGAAGAACGGCGCGAAATCCAAATTTATCAAAGACACACTTTGTCGCAATATCCTGGCCAATACACAAATGGGCGGGGCATTCCATTGGGCGTGTCCTGATAAGTGAAAGAACTCTCATTTCAGTGATGTCTTAAGCTATCATTTATTATTTCAAAATAACGATATATCTCATACAATGTCTATATTTATCATATCTCACAATATAACTTCAGAAGAACTCTTTCTAATGTTTTCTCCTTCCAGCGTCATACAAAAATATATGTATAAATTATAAGGGCAAATCTTCAAATAAACGCGATTTTCTTTGTCACCTCCTCAACACTTCCACAGAACGATAATCGTCCTGCAGAAGTGTCTTCGCAAAATCTGTTTCTCTCTCTATTTATTTACACACACACTTTCCATTGCTGGGGAGAAAGTCATACTAATAAAAAAAAATACTAGTTTCGTTCATAAATAAAATTGCTTCTTTTTTTCAAAATAATTATATATATATATATATATAGATAGAGTCCTCTTCAATCACATTCTCTTGTTCAAGAACAAACGGGGAGAGGCAAATAAATCTCTAAATATTGTGTGATCAGTGGATACTTTTTCTATCATGGTTCTTCATCCGATAAAGATTATTGAAGAAACTCCTAAACTGTCTAACAACTGTTTGTCTTACATTCTAGGCTTTCATTTCTTTGTTTAAGTTTTTTCTCACTTTTCTGTCAAAATTCACTTTCGCGACTTCTCTCTTCTGTCAGAAATATCAATTTTAACATATTTCATTCAAAATACATGTTTTTCTTTGCCCACCTTTCTTGGCTAATTCAACAAACACAGCGCCTCATCTGTTCTGCCAAATGATATTAAACAAATTGTCGCTCTTCTAATACAAAATGTTCGATGATTCAAAGAAAAGAAGAAAATGAAAACACAAGAAGCTAAATATTAGCATACTCTGAATACAAAGCGCAAAGTCGATCATAAAATGGTCCTTTCCAGCTCATCATCCAACATTCTTTCACTTCTCCTCTCTTTGCACGAAAAGAAAAAATATCATAATATTTCAAAATTATAAAAGGGTGTCACTCTCTCTCTCTAAATTTCCTTATAAACTAATAATCAAAAGAATATCAATCAGCCAGAGGGATGAAAGAGAAAGAAAAATGTGGAATGTTAAATCCTACGTCAAATCAAACTGGGGGAAAATCCTACAAAAATAGTCCTGAGAAAAACATATATCCACACTCCGACCATTTTACGAATCAACAACTAGAGAAAATCCAGAAAAAAGGATAATAGAAGAGAAAGAAAAAAGAACTGAAAAGAGGGACTGAAGAAAGTAGAGTGTGAAACACAGCCTCGAGTGACTGTCTTGCCGCCCCATCGCAAAGCACTTTTACAGCAAGCCACCCTTGCGTCCGAATAGCAATGAACTGATCGTGCCGACGAATCCCTGCGACGCCTGCTTCTGCTGCTCCTCCCTCTCTGGCTCCTTGGGCGCCGCTACACGCCCCAAATCCCTCCTCATCCTACCCCCACTGCTGCCCACTGTGCCCAAATCGGGCCTCTGTCCACCGCCAGCGGCGCTGATGAGACTCCTTCGCGACTTCTGGCGCTGCATCTGCTTCACGCGCGTCTCAATAGCACCCGTGCCCGGCCTGGCGGGCATCCCCATCGTCCCCGACGCGTCTGACACGTCCGATCGATCACCCATTGTGTCCTCAACACTCGAACTCGACGCCACGCTGCTGCTGCTCGCCTCGCTGCCGCCGCCCTCCTTTCGCACCGCGCCGCTGCCGCCCTTCATCAGAATCGCCTTGATGGCATCATTGCTGAGCAGCGCTCCCTCGCCGCGTCCCTGCAGGTTCTTCAGGCTCGTCAGCTGCGCCATTGGGCTGGCATTGCGCGACCTGGAGTGGTAGAGAGATGTGGCCGTTCCATGCACCGCCAGCGGACTGATGCCACGCATCTGTTGACCCGTGCCCACCACATTGTCCAGTCCCAGACTCTCCACCTTCTCCAGCAGCTTGATTGAGCGCAGCGCTCGGCGCTCCAGGCGCGACAGGCTGATCTTATTGTGAACACTCATGCGCGACGGACGCTCCACCGGCTGCGGCTCCACATGGCCGATGAGCTTGCGCCGCAGAATGTCCGCACCCGAAGACAGGAAACCCGAAAAGGACGGATCTGGCGACAGTGAACGTGTTGGAGATCCTTCTGCAAGACACAAAGCCAAAAGAGAAAGAAAGAAAACGAGAATTAGTAACTCTTCTTGCCACTTAACTTCAAGAAAAGGCTGATTAGCACAGATAAGATGAAAGTGTGTTCCGCCCTTTTCATTATTTTGTTGCCTCAATTGGTGGTTTCGAGAAACCTCCAATAAAAACATCTTATCAAAGTCTCTAATTCAATTATACAAATATTTCCATCATTGCTCTACATAATAGGACTTTCTCTCCTTCTCTCTCCAAAAACCTCATTACATTTTATATGTAATTTTCTGTAAAATATATAGAGCATTTTCTCAAATTCAATTAAACCCAAACAAAACAAACAGCAAAAGTATATCGAATGAGATAGTCATCAAAGAAGATACCTGAATTCAATTTATATAATTTTATGTTGCAGAACATCATAAGAAAACACAATTTCCATCAATTTGTTCAAAGCAGCAAATAGACAAATTTAATGGGAAGTGAGCTGCAGTTGATGTTCTGAAAATTGCTTTTTTTCCCAACCACTCTGCAATAAATTATGCACACGAGGCAGCGATAATGCAGCCGAAAAGCCGCTAGCGTGACCGATAATCATATTTTCGTGAAAGACCAGCCGAAAAAGCGATGGCCACACTCACCTGGACTGTTGCAAGGAGTGACTGTGGGGGAGAAATTGGGGCCAGCGGGTGTGTTGAGGGCGCTCGGGGTCACTGCCTTGATGCCGCGCTCATTGAGCATGGAGGCCAAGCCCAAATTCACGGAGAACGTCGAACACGAGTTCCGACGCGAGAGACTGTGACGCGGCGTCGGCGGCGCCGTGGATTGTCGTGAATTGCACTCAGACGCCACTTGAGATGTCATCTGTGATTGTGGCATGCTGAAGCTCAGCGTCGTGCCATCGTCCGGATGCATCACAGTGCTGTTTGTGTACGTGTAGATGCAGCCAGACGCTTGGAATCTCTTGCCCGGATGCTCCTCAGCGTCCTCCTCCACGTCCGACAGCGAGTAAGTCTGCAGCGAGAGACGGAGAAATTGAGATTGCACTTGTCGAGAAAAGTCTGGCCGCTCAATTGCAGCACACAATCACTTCTAATGCCTCAACACCATCACTTGGCCAGAAAATTGATTTTAATTGCAATGATTGCCGTTCTCCCCCGAGTTAAATGCACGATAAATTGGCCTTTCATTCAGAATTAGAAGCACAAAAGTGGAAATTATTGTAATCTCTTCCTCAATTAACATAACCACCAATATTTTATACTTCACTCAATCAACTGGCGGCTAATTAAACTGGAAGGAAGTTAAAAAGAAAAACTCACCTGCAAACCAAGTTCGTCCAGTTCTCTGCCGCCGCGGATCTTCACGCCAGGTCTGTCCTCCAGGAGACCACTGAGCGTTGGCGTGGCCAATCGTGACCAGTGATGTAGCGTCTGAGATCCCTCCATAGGCTTCACAATCTTCAGCTTCTCCGGCAAGCGCCACGAGGGATGATGCAGCGACATGCCCGACGATCCTGTGCTCATGATACTGTCCGGTGTTCTGTAGCCCAGCGGAATTCCCGATCCCATCTCGTCATAGCTGTACGTGCCCGCCGGCGCATGTGACAGCATCGCCCGCCTGGCCAGCACCTCAGACGGCGTGAGACGCTTCAGAGCCGCCTCGAGATCCTTCGCCCCCGGCACACCGGGCACTCCAGCTCCCGATGGCGCCGGATAGCTGTCGTCCGAGTCAGAGATGAGACTCTCCCGGGACTGCGTCCGGGCACCCATGGAGCTATCGAATGTGGGATAGGCCACAAGTGTAGAAGACTTGGTCGTCTTGGGCACCGTCGACACACTCGCGAATGATGACATTCGCGGCTGTGACGTGAGCGAAGTGATGGACATCGCCCCCAAGTTCGACACTGTGCTCGATGAATCCTGACTGCTGCTCTTCGAGGCGCACTTCACCGTCTCGAACACCTTCTTGAACACCGGCGTCGTGCCACCAGCTGTGCCTCCACGCTCCGACGCGATGCCCGAATCCAGGCTATTGTCTGAATACAGCGATGACTCCATCAATTCCGACTGCAGTGAGTCAACCTGAGGGATTCCCATGCCGGGAATGAGAGAACTCCTCACCGCCGGACGCTTTTGCACCTTCTTCAGCTGCTCTTGCGTCTCGTGCAGCAATGCCAACACTTCTTGGTAGCGCGTCTTGAATTCCGCCAATTCTCCCGCCAACAGATTCTGATTCTCTTTGGTGATGCACAGCAGTGATGATTGCTCCTCATTCTCCGTGGTGATCTGATGCAATCGCATCTCCGCGTCCGCCAGACGCGCCGTCAAACTCATTATCTGCTCATGTTGCAGCCTATTCTCCTCCTTGTAGCGCTCCAACTCCAGATTCACCCCCTCGAATTGGGTATTTGTGCTGGACAATTGCTGTGTGATATCCGCCACGAGGCGTCTCTCCTGCTCCTCCGCCTCATCGAACTCCCTGGCAATCTCGGCCGTCTCCATGCGCAACTGTCGATTCTCCTCCTCCAACGTGCCAATCTTCTTCTGCAGCAGATCCAGATTTATTGACTTGGCCGCACTGGGTGATGCATTTTCACTGCCACACTCATCACAGTCACTCGTGAGCACGGCCAGGAGTTCATTCTTCTGGTGAAGCTCATGTGACAACTGCGACAGATTCTCATTCACCGTCTTCACCTCCGTCTCCAGCTCAGCCACACGCGACTCCAGACGATTGTTCTGTGCCAACAGCTGATTCCCAATGTGCACCGTCAACTCTAGATCCTTCTGCTTCTCTTCCAGCAATCCTGTGATGGCCTCAATGTCATCGTATGTGCGGCTCATTTGGCTAACACGATTTCCCGAGAGAACTGCAAGACAGAGAGAGCAGAGAAAAACACCATTAGCTACTCCTCCCAAAGATTCTACGCATCCCGGAAAACCTCTTTATCTGCCTCTGATGCAGAAAGTCTGTCTGGCATGTGAAACACTATAAATTAACTCTTATGTTGCCTTCAAAAACCCCTATTTTACCCTCCTATGACCGTAGGAATCAACAAAGAGACTTTAAAACTGATTTTTTGTCGATTTCTTGCCGGAAATCCGCGAATTTTTCAAATTTTTCACACTTCCTCCCAGATAGTTATGACGTAAACTCAATATTTTTCAGCAATATCCATGCAATATGGATCCTTTTTCCTCGCGCAGACTCAGAACATTTTCGTGAATATTCACCTCACCGTGTTTGACCCCCTTTGCACACGCTCTTCTCTCGTCACACTCTCCTCGTGGGAATTTCACTGATACCGCAATTATTGAGCTACATTACATAACAACACTATTTTTGTGACACATCAATAGAGTGTAATTCTTGTCTAAATATCAACCCAAAAAGTCACCCCCCAAAAACCACTCCCAAAATTGCAAACTTGTGCGCATTATTAGCGAATAATGTGAAAAATTTCACCTAAAAAGCCGCTAAAAAGAGCAACATTTTCTTCATAATTGCTGAGAAAATATTACTTAGGCGCTCAGAGAATCTCTGACTGAGAAGAGAAGTCTTAAATTGGAAATGAGTCACACAGATGGAGAATGGCTTTGGCACGATTTCTGCATTAATTCAAACCAGAGCCTGAGGATTTTCTTCTCTTCTCATGACACAACTCATGACTTGAAACTGAAAATATAGAGTAGAATATCTGACGAAGATGAAGTCTCTCTTATCAGCAGTGTGAAAAATGTGATTAAACTTGAGGCACAACATGTGGAAGATTCTCTGAATTTTTTCCCCGTGAATTATCACTGAGACAAACACAAGATAAATGACATAACTTCGAGTGAAAACGAGTCAGTTTTAGCCATGAAAATTATTTTGTGGTTTTTCATGTTAACAACATTAACCCAGCAAAGCTCCGGACGCACATTAATATCTATATATTGATGTGATAGTTACAGAACATTCAACTCATAATGGGTTAACAGACGTTCAAGAAGATCTCTCACCATGAAGGTTTTTCCACGCTCTTGCATATTAATTTTACTAAACGAGACCTTTAACAGAACTCAACAGAAAATTTACATACAACATTCCACAAATGTGAATTGAGGAAAAATTCATATAAGGAATTTCTCTATAATTCATGTCTTTTTCTTGTCTTCTCACACAAAATCCATTGCAAAATATCACATTACTGGGTTAGAGGAAATTTCTATGCCCACGCAAAATATGCTAAAAGCACCTTTTATGCAGAAATGAATATACCCAGAATGAATGAATGCGCGTGAGATTTACTTCATACAATTGAATGATGAATTTGATGAGACGAGCTAGAATGTGTTATATAATACAATTGAGTGAATTTCACGTGCAAATTATCTCGTATAGTCAGACTAACTCTCCTCATCTACAATTAACTCTCAATCTAATGGTCTATTAAAAGAAATTGGCGCTTTAAATACACCTCCTGAGAGTGCAATGCTTCTTCTTCGTCATTTTCCTCTCTATTTCTCTAGAGATTAGAAGCGAAGATGCTGGGTAAAATGCCATCCAATGCCATTGACTTTTTATTTGTTCATTTGCCTCCCATTCACCCCAATATGCGCACATCTTCTTTACATCATTCACTAATAAACACCCAGCTTTCCTACTACTTTTTTCCACATCTCTTCTTCTTTTTTTGTCCCTCATTTAACACTCGCTTCACCGCAAACAATATATATTGTGAAGGCGCGAGGGAGACACTTAACTGAGAAGGTCAACAAAAGAGATGTGTAAATATTCTCAATCAACAGTCGAAAGAAAAACAGAAAATGTGAAAATTAAGATCAAGCACGTCACAAGATAATGCAGAGGGTGATGAAGAAAATACTCCTTATGTCTCTCTGTGGGGCTAACCTTTGGAAAAGAGTTGTTCACACTCTGAGTCAGTTAGTAAAAATGATTCCTTGAATTCTTGATAGTATAAATGACCATTGAGTGGCGATGATGATAGTTCACAATTATGGCTGATATTTGTACTGTTACAGTCTTCATTGTTGCGCCTGCGACTTCCCACAGCATCATAAGAATCTTCTCGCGATATGGCATGCACTCGGAAGACACTCTGTCTCTGCTTAGCACATCGAATTGTCTCACAGTTCTTGGATATGCCAAAATTTGCACCTGAATCACACTCATCCAGTGACTCTGCTAATTCATCATTTAATGAAATTTCCAAACCATCACACATTTCTTCACCATTCACTGCCTTTCTTGGCCTTTCCGCCAACCAACGGAAATTAACTTCACCATCAACATGACAATCATCATCATCTTCACTCATCCCGTCAACCAAACAGTGATTTATCTTGCCTAGATTTATTTATTTATTTTTTACCTCCTTTAATGGTTCTCAACTTCCCCCTCTTGCATTATTAAAACAATTTCATATCAAGCAAATTACATTCTTCAACACAATTTCTGGACTTTCTGATTGAAAACAGGCAGAAAAGAATAAGAGTGTGCAAAATGATGGAAAAAGTAGCGCTAATTTTTATTTATTTTTTTTCTTCTTCTTCGTCTTCTCCTTTTCTTGCACTGTTGCTCACTTGTTGTGTTTTTTTTTATGTAATAAAATTGTGAAAATATCGATCAAGCGTGTACTAAATGAAAAAATACGTATAATAAAAGTTGCACAAATACACCAAAGGCACACACAGCAACACCTTGAAAAACTATTACAGCAGCAGCAGAGCTTTTGCGCCCAAAGAAAACACACTCTTTCTTCACCCAAAGCAAAGTGCCTCCTCCATTTGAAATTACGTGATCTCACAAATCGACACAGAATCACAACCAACTCAGAGCAATTCACACGATTAACTGAGTCAAATACCACAGAGTTCAACCTCTCTTCGCGATGCTCTTTTTCCTACAATATCCAGCCAATTGTTTTGCACACCCTCGGCGATGGCAAATCTCACTCTCTGCATGTCACAGAACAGACAACAAAATGAGGATATAACATTCGAGTGGAATCAGGTCATTGGTGGATATTTGTGGATAAAAATATCCATGGTTGAATTGCAAAAAAAAACAGCAAATCGATAAATTTTTCAAAGAGAAGAAATCTCTTGCCAAGTTCATTGGCGAACATATTTCTTTCTTTCTTTGCAATTTCCTTCCCAATGATCACACGCAAAAATATATTATTATACGCAAGCCATTTGCACAAATATTTTTAAATTTGAGAAATCGTTGAGAAGAAATCTGCAATATTTGCCTTCTTTTAAAAATCATTTCAAACATTCATTACAAATATCCATTCTAGTGATGAAATATGCTGGATTTTATGATTTTCATTTTACTATTATAATATTCATACTTCATCGAACATTTTGTTTCAAAAAAGTGGTTTAGTGTCAATCAGAAGAAACTCTCAAGTGAGAAAAAAGAGGAAAAATTGTGTGTTGATTAGCAGAACAATCAAGTGTGAAAAACTTTGCTTTTTTCACATTTCTTGATAAGCATTAAATAAAGTAACTAATCTGTAGACTTGCTCTAAAAGCGAATGATTCTTCTTAGAAAATCTCACGTAAATTAGAGTCTTAAAATGCAACAGAGTCAAATTTAGTGCATCTGCGTGACAAACAGCAATCAACTTGCAGCCTTGTGCATTATCTTTTACAAGGAGTGGCTTAAGCTTGGTGGAAATTACCCACACAAATTTACTAGGGAAAGGAGAAGCTCATCTTCTTTCTCTCCAATCTACCTGTTCCCTCATTTACCCTCCTGAGAAACCAAACAGACAACAGCAAATATTGTATTTAAGGGAAAACGCAAGGCACCACTCACTGCCCATTATCACACAAATATTGTCGTATATTTGTTTAATTAACAAACATTTCATTTTTCTCCGGGTGTCGTTTGAGCGGAAAACTTCCTTCTCATGCCGACAATAAACAACTTAAGAGAGAGCCTCAATTATTGCATGAAAACTACAAATGTTAAATGTCTTTTTAAGTGTTCACAATAAGCATTATTCGTCAATCGCAAAAACCAATATTTTTCTGTTTTCTTTTTCTAATTCTCCTTATACTTTAATCATTATAAATAGGAAAAATTAATGCAATTCCTTATGGATCACTGAAATTGTGAACTCTCAAGCTAAAAATACACTCATTTTCAACCCAAAATTTCATACAGAAAAGTGTGAAAAAAAGTGAATTGTAATCCAATTGAGTGGTAAAAAGGAAATTTCTACTCAATTATTCATCACATGCCGACGACTTTCTGCCAATCTCCAAAAGGTGAGAAATTGCTAAGTCAAAGGCATTCTTCTGCCTTTTACGTCTCTCCCAGCATGAAATTCCTTATTCGCATGAGAATTCTCTCTATTTCAACTTCTTTTGGGTAAATAAATGACTAGAATTCTCAGTTAATTTGTGTTGTTATTCTCTAGTCACGCGAAATATTCTTCTGTCCACCCAAAGAGACTGTAATTAAAGAGATTTTAGTAAGTTGAAAATGAGGAAAACATGAATGATAAAAAAGCATAAATTCTCATGAGATTTGAATCTTTTTGTGTCGCTTCTTTTGGCAGCTTTTCACTCAATTTATCTACTAAGAATTCCCGAGAAGTGTTTGAAGATTTTCCCGGCTAATCCGACTGATTTTCCCTCTTCCGAAAATTGATTACCAATTAACCATAGATTTCTTGTGACCCTCAAAATTCACAATCATGGATTTCTACTGTTGGTTCATTAACTATAACCAGAGGAAATTGCTGTTTCTCATTAATTGCCGTACGTCATTGAACAGTGACGTGCTCTTTTCACGAAAAAGTGAATTTGTAATTCACTCCGAGTCTCGTGATCTAAATGGAACTTTTCCCCTCTCTTCAACTGTCTGTCTCTCGCGCCCCGCATGAAAAACAATTCTCGCAGCAGCAAAGTAAATCGGACAAAAAATGCTTAGGCACATTCAGCACACCAATTACCATAAATAGATCGTAGAAATGAACAAAAATATACCTGGTGAAAAGAAGCAAAAAGCTTTTTTGTGAAAAGAAGTGTGAAGAATTTTTGCAAAAATATTTGGCTTTGTCAATTCCACCACACGCGCGCTCTCCTTCCAACTACGCACAAGTGCGCTTTTCCATCCACTTTTTCACCAACTACTCATGTCCCCAACAGCACAGCAAATGCCTCATCATGCACTCAATATACTGCCAATGCACTATTTCAATCGAAATCTTCTGTTTTCGGTGGATTTTCTGCACAAAATCACTTTATTTTTGGGGCCTCCTCTCAACCTTCGCCGTCCAGACAGTTCCGTGACATTTCACCAACTGACAACCAAACATGCGCATATGCACGACGCGAAGTTTGCCGCACACACCATTCTCACCACTCCATCGCCGCGAGTCACAGTGGTGAAAATGTGAGAGCCGCAAACACGCGCGTATTTCATGTAAAAAGCACATGAGCTCGAATTGTTACATAAACTATTCGCTGAAAATAGCCTTATCAGTCTCTACAAATGCTACATTTTTCGCCAATTAATCCAACACTATTTACTCACGCTGTATTCTATACAATCTTGCTAATGCAGATCCCTGAGATACTCGCAAAATTAATCGATGATGTACACAAACGCAGAGTAATTTGATATACTATACAGCTAAATAATGGGGATGTTTCGTAACAACATTTTGTCATTTGTAAAATTGCCAGCTAATGCCAAGAATTGGAAGCATTTCATTCATTAAATTTGTCACAATCATCTCAAATTGGCAGTCATGATGATGATTAGTTTCATAGTTTTGTGATTCTGAACGTTATCTGAACACAAAGCCTCTAAGAATTTTTCAACATGTTGCATTCAGAATTGTTTTCGCTTGTAAAAATAGATGATAAAGATTTTGTTGAGCTTTATATTCGATTTTTGGGCGGTTTAATGTGAAGCTCCGCCTATTCAGATGCCCCGCCCACTTGAAATTTCCTTACTACTGAGATTTCTGCTGTGAAATCCTCATCCTATGCCTTAGTGCTAAAAACTTTATCAAGCACTAGAATCTCATCCACTCCAAGTGAAGTGTGCATTTAGACAATGATATCAGTAACCATTTCCACATACTTGCAAAAAAAAACGAATGAAATATAGCCGGAAAAATTACCTCTATCGTCTCTTAAATGCTTGATAACACGAAGGTAGAGATTTCCCGTGGGCTCTTTGGCAATGTGATACAAATAGTCCGGGCGTTCGCCCTCAGTCCTCAGGACATCTTCACCACCACACTGATCACTGTGCTGTTCGCCAGCCGGAATCACGGGATTCTCCGCGAGATCTCTGTGCGAGCAGAAATTACTGAGAAAATCCCTGAGCGAGTGATTCTCCGGCGTGTTTGCGAGCTCGCGAATCCTTGTCGTGGCCTCAAGTTCCAATTCCAGCTCAGTGGGAATCGGCGCGAGATCCTCTTGGACGTCAGACTCCTCGCTAATGGAGTGAAGGAACGCGGGCAGCACGAGATCTTCGCGCCTCGGCGACGAGACACTCTGCGTGAGAACCTTGATTGTGTTCCCGAAGCCACAGCTCGAGTCAAATGGAATGGATTTGGGTTTCTGTCTCTTCTCGCCACACTTCTCCTCCTCATAGTCACTTAACAGGCCACCCTTATAGTCACTACCGCGATCTACAGCGATCTCCTCCGCACATTCCTTGGCAACACTTCCTCCACCTCGGTAACTTGCCATTCTTCTTCTTTTCTTCTTCCACGAGTCACTCGGTCACAAGCATTCGTCATCACTGGCGTTTTTGGCTATTTTTAACACCACTTTCCCCACACACTTTGTATCCTTTTCCGCGCTCTACTCACGCTTCGCCACTCTGTGAAAATTCATGCGATTCACTATCGAAATGTGATAAGATGAAGAATTATATATTATATCAGCACAAAAAATCATTATATTGAAGCGACGTGACGAAAAGTAGAAGAAAAGAAGCGAGATAAGACTGAAGTGCAGAGTTCTCCTCTCTTTGGTATGTGTAATTAATTCACTCTTTGAAAAAATCATTCAATTGAAATATTGAGTGGAAAATTGCGTGATTTTTCCCTTCAAATGTATTACTCAATTATGGTTCATTCTGCTATATATGTATGTAATATAAAATGAATAGTAATTTATTCATAAATTAAATACTATAGAGGAAAATCCTCTATCATTACAGAGTGAGCCCAATTTTCTGTGCAAAAGATATCAATTAGATTCAATATTGTGTTATTTTTCTAACAGAAAACTCCCTTTTCTTACAAAGTGGAAAGCGCTCAAAGAATTGAAAGGAATAAAGGACGATTGCTGATTAAACTTTAGACAGAATTCACATAAAAGTGTACAACAATTACCACACCCTGTGAAAGTTATCCATGTCTAAATCGAGATCCAATTGAGTACTTTCTTAGCTTCTGCAGAACATTAAAACTACATTTTTTCTTCAATTATCTCAAGTACACATCTCAGCCCAAAAGGTGGGAGAGAAAATGCTGTAATTTTCTCTGTCTCGACACACTTTATCACACCAAGTAATTATTATTTGCTTTTAATACAATTCGAACAGAATTTACCAACTCTCCCAATTACAATTAATTTAATTTAATATCCAACTCATATATTTTTCTTCATTTGCAATTACAGATATGAAAAAAAAGAACTCGTGCTTTCAATTTGTAACTTCTTGTGTGTTTTTTCTCTCTCTTAACTCGCCAATGGAAAGAAAAACCCCGATTATATTGCACTAACGGCGAAAAATTACATATTCTCACATTAATTTCTTTTTTTTTTTCGACACGTCACAATAAACAGTTTATATTGGTAAACCGGTATAAAATATTGATTTATATGATTCTTCATATATCACACAACGAATTCATCATCATCATTTAACTTTTTAACCTCACTCACATTATTCGACAGATTGTCATACTTTTCTCTCCCACATGAATATAAATTTCCACAATTTACAAAACACTCTTCAATTGTGTCATCTCAACGCCCGAAAATCACTCACATTCTCTCTCTAGACACACAATAAAAATGTGTAGTTTCATCGGACTGCCTATAAATAATTATTAAATATTATTAACAAACATGTTACGTACGTCCGGCACTCACAGCGGTTCAGTCAATACTAACACACAACGCAAGTGCCTACAAAAGTATTTTCAGACTCGATAATCGCGCCTCTTTTCCTTCCCTTCTTTTCTCTCTCATTTCTCTCACACCCAATCTATATGTGTGCGCTGCCCATCGAATTATTATTTCATGAAATTGTAAAGTCATAAAATGCAGAGGTCTCAACAGAAAAAAAACACTCTGCAGATAAAATTGCCACCGGCTGAAAAAGAAGTGAAATTCTGTAGGATTAATCAAGAGGACTTAGAACCACTTTTATAAATAAAAACAATCTAATCAGCGCTTGCACGTTGGCTTATCGCACAGCAACAATAAATGTTGAGACCAGAATCATTTTTTTGGTAGCTTTACTCATTTCTTGACACCTTTCAGAAGGACCGCAAATGAATTATTCCATTGAATATATTCACTCACAATCGCACCCGACAAATTGTAATCATGATCGCAGTTGCAATAAAACATTCAATTTATTGATTTCCCCACCACAAAAAGAAACGCTAAAGAATCAGCCCAAAAAGATAACAAAAGGCCAAAAGAAAGCGACGCAGTTGGAGTAGAGAAAATTCACCCACAAGATAGGATGAGTGAAGGAGAAACACTGAGAAAATTCTGTGACTTGAGAAGCCAAAGTTTTCTGGAAATCGTTGGCACTATTCCAACTTAAACACACACACAAATACAGACAGAAACTTCAGCAGTAAATGGCCCAAAACACACTCGTATTTTTCAGCTAAAAGCCAGAGATAAAAAGGCACTAAAAGTGACCTATGACCTCTGTACGTATCTGAAAAGTTCTGTCCTACTTCCCTAGCTAGCTTTTGCCATCCAACAGACACGCTGTCGCAAAATTGATCCACACACCATTTTTATTCTCCCTCCCAAAAGAAAGCCGAGGGGACAGCGACTTGGGCGCTAAACGTTGCAGTGAAAAATGCATTGCCTGTGAAATATTGTGCAATTAGTGGATAGAAAAAACACGATATATTTTGACAATGAAAATGGAAAACCGCCAAGAGGTTATTTAAAGAGATTACGTGACACAAAACTCTTTTTCTTTCATTTCAATCACGAACTTGTTAAGCGAACAAAAAGAAAGGTTTTCACACATTCAAGTCGCTCTCCAGCGGGTTTTTTGGCAGAAGATGTCCAATTTAGATGACAGACGTGAACGAGAAAAAGCAATTTTTTTACCCGATAAAAAATAAGAGAAATTGTAACGATGCTCACGAATGATATTTATGATTAATCCTGTTATTGATGGGAAGGTGAAGAAAAAAAAATGGTGCAAAACACTTTGGAGAAATGTAAATTGATGCATTGCATAATTTGAGGAAGCAACCTTTTACTAATCCAAAGAGTTAATCTTCAGATCGTGACTTTGAAACTGAAGGAAGAGGAATTTTAACTACATCTTCGCTCTCTTCATTTTTATTCGATTTGTTTTATTTTTAAAAGCTTTTAACTCCATTAAAATCTCACAGTGAATACTCTTAATGATTCACCGAAAGTTCCCAGTTTGAGTGCTTCTTGATAAACCAAACTGAATTGATAAGCGAAATCATTTCTATGCGACTGCTAAAATTCAAATCTTTCCTTTTCTGTTTCTTTATCTTCCCTCGATTATTAATACCGTCGACCTTCGCCTAAAAAAGCCATTTAGAAAGTAAAATGAAATTATTCTAGTCAACAAAATACACGAAATGTCGAACACTGTCTCCATTCTCTGCCATAAATTCTTAATGACATTCTAATTTTACATCGCTGAGAAATTGCAGGTGGTCTGCGAGAATAAACTCTGGCTTGTTATATTTCTGATATTCTTTTCTCTCTCTCGGCAGATCAAACTAGATATCAAGAGAAAGAAAAAAGTCTCTGCGCTGGTCGAAAATACGATCATTTACGTCACCGAATTCTTCTCAAGTGCTTCACACGAGTGAAGTTCAATATAGGAAAACAAACAAGAGATAAATCTCAGCGCAGAGAAAAATCATTTGCAGAAATGTTCAAGTGTTGCATGGCGCAAAAGGAGAACATGTTCCCATATTTCGCACACTGTGGCCCAGTAAAGTGAAGATCATTCCGACAAATTCTTCTCCCTCAACGCATTGATTTGCAACACAACTAATTCATCTCTCACGAATGCCAATTCGTCACAAGGTGAAGTAAATAGGGAAAAAAACATGTCTATTATATATTTCTCCATATCACACACACAAAAAGGAGTAAAAAACTCAAATAACCAATGATCACGCGATAGCACAAATATGCTTTGCAAATCATACCAAAATTATTCAATTGTGAATTGATGTTCATTTTCATCTCAGGAAGCTTAATTGGCAGAAGATTACATTTTTTTTTATTTAATTTTGAAAGTCACTCTCTTTGCGAAATTACCATTTTATTATTATTATCTTCTTTTGCTATATTTTTGTTTGCACTCGCGGATGGAAATAAGTTTCTAGAAGTGAATTACCGTTGAATATTTGATATTTCTCTCTCTCTTCAGTTATTTTTTTTTATATTCATTCATATTATTTATTAGTCACACTTTGATTACCATTGCCGGATGGAGTACACACAGGGAGAATTTATGCTCCACATGAATAAAATTGTTGTAGATAAACTGTAATCAAATTATGGACAAAGAGAATATTTATTGCAACAACAATGTTTCTATATAGTGTGAATAAACTCACACTCGAGGGTCAATCGCGTGGTCAGTTTAATTCATCTTTGGCGCAAACTAATCGATAGATTGCGATGGCCTAAAGACTTCAATCAAGGCAGCAAATAAACTTCAATGTACAACACGCTGTTTGATATCATAGAGAAAATTACCTTTCTACATTGCGTTTTACTCAATGAAATTCGTGAGAAAATAGTAATGATTCATTGTAGAATTTGCTCACAACACAGCTCCGCCCAAACCCACTTCTTAAAAAGCCTCTTAATGTACAGTAAAGTCATATGAGTGGAAAGAAAAATCAATTTCATACACTCAAATTACGTGTCGCCAGAACTCCAGCAGAGAGAAAAAAAAGGTTCATAACAAGATGATTTTCTCTCTGCATAGAAAGCCAAACCAGAGAGAAGATTCGTCTGGTAAACATGGTTAAAATCGCACATATCTTGAGTGCAAAATTCATCATTTCACGAAGGCAATTTTGCTCACTTATCGCACTCAATCATGCATTGAAGTGGTTTAACAATGCTCAACAGGGCTCAAAAATGTTGAGAAACATGAGAGGAAGTCACCAATTAATGAATTCACGCTTTTCCACCTTCACGAGGAACTCGGAATTTTCCATCGTTTTTCGGGAAAACTCCACAAATTCACGTTGATTATCTTTTACACGGCTGTGATTCTGTTCATATGCAGTGTAATTAGAGAAATGCATACATAAATAGCATTCCATCTCATATGAATGGTCAATAAATTTCCAACTTAGACTCTCAGCACTAATTGTAACATGGAATTGTAATGAAGGAACACAAAATTCAACAGATAAACAGAAATCGCAATAAAGATTGTACAGAGAATTACTGTGATGACCTCAAAAATGGAAGCCATCACACACTTTGTGATTAATAACTCATCATTCTGCTGTTTTCACCATTATTCACTCCCGCACTCGACCTCAAAATCCGCCCAATAAAATCAATTGTGACGCCAGAACTTCGGCGACAGAATCAAAGAAGAGATATAAAATGTACTTACAGAAGTAATTCAGTGCCTCGCGACACATTTCCTTCGACAGAATGAGTCCAGCATCTGGTTGTGGAAGTGCCGGAAAAGGTATGAACCAATCTTCATTCTCATATCCACCGAATTGCGTCAGTGAGTCTGCTCGGAGTTTGTACTTGGGAATTTGCTCCTCCAGCAGTGAAAATATCTCCACTTCGGGCAAACAATCAGAACTGCAGAGATCTGAAAGACAAGAGAAAGAGAGAGCGAAATCAATTGAAATTCAATCAAAACAAGTGGAATAAATTGTCTATTTATCACATCTACTGACGATGAGACAGAATCTTTACATCTGCAACACATTTTCCAAGAGGGAATAATATAAATTACACTGACAACTCCATCCATTTCCTTTGAAAAATGACACATACAAATTTCTACATCGCGTATTCTCCAGAAAAAGTGATATCAGAAGATCAGCATACAAAATGCAAAAATGCCCTGTGAAGAAAGTTGTCTCTCATTGTGAATTCGAGCTGTGTTATTTTCTCTCAGGCCATTTACGCAATTAATTTTTCTGGCAATTGCCGCCTCTAACGCAAAAACCCCTTCCGCCCGCGTGAATGTTGCGCCATTTGGAGTCACGCCAAGTCGCCAGTGGGATGGGGATGAAGCCTCCCAGTCTATTCAACTTTTTCCACGCACGCCAATTGATTTTCCCGCCACTCTCTCTGTGTCCTCTTCCTTGCGGTAGCTCCTCTCCGTCATTCGTCCTTTGTCAACCCACCTGTGAGACACTCGGCATCGCGCTTCTGAACGACGTGAAATGTGGCGGACTGGATGAGACGCTTGGATGGCAATCCCGGCAGGTGTTTCTTGATGGTCGTCTGCGTGAGGGGACTCAGTGCGCTTCCTTCAAATCCTCCATGCCCACTGCTTCCGCCCTGGCCAGCCGGAATCATTGATTTAAGCTCTTAACTGGTGGAGACACACGAAAAACAAGAAACTCATTAGATTCTCGCTCCCCAAACACTTATAATCCCCCCACAAAATAGATTGCAGGTGATGATTGTGATACAGAACAAAGGCGCCCCTCGATTGATAACTCACTCAAATACCGTGGAAAAGTGACGAAAACGTGTCAGAGCTCATGCAACGCTGGAGAGACAGTCACAAACTGACCTCCAAACCTCTGGCACTGCCTTTCGCACCCTTGGCAATCCCTCAGGAGTGTGGGAAAGGGAATTAGCCTGCCAGAGTGAAGAATTAGGGATCAATTGTACACGAAAATCTTCCACATAGAGAGAGCAATTGATATTTTTAACAGGCTATTTTGAGGTGCATCTCTCACTCGATTATCTAACAGGGCATATATCTCAATTTCCTCCTCTTGCAGCCTCTTTGAATGCCCACACAATGTGTTTTTCGGGTCACGAGACAGGCTCGCAACTCACTCATCAGGTCTCCTGAGAAGTCCTGGAAAATTCCCAAGATAAGTGCAACATCTGCTTCGCATCTTCACGTGACTTTCTTCGCAAATCTACCTGATTCTCGTTATCTTTAACACCCCGCATAAATCAACAAAAGCCTTTTACTTTCTTTGACCTTCCCGGACTCCAATATAATCCATCCAAATAAAGACCTAAACTGCCAACAGCCAACAAGGTCTCTTCTCTGCTGGTCAATATATTTCGCAATTCTCTTGCAATTTTACACCTCTCCGCCTCAGAAGTCAGAATCGAGCGTGTAAAATAGATCGAGGGTGTTGGAAAATAGCTGAGGAAGTCATCTCTTTGCTCCTTTTGCCTAACATTTTGGATCACGCACTAAAAATAAACCATCAAGCAAACACATTTGCAGAAACTTTTGTGCTTCACAGACCGATTGTCAGCGAGAAAATCGCAATGGAGGCTCTCAAGTGAGTCTCACGGATGATTTCTGCACGCTCTCCGTGGGATTCTGGCCGGCACTGAGGCGAGAGAAGCCTCCTCTTTTCCTGGAAAATGCTCTACTTTTGTGGAAAACGAGCCACCATTAGGGGATGAGGGTCTTGTGGAGAAAAGCAGGTCAATCACACACGATTTGCCCTCAGAAATCGATGAAATCCGCGCTGCCAAGACTTCTTGCTTCTTTTCCTCGCACATTTATCATCCTCTGTCTCAAGTCCAAGCACTTTTGGGTGGCTTCTTGGCAGAATTGGGCAGATTTTAGCCGAAAAGCGAGGCAAGTGGCAAGCAATCGGGGGGTAAGCCTGTTATGTAAATACACAATCATCACTGCTTTTGCGGCATTTACCTTCTCGCTCAACCACAATTATCCTCTCAATTGTCTACTCCATTGCCCAATAAACAACACAACATCCATAAATTTCAACTAATATTCCTAGATATTTCACTATTTAACTTTTTCTCGCGTCCCTTTTAGCACCACACACAGAAAAGCAAAAATTTCCCTCTGACATTCACACTTGGTGGGGAGTTTGACATCGCGAGTGGTGAGTAGCCGTCGCCCCTGCCACCAGAGGGCCACATTCAAATGCAACGGACAATTAACACCTGGGTGATTAATAATTTGCACCTCCTCTCTATTTGCTCTTCTGATAAATTATCTGACGTCTTCGGGAAAATATTTGCCAAGCAAATGTGCTCTTTCGCGTCAGTGTCTCTATTGCGAAGGATGAATTTGATGAGAGGGTTTATTTGCAGTCAGAAAGCAGGTCATTTTCACTTTTTAATTCACCAAACAAACACTTACAAAACTTGGTAAATCCAAAACTACACGAAACCATGAAAGGCTAAAATTAGATCAATTATCAGACTTGTTTATAAACACTTTTCTTTGCCACGATTCTACAGATTTACACCCATGAAGCCACTTCCGGAAGCCGACTGATGGGTATGTTTGGAAAAGTCACAAAACACAAGTCTTATCGATCGATTGCTACCCCTCTTGCCCACCTTGGCCGCAATCTGGGCATTCCAAAATCCATTTGCTCACGAGAAATCGATAAAACTGCGGATTTTATTATCGCTCGCGAAAAAATAAATGATCCGAATCATCAACAAAATGTTAAGCGTCCCTTTACAGGAATTACACACTTGATGGATCGATTGTAATTTCTCTAACTTCTTTAGTTTTTCTCGTTTTTCTAGGCTCTCCTGAAGCGCCCCATTCCAAGAGGCGAAAATGTGGGATTGCGAAAGGCGGGAAAAGAGCAGAGCGCCATTGTCAGTGAAGCGGCGGATCGGCGAGCGTGTGTTTATGCTTCACGGACACCCGCTCTCGGCTTATTTTTTACTAATTTGGCCAGGAAATTGTGCACAAGAGTGAAGTGAATCCTTCTTCGGAGGCTTTTAAATATTTCGGTGCAGAATATTTCCTCATAAATTAATTAATAAAGGTGAGAAACGATTTTTCCTAAGAGCGTGGATTTGAAGGTTATGTTTACAAATGTAAATTTCCTTTATTTTCACAATTTTCAGTGATTTTGCGCAACGCCAAGGATCAAATCATGATTCCAAGGTAAGCTGCAAGTATTCCAGAAGAAACTGGATAGTAATCTTCAGCAATATTCGCAGATCTCCGGAGAAATCAAACGCTTCCATTGTCATCCAAAGTCAGCATATTAATCTGCAGGCGAAAATGAAGAGGGAATCCCTAAAATGGGGCGCTATAAATGTGGCTCTTCTCTCCTTCATCACTTTCGATCTCTCCAACAAGTGTCCGGACGCATTCTCGCGCTGGTTCTACGTGGAATACGCCGCAGCCGGCGTTCTCTTGCTGAGCATCATTTACTACTTCGGCCGGTATCTCTACTTCCTGTACACTTTCTCGCCTATCGTGGGCAGTGAGCAGCAGAGGAAGTTGCTGAACTTCGAGGAGAGCGACACGTCGTTTGTCCTGAAGCCGCCTAAGGAGAAAGTCCAGGATGTCACGTCGTCGCCGGTGAATGTTTCCGGACTAAGTTGGAATTCGTCGTTCAATGACTCCACCACGGCTCTGTCCAGCAGCTGGGCGTACAATCGAGGGTCTCCTCTGCAGGGCACCTTCAACTGCTCCCGTGGACCACTGAATACCAGCAACTCCTCACCAAACACCTCAGCGAACTTCGTGTCGCCCTACAAGAATACTTTCGCTAAGGATCAAATGATCACAGATGAGCAATCTCTGCAGAGTTACCTCAAGGAGACGTCCCTGCAGGAAGCCCGAGCGCTCCTCGAGGAGAATGCTGAGAACAGTCTGGCCAACAACTCCATAAACTCCTTCTGGAACAACTACAAACTCGATGACTATTCTGCTCTCCTGAAGATGTCCATCTACCAATTGTCGCCCACAGCTGCTGCCCCGAAGCCAGGCGCTGTGGACGAGGTGGGATTCTTCTCGGGCACCGATCTGAATGGATCCTTCGAAGTGGGCAAGAAAGTTTCGTCGGCAAAGCTGTCTCACTACGTGACGAATCTCAAGCGGTGGATTTCCTGCACGATTCTGGAGCCTCTCGTGAGTCAGATGGACTTCATTGACAAGGCTTTCCGCGAGATGGGCTTCACGGATGTCCAGCTGGGTGGCGTGGGGTTGGAAAGGTTGCGGAAGACGGCGGAGAATCAGCTTGTTCTCATGCGTGTTCCGTCATTGCCACTCGTGACGCCCTTCCTGGAGGTTTCGCCCAATCAAGAGTATCTCGTGCATCGCATCAGAGACTTGTCGCGCGGCACTTGCATCGCCGACTATCGCTGGAATGCCGGCGCTGTGCTGAACACGCACAAGTGGGATGAACATCTGCCCACGGACTCCGCCATCATCTTCCATCTCTTCTGCACGTACTTGGACAGCCAACTCATGCCGCTGCCGCAGCCCGGCGGAAGGCCGTTCAGCGATCGATACGTGATCGTGGGAGACAAGAAGTCCCAGAAGGAGACGCTGGCGGAGGTGCGCAACAAATCCAAGTGTGCCATTCTCTGCACAAATCCCATCAAGCCATTCTTCAATTTCATCTCTGACGACAAGATTCACGAGTCTGTTCACGTGAGTTCATTTTGTGCTCTCTTTGACTATTTAAAAATCATTTTTTGAGCTGCTTTTTCCAATTGCAGGACCGCAACAACTTATTTCATGTGCTCACCAGATTCATCATCCACATGAAGACTCACCACGAAGGACTCCTAGAGGGCGTAAACCTGGGCAAGAGCGGCATCAATATTTTGTGTGTGGTGGAAGACTGACCGTTCATTGGTTAATAAATTTGAATTTCTCACTTGCAAGATTCTCCGTTGACACTGAGGGCGCTACTGTGCAGTTTGTTTATCATTTGACTGAGATTTCGTGTTGCTAAAGAAAAAGCATTTTTCCACGTTTTTCTAGTGATTTCCCGAGACATGTGTTGATTGTTGGTGCTAGAGGAAGTGTTGAGGAAGATATTTCTGTAATCTGCATGAAAATGAGTGGCCGCGTTGGCGCGAGTTTCCTCATTGCCGGCTCCATTCGATATCTCTTGATGTGCTCCACGTTTGCGTCGTACATCCGAGATCGAGTGGAAGTGTCTACGCCTTTGAATTCCTGGAAGAGAGGTAAGAAGTGCCGTGCAGAACACTGTGGATGCGAGCTAAGGTGATTTTCTTGTGTCTTGCAGTACTCGAGGGGGCGTATTTGCACGAGAATGGAGTGGATCCGTACTCCGGTGACATGTACCATGAGAATCCGCTGATTCTAGTCACAACAAACGTCCTGATAAAGCATCTCTCCGCCTTCATACCGCACCTCTTCGTGGCCATCGATCTCCTGGCGGCTGCTTTCATCTTCGGCACGGCAAAGATCGTGGCGCGCCAGCTGATGGCGAAGCAGAAGCGCGAGCAGAGCACTTATGCCAAAGGCACTGAAGAACTTCAGTTGCTGCCTGAGGATCAGATAAAGATCCCGCTGTACTGCACTGTTGCATATCTCCTCAATCCCTACTCAATCCTCAATTGCGTGGGACAGACGACCACCGTGTGGAGCAATTGCCTGCTCGCGGCGTTCTTCTTCTTCATGGCGCGCCGGCAGATTGTGCCTGCCGTGCTGCTTCTCGTCCTGGAGACGCAGAGGAACTTCTATCCGGCTGTGCTGATTGTCCCTCTGGCGATCGATGTGTATCGACAGGATGGCAATGGATGTCGAAGGTGCTTAGCAATCCGGACGGTGGTGCTGTTCGTCATCGGCTTGGTGTTGGCCACAGTTTCCGGATACCTGATAACGGAGAGATGGACGTTCCTGGACGCCACGTACGGCTTCATCCTCAACCATCGGGATTTGCAGCCGAATATTGGGCTCTTCTGGTACTTCTTCACGGAGATGTTCGATCACTTCCGCGATCTCTTCATCTGGACCTTCCAGATCAACGCCACGGTGCTGTATCTCGCGCCACTGGCGCTCAAGCTGCGCCACGAGCCTCTGATGCTGGCCACAGTCCTCACCGGACTCGGCACAATCTTCCGCTCTTATCCGTGCATCGGCGACGTGGCGCTGTACATGTCTCTGCTGCCCATGTGGAAGTTTGGGCAGAAGTTCATGTCGCACAAGTTCATCGTGGGATGCTTCTTCCTCATCACATCGGTGCTGGGTCCTGTCGTGTGGCACCTGTGGATCTACTCGGCGTCCGCCAATGCCAATTTCTACTTCGGAGTGACACTGGCGTTCGCCACAGCGCAGATCTTCCTCGTCACGGATCTCCTGTTTGCCTACATCAAGAGGGATTTCTGCCTGAAGAACGGACTCACGTTCACGAAGGACGGCAAGGAGGGCAAAATGACCCTCGAATGACATGAGTTCTACATGGACATGAAATTCTAATTCGGCCACAATAAATTAGTAAGTTGACAATTTATTGATGCGGGCAGATCGTCTTGAGTGGGCATTTCTTGACCTCATTGACCTTGTTTGGGGGGCGAAACAGCAAATTGTTTCGGGAGTTTTTATCAAAATAGGGAAATTCTGAATGGACAAATTCCTCCGTGAAGCGTAGAAAATTGCTTAAACAGCTGTTCCGGTGGTTCTGGGAAAAGAAGCAACATTTTTCGCACTTTTTGCAAAGCAACAAGTTCGTGTTCTTGAGCTTGGAATATCCGGAGAATATCAATTTGAAAGACGGAAATTTTCTTCGCACATTCTATTTAACAACATTTTCTCTACCTTCTCTATGAAATAAGTTAAACATTTTAATCCTAATCTATGACTACTTCAGTGACTCGATGTACAGGAAAATCTGCAATCTTCACTCTCTTGAGGGAACTTTGAGTGGGTTTCTGGGCTGGGTTCTGTCAGTGCTTCCGCCTGTAGGTGCTGTAAGTGGCCAGGGGTCTTCGGCAGGCGGTCAGGCCTTCTCCTATGCAGGATGCATAGCCAATGGCGTGCGGGATGAGATTCTGCTCGTACATGCCCACGAAGAGATGCGCCCATGGACCGTTTGCGAACACGGCCACGTCGTCTCCGCCGTGCGTTTCGTCCTTCAGCGGCACATGTGCGGGATAGACGAAGTCATTGACGGTCGGATTCATCTGCGAGAGTCTCTGGGCGTCGGTGAAGTTGGCGCGCGGCATGGCGCCTGGTCCGTTGGCGTACATGAGAGTAGTGTAGGGCAGATTGTCCACATTGCTGCGCTGAGAGTTGAAGTCCAGGATGTTGTTTCCGCGCTCTGCATAGCCAGAGATGGTCATCGTGTGGCTGTGATCAGACGTGACGACAATGAGTGTGTCGCGGGCGTTCGTGAGTTCCGTGGCCATGCGAACAGCTTCGGCAAACTGAACTGTCTCGTCCAGGGCGAGGTGCGCCTTGGCCTTATGGTGAGCCATGTCAATGCGAGCGCCCTCGACGAAGAGGAAGTAGCCACGCTTCTCCTTGGACAGCATCTCAATTGCCGCCACCGTCATTTCCGCCAGCGACGGCTGCTCCTCGTGCTGCGCCTCGAGATTGTAATCCATGTGATCGGGCGCGAACAGTCCCAGCAAGTACTCCGTGGAGTTCGTGTCCACACCCATGAGACCCTTCCGGTCGGAGACGTAAGCCGATGGGCGGCGTTTCTTCTGCACCATCCACTCGTGGATGAGATTCACCCCATCGATGCGCTCACCTTTGCTGCCCTGCTCATCAACCATTCCCTTGGGCAGCAACTTGTTGCGTCCACCGCCCAAGATCACCTTCAGCTTCCGCCCAGGATCACTGTTGATCAGCTGACTGGCGATGTCTTGGCACATTTTGGGATTCTCCTTAGATTTCACCACATCTGCATCGGATTCCCAGTCGCGGTTCGCCGTGTGCGCATACACGCCGGCCGGAGAGGCGTGAGTCACGCGTGCTGTGGTGACGAAACCCGTTCCCTTGCCCGTTTTCTGGGCCCACGCGGCCAGTGAATCGACGTGAGTGGCGGTGTCTCGGGCGCTGGTGCAGTTGTAGCGCTTTACGGCTGCCGTGACGCCAATTGTGGCATAATTGGCTTTCACGCCAGTCAAGTAGGCTGTGGCTGTGCACGCAGAGTCAGCCACTTGCTTGTCCACGCAGTACGTCTGGAAGACAAGATCAGATTTCGGTTAGAATTGCGGAAATTGAAGATGTTCATGACCCAATTCGGCCCATGCAAATGTGAAAGTGTGACAACCGGAATTTTTGGGGAAAAGCACCGGAATTGCTTGCAAATTGGCGAGGAAAAACACTGCGTTAAAATTTGGCTGTTATCTGATATTCCCACAAATCGTCAAACATTTTAATATAAAAATCAATACAACCATAAAATGATCACGTTTCGCGGAATGTCGTCGCGAAGGGGGACAAAAAGAGACTATTATGTATCAATTTCACGTTCAATTAGTTTGATGACATTGAATTGCAAAGCGCGTCGATCGGAGCTGATCATTGAGAGTGAAAAATCGGCACAGGTGAGGGAGAGAGAAAGAGAGTTATCAAGATCACACACCTTTGCCAGTCCTGTGTACGGGAAGTCCTCGAAGAAGAGGCGCGACTCCTCGCCAGTGTGTCCCTGCAGCTGACCCAGGTACATCCGGCTGGCCGCCAGTGTGGCCACGGACATGCCGTCGCCCAGGAAGAGGATCACATTCTTGGCAATGTTGTGATTGTGTCGCACCGAGAGCTGATGCAGAAGGCGATGTTGTGCGTCAAAGTTCCAAAACTCCGCCAATTGCTCACCGCTGGCGGCACGTGTTGATCTTCGCGCTCTCCATTCACTTCCACTGGCTGCGGAGCAATTAAGAGAGATCACACAATTATATTGATCGGAGCTTTTCTTTCGCTAAATCACACTCTCGAGAGGGAAATGCATGGAATGGCGCAATTTGATTGAATTAGCCTTTAGGTGAAGGTTTTTCCCTCATGATGCAATTCTCGGGGGATATTGAGCACTTTCTGTGCGCAGGGATTCGCGCACAATCACTTACAGTGGTATTCATCGGCCTGCACACCGATGAGGAGGACTGTGAGGATCAAAGTGAGGATGATCGCGAGGAGATTCAGACCCATTCTGCTGCACAAAGTCTCACTGGTTTCACTCTGAATATATTGCACTTTTCGCCCTCTTCAGCGATCACACGATCGTGTGTGTATCTTGAACGATCTTCAGGCGGGAACTGCGAGTGCTGAACTGTCCTCGCCGAGCTTTTATACGAAAGAGAGCGCCTCAATGGGGTGTCTCGTGGCGTCACTGGCGCGCGCGATGTAAGAAGTTTCCCACGAAGAGGGGGAACATGTGCTCGATCGACATGCGTCGCACTGTCTTGGAGATTCCCTTCAACGCTTGTGATCTATATTAATCCGATGTGGCGTATTTCCCACACGTCTTCGGAGTGTGATGGTCTAGATTGAGAAAAACGCACAGTGGGGAAAATCCCTCCATAATCAGTATTCTTGATCAATTTCTCCCAAAGATGCCAAAGAATTCGCTGGAATTCAGAATGAAATCACACCAATCACGCCGTGATTTATGACGATTGGGAGTAACATGTAATCTTCTGTGCATCACTGGAAGTGGTGAGATGATCGTTTCTCGATTAAACACACTTGGTTGTAAAAAGAATTTTGATTATTCATTAATGCCACGCAAACCGTGTCGCACCAAAAGACTGTCTTCCTCCAATTACTCGGATTTGATTTTTAGCGAAGCAGAAAAAAAGCACATGGTGATAATCGATAAAGATTATCGCGCGACGTGATTTTGTGCCAAGACGACGACAAAGTGGACATTTGAGACTTTGAGGTCACAATTGGGTGTCTACGCTTTTTGTGTCTTTGTCCACATTGTCGCGACGTCAACAATGGGAAGATCCTTAAGTAGAATAAATGTGTTTGATTAAGATCTGGTTGTAGATTTGATCCTAGAATGTTGGACAAATCTTAATAGCCACACAAAACACAAGAGTCTGTCTTTCCATGTGTTTTGTGTGCTTTTAATTAGGATTGTTCAATAGATTCTTCAGCAGCTAATTTAATTCATGTCGCCAATGAACTGTAGACTATTAGCACATCTCTGCGGATTGGGCAATTTTCACGTGTTGAATTATTTTATGGGGAAGATATAATGATTTTTTTTTCCAATGCAAAACCACATTCACTGATTTATGCATATCAGCCAAAAGAAACTCCGTCATGAGACGATAAACCTGTTCAAGGTTCTGTATTGGATTCTCTTCGGCAGTTTTAATGTGATGACTCTCTGAGCACATTTTTTTCCATTTCATTAATCCGAATAAATCGAAATAAATTGATGTTTTATCATTCATTTTATTGTATTAGAAAATATAGTTTGCATATCAAGTGACTTTGGCTGGCAATGACGAAAGCGACGAAAGTGTTCATGGGGTTCATGGCATCGGTGGTTTTTCGTTTCCCAAGAAAGCACAGGAAGATTATTCCGTCGCCAGTGATCTGTATCCGTGACGTCTGAAGAATCGTCGATGTGTTTTATACATGACGGACAGGCAAGTTCCCAAGATGAATGCAGAAATAGCGCCGATGTAGATCATTTTGGGAAAATGTGTGTCACCAGAAGAACGAGGATCATCAGGTGATAGAGTGGTTGTAATTGGTGACTCAGTCGGCTCAGGGGATGGCGGTTGATTGTCTGAACAATGTGGTACGATGTATGGCAATATCAATGCTGTGATGGCCACGAAGTGAGACAAAAATGATAGAATATTGCCAAAAATGACAAAGGCGTTGCAGCACATTCCGCTGAGGGAAAGTACGCCACTTGATGCCATGCCAAAACCTGCACCAAAATTCTTCAATATCGGCAACCAATATGTGCAATTGAAATTGTTAAAATCAATTGCTTTTGTATCCGGACGATCCAGAGCTTCTTTCCTGTGATTTTCAAGGCTCGACTCTATAAAGTAGATTATCCAGAAAATAACTAAGACTACGTGAACGATTGCAATGCATACAGCAGGATGCATTGTGAATGAAGCTCAGGATGTGAAGATCAGGAGTGTTTATAAGAGCTGAAAAGAGAAAAACTATTACTCGGGGATTTCCCTTTTCGAGCAGCCATAATAAAAGATCCAAAAGATAAAGACGCTTGCAGAGGCGTGTCTTGAAAGGGCCACAGCCTTGCAGATAGAAAGTGAAATTGTTTTGTCATTATATTCCACTCAAGCAAGTCTTTAATTAAACAGAATAATCATCTTGATATTCACTGTTGTTTAGTAGAAAATACCACAGAAATAGCGCGATCACACTCAACAGCTGAGAATGGCGAGCGATTCTTGCAGATTTGTCGCCAGTGGAGTGCTAGAAAAAGCGCGGCGAAAGTTTGACAGCTGCGATTTCGCCGCGAAAATTCCCGGCGGCAGCAGAAGAAGAAGAAGTGTCATTCGTCCTCCGATGTCGATTTTCGTGGGGCCCCTTTTATGACAATTTTTCGGGTGAAAAGTTGATAGAAAGTGAGATAAAATGGACACACGGAAGCTTACCGACCTCCTGCGGGCCACCATGGACCCGAGCCAGCAGCAGCAGGCCGAGGAGCAGCTCAATCAAGTGAGTTCTCGGGAGGTGCTTTTAGGTTGTGGAATGCGGTGGCCACATTTTTTGGACTCCCTGGCTTTGCGCTGGCCATGTGCTCGTATTTCGCTCCCGGAATCGCCCCGACGGCGCTCGAGTGGCGCTCCCGAGGCGCTGTGCCAGCTGTGGGGCACGTTTTGGGGCTCGCAGGGAGTGCGGGGTGTGCAAATGGGGCGCCAGGAGGTGCATTTAGTGGGGAAAAATGGCAGAAAGTTGATGACTTGGCGTGCGGTTGTGTGAGTGGCGCGTCACAATTGGCTTGTCATGCGGCCGGGGATGGTTTTCTGAGAATTTCCCCGCTTTCGCGGCTGTCGGAGGCGGCCTGGGTGGGCGGTGAACACCCTTCGTGGGTCCTTGAAGACGACCCAGCGGGAAATTGTCACCAGCCACGAGAGATTCAGCGGGAAAATCGATAGAATGCCATGCGGAATCACGATGACGAATTGCCCCATTGATCGTGCTTGGAATTTCAATTGGATTCCCATTTATTCTGCTCACATTTTCACCAACATCTCAGAGCCCCCAACGAGGGCCGTGCTGGCTATTTGGGTGGGATTTCCGCGGGGAGTCACTTTAGGGATTCACTGTGAGGGAAAGTGAGAGTGAAATATCGCAAATATGCCGTGCAAAAAGTCAGTGGAACAAGAGGAAAAGAGGGTTGAATTGGGAGAGAGAGGAAAATGCGGGAGGGAAAAACTAGTAAAATGATATTGTAATTTATGCAATTCCAAGTCTGTGATAATATCCAATTTTGCTGCATGCTACTGCAAATTGCCATTGATATTTCGCTTCACCTCCTGACACAATGAAAATACTCAATCGTAAAGCAGAGAAGGAGAATTCTCAAACGCTGTGTAAAATCAATCAATGAGAAGATTATTATTATTATTGCTTGAATAGAGAGCTTTTAACGCTTGGGAGATTTTTGCACAGATTGAACATTCAACTTTGAAGACCAAAGTGTCCTTTCAGGCTATGGAAATAAGCACAATTAATATATTTCTGGTAGGAATCTTGATTTAACTCTCTAATAAAAAGTACAAAAACACATGAGAATCATATTCATTTTCAGTCCAATTATTATGTAAGATTGAGAAGAAATTGCAAATTTACCTAAACATCTCGCGAAGAAGCAAAGCAAACAGGATTTTCAGTTGAAGGACAGTTTACTTAAGGATGATCTGTGTTACTTTATTCATTGGCTGTGCAAATTTTCGCAGCACTCAGTGGAGCTGTTTTTCCACTCGGTTTTCCTTGCATAAATTACCATTGTTTAACTGAAATGATGCACTGATGAGATTCCTCTCAGTCGCCAGACATTCAAATGATGAGGGATCAATACGGTTGAATTCTCTCTCTCAACTCTGGGTTGATCATGTCTTGGGAGGGACTTTTTTTTTGCGCACTTCCACACGCTCTATTATTAGAATGGGGGAAAAAAAAAGGAAAATTCGCGAGAGAGAAAAAGAAGAAGAAGCCACGCAATTGAGAGTTGTATTGATTTAATAAACAGAGTGAGATTGGGGGAAGTCACAAATTTTGCATTTGACGGAGTCTTTCTTTCCTGTGCCTCTGCAGATCCACAAGATAATTGGCTTCGTGCCCACACTGTTGCGGATTGTCATGCAGAATGACTTGGATTTGCCGGTGCGACAGGCTGGCGTGATTTACCTGAAGAATCTGATCACGCAGAACTGGCAAGATCGCGACACGGAGCCGGGGACGCCGATGGTGTACTCCATCCACGAGCAGGATCGCGCCATGATTCGCGACAGCATTGTTGAGGCGGTGGTTCACTCGCCGGACATCATAAGGGTGCAGCTGTCGATCTGTGTGCATCACATAATCGTGTGCGACTTCCCGGGACGGTGGACACAGATTGTGGACAAGATAAGCATCTATCTGCAGAATCCGGACGTGAATGGGTGGACGGGAGCGCTGATATGTCTGTATCAGCTGACGAAGAACTATGAGTACAAAACGGCCAAGGACAGGACGCCACTGACGGAGGCGATGAACCTCCTGCTGCCGATGATGTACCATCTGATGGTGAATCTGATGCAGGACCCGGCGGAGCAGAGTGTTCTGCTGCAGAAGCAGATCCTCAAGATCTATCATGCTCTCACGCAGTACTCACTGCCGCTGGATCTCATCTCGCGCGAGACCTTCTCACAGTGGATGGAAGTGTGCCGACAGATTGTGGACCGGCCGGCGCCCGACTCCAGTCACATTGACGAGGATGAGCGTCCGGAGATGGCGTGGTGGAAGGTGAAGAAGTGGGCGATGCACATAATGGTGAGGATGTTCGAGCGCTACGGCAGTCCAGGTCATGAGATCATCAAGGACTACCAGAAGTTCGCCACATGGTTCCTGCCCACGTTCACCACGGGCATTCTGGAGGTGCTGCTCAAGGTGCTGGATCAGTATCGCAACAAGATTTACGTGTCGCCGCGCGTCATCACGGACATCTTCAACTATCTGAAGTTGGCCAGCGAGCAGGCGTACTCGTGGAAGCTCATCAAGCCCCACATGGTTGTGCTGATTCAGGATGTCATCTTCCCCATAATGTCCTACACGGATGCCGATCAGGAGCTGTGGGAGACGGATCCGTATGAGTACATCAGGGTGAAGTTCGACGTGTTCGAGGACTATGGCTTTCCCGTGCCGGCGGCGCAGGGATTCCTGCTGGTGAGCTGCAAGAAGCGCAAGGGCATCCTGCAGAAGACCATGCAAACGGTGATGACGATGCTGACGCATCCCAATTCCGATGCCAAGCAGAAGGACGGTGCGCTGCACATTGTGGGCACGCTGGCGGAGGTGTTGCTGAAGAAGAAGATGTTCAGGGACCAGATGGAGACGCTGCTCACGAACTACGTGTTCCCGGAGTTTGCCAGTCCCAATGGGATGTTGCGCGCGAGGGCGTGCTGGGTGACGCACTACTTTCACGAGATCAAGTTGAGCAATCCGCAAGTGCTGGCGGAGATCATGCGACTGACCTCGACGGCGCTGCTCACGGACAAGGAGCTGCCGGTGAAGGTGGAGGCGGCCATAGCGCTGCAGATGTACTTGACCACTCAGGATCACTCGCACAAGTACATTGAGGCGCAAATCAAGCCGATCACCATGGAGATCCTCACGATAATACGCGAGACACAGAATGAGGATCTCACGAATGTGATGCAGAAGATTGTGTGTACTTACTCGGAGCAGCTGCTGCCCATCGCCGTGGAGATCTGCCAGCATCTCGCCACGACGTTCAGTCAGGTGCTGGAGTCGGATGACAGCAGCGACAGTCGTGCCATAACAGCCATGGGATTGCTCAACACCATCGAGACGCTGCTGTCGGTGATGGAGGACCATCCGCAGATCATGTCGAATCTCCATCCGATTGTCATTCGCGTGGTGGGTCACATCTTCCAGCAAAGCGTGATTGAGTTCTACGAGGAGGCGTGCTCACTTGTGTATGACCTCACGGCCAAGGTCATCACGCCGGACATGTGGCAGATGCTGGAGCTCATCTACCAAGTGTTCCAGAACGATGGCTACGACTACTTCGTCGACATGATGCCCGCGCTGCACAACTACGTCACGGTGGACACGGAGGCCTTTCTATCCAATCAAAATCACCTCATTGCCATGTTCAACATGTGCAAATCCATACTGACAGGAGACCCTGGTGAGGATCCCGAGTGCCATGCCGCCAAGCTGCTCGAGGTTATCATTCTGCAGGCCAAGGGTCGCATCGATCAGTGCATCCCGAGCTTCGTCGAGCTGGCGCTGAGTCGTCTCACCAGGGAGGTGAAGTCATCGGAATTGCGCACCATGTGTCTCCAGGTGAGTCTTGATGGATTGTCAGGTGGAGAGCCGCCAAAATAGTTCAGTGTTGCGGCAAAAGAGATGATTTTCATGCATTTCATTAAGATTAAATCGCTGTATAAACACTCTTTGCCATGCAATTCAGCATTTGAAAGGCACACAGAGTGTGAAAATGGTTGATTTCATAGTCAATTTCCACTTGTCATTCACACACAGGTCGTCATCGCGGCATTGTATTACAATCCGACACTTCTTCTGTCCATCCTGGACAAGATGCAGTCACAGCTCCAGCAACCGAGCACAGAGTCAATTTGTTCGCACTTTATCAAGCAGTGGCTTCACGATACGGATTGCTTCTTGGGGTGAGAGAGATTTTGTACACCAAGAAGAAAGGAATTTTATACTGATTGTGTGTGATTTTGCAGAATCCACGATAGGAAATTGTGCGTTCTGGGACTCTGCACGCTCATGTCGATGGGCGAAGCACGTCCGCCGGTGCTGAATGAGCTGGTGGCACGCATTCTGCCCGCTCTCATTCTGCTCTTCGAGGGTCTCAAGCGTGCCTATCAAGTGCGCGCTCAGGAAGCGGAAGAGGAGGAGAGTGAGGATGATGATGATGATTGCGAAGAGGCGCTGTCGAGTGATGAGGATGATCTGGATGAGGCGAATCCCAACTTCCTGTCCAATCTGGCGGGGAGAATTAAGGAGAAGGGAGCGAATCACAATTTTGAATTCACAGAAGTCCTCAAAGATGCCGACGATGACGACTCAGATGGGAATGCAGATGATGAGTTTAGCAATGAGATCGATGAGACTGCTCTCGAGAGTTACACAACGCCTCTCGACGATGAAGAAGATCCTCAGACGGTGGACGAATACATTACATTTCACGATGTCTATCAGAGTAAGTTGGTTTTTTGGGTGGGAAAATTCTCTGTATTCGTGAATACTTTATTTGATGGGCTTTTCTCTTGCAGATTTAGCTAAAGTTGATGGCTCATGGTACGAAGCGCTGAACAGGTCGCTGAGACCTGAACAGATGCAAGCAATAAATGAAATTCTCCTTCTGGCCCAGCAGAAAAGACATCTCAAACAGTCGAAGCAGATCGAAAAGAGTGGCGGTGAGTTTGACTGAAGAAGTGACTGAATGTCTGAAGCATTTCAATTTGAGAGTAGATTTCGTATTCTTTTTTTTTCCTCCTGCTCCTCCTGATAAGAGCCAACACGAGCGCGTCATAATTATCTTAATTGAAAAGTTTTTGTCCATGTTTGCTGTCTATTGTTGCTGATAAATTTGTGGCTGATTGCTTGAGACAAAGGAGACAAATTACATCAGTGACTTTCGTGGTTGATTTAGACAGAGAAGATAGAAAAAAGACAATGAAAAGAGTCTTCAGACATTTTTTTCCTTAAAGGATGAAAGTTTTATTAAACATTTCCCTAATTCTCAATCTTTTCTTCTTTCTTTCTTTGTTCACAATATGCAGGTTACGCATTCACGCAACAAACTATTCCGACGTCTTTCAACTTTAGTGGATCATAAAAGTTCGACTACAACGTTTTTCTTTTCTAATTAATTTTTTTTTGTCTTAATTAAGCAACAAAATTGTGGATGACGATGAAAGGTGAAGAAGAAAAAATAGTCCGAGAGAAAGAAAGAGAGAGAGAGATGGTAGGATAGTTATTGTTAAATATTGAACAGAAAGATTGCTTTTTAATAAGAGTGAAAACAACAAAAATGATTAAGAGAGAGAGAGAAAAAAACCAAAATTTTACACACAAGAAAAACAAAACACAAAAATAGGACGAGAAAAAAAATTATTTTCTATAGGAATCCAACAAATCTATCCTTTTTGCTTAAATGATTCGTTTCAAAATAAGTGGGAAATGTGCATGTTTTCCACAATATTTTTTTTTAATATTCGTTGTTGAACATGATTAAATAGTGCGTAAAAAAAGTGTAGGTTTTCTTTATAATTTGCAAAAATTTAATTTCTTCTCACTGATATTTTAATTGATTTGTAATTTTTTTTTAAACTGTACAGATATTTTTCTGTTTCAAAATATCCTCTTTTTCCTATCTTTAATAGACAGATGAAGAAGAAATTATATGAAGAGAAGAAAAAGTGTATGTAAAAAAAAAATTGTAGCAGAGAAAGAGAAAATATTTTACGAGAGGTATAATTTTTAAAGGAAATAACGAAGAATTACAGATGTGAAGAAAAATACCAACTCTTTAGATATCTTTTAGGGATAAATAAATGAGCGAAAAAGATGATAAGAAAAAAATGAGAAGAACAGATGCTTGTAATAAATGAAATTATAAACTATTTATGTATACTTTTTCTATTCTCTTTATTTACGACATTTAAAGTTTTTATGTTTCTTTTTTTTGAAGTTTCTTCCCTTAAAACACTAATTCTTGTAGAATTTTCTCATCAAGTCATTATTACAGATTTATTATTTACACTAAATCCATTTTCTTTTCTTCTACATTCTAATAAAAATATACCTTTTTTTATTTAAAACTCTCTAAATATCTAATAATTATTATTTCTTCCTCTTTTCTTCAAATATTTTGATTAAATACTTTTTTTTTAGAAAAAATGCAACACTATTGTAAAATCTCTCAAGTTATCCCTTCTTTTTTCTTTGCTAGATTCAATATAGAAAAAAAGGATTGTTTTTAATTTGTTCAAATTAAGGACAAAAACACTCGCATTCATTTTTTTTAGTCATTCTTTGGTTAACTCTTCACTAACATTCCTCATCGTTCATTCGTTTCGTTCTCTACAGTCTCTAAAATCTACGTTAATCTACTTCTTCGTTTTCATCTTAAATCATAGGTTCACTTGAAGGATTTCTATACGATCATAAAATGTCATCATAGAGAAGAAGGGGGAAAACTATCAACAGCCATAAAGATAGATTCTCTGCAGAGATTTCAATGCTTAAATCGTGCATGAGTTCCGGAAGAAAGGATTGGGAGGAAGTAAGAAGTCAAAATATAATTCACTATTATTTATATTGAATGGTGGAAAAATATACAAATAAAAAGGAGCGCCGAATGCGCGCGAGGGAGAAAAAGGGAGAAAAAAAATCAAGAAGAACGACAAACTAAATTACAAAAGCCTGGGTTAATCAACAGTCTCTTTCGGATTGATGTCCACCATGTAGATGTCACGGTGATTCTGCAGCACGAACTCAATGAAGGCATTAATGGGATTCACCTCTTCCAGAGACATTTGATTGTGCGCCCAAATCAGATTCGGTCCAAACACTATTGCCAAGTTCGACGAGGTCATCTTGTTCAAGTCCTTGCACTCCATCACCTGCAAAAGGGCCAAAGGAAAAAGGACACAATATTAGCATTTCGTGAGCAAACTTTGTCAGATTTATCACTTCCACAAAACATTTTTCACCAAAACTTTCTCACTATTCCGGGCATAAATTCATGCTTTCATGCCGAGAAATCGATATTTTGTGCTGCCAAGGAAATATATTTCAGTAGGTTTTCCACACGTTCTGGAAACTTTATATAAACAAGATTGTAATTCATTAACTAGAAACAGGTTTTTTACTTTATCTACTAATTTTGTGACATGAAAATTCATGAATTTCAACAGTAATTACCACAATAATCTTATGAGAGCCAACACAAGGTTTTCCCATTCAACACTGAATGAATGCAATTCTCTCTCTCTCCCCAGTAATCAATCTTATTCTACAATTTCACTCAATCATTTCTTGTCTTATGCAACACTGCAACGAAATTTAATCATTCACCCTCTCAATAAAGCCACTCTAAATTCCCCAATCAATTATCCCAATTACATTGATGCACTTAGAAAGATCAATATATCCCTCATTGAAATGCAAATCACTTCGATGTGACCTCATAAATTTCAGCATCCAGCAGCAAATTTTACTGCGAAGAGAGAAACTGGATGCGAAAAATGTGTTGTCCAAAAATATACACCGAATGGCAACACCCTCAAATAGAAGAAGACCCGCGGTCAATTAGAGTGGCGCTGAGCGATGGCGACCAATTACACGCGGACGGCCTTCGACACTCACCTTCACCAAGAACTCGATGATGTACTTGAAGAGCTCATAATTCTCCACGGGCAGCTTTTCACGCAGCATTTGCTTCACATTGCGCGGTCGCTCCTCCTTGGTCCACTCCAGGAACTTGATAATCTCATCGTACAAGGCATAGGTGAGGAGGGGCTCATTGAGATCCCTCAGGAAGGTCTTCAGCAGACCAGCCACCACGTGTGTGTCCTCATTCTTGAAGTCCACATTCTCGCCCGCATTCACGGACGCCTTCAGGCTATTTATCCGCCCATAGTTGCCAGATCGCCGGAAGATTCCCTCCGTGTCAATCACTCCACTCACAGACAAGTGATCCACACACTTTCGCACCACCGGCGGAATGTAGTTGAGACACGGACTGTTTTGATTGATAAAATCCAGCGTCACGCCAAATTGCGTCGTCTTCGCCAGACTGGACTCATCTGATCTCCTGCTTCCACTCAATCCCGACGATCTTCGACTCGCGGAATTGCGATCGTCAAATCTGCAATCGAAAGACAATTAGACAATCACCAAAAAATACCTCTCAATAAGACTCACTCTGTGATATTATCCGGCAACTTGAGACTCCTCAAGCCAAGATTCTCCTTCAGCTCATCCAAACTGGACACGTAGAAGAGCTTGTTCTTGAACTTGACACTGATGAAGGGCTTGCAGAGATTCCAGATCACGCGAATGAACATCGTAGGATGGACGACATAGAGACGCTTCAAGTTCTTCTTGAAGCTCCTGTCCAGCTCCTTGTAGGAGTTCCACAGGAAGTCCACCGACGGCTTGCTGTCATCCTTCAGACCCTGATGGAAGTACACCAGCACATAGTCATTCTGCACGAACGCCTCCATCTTCTGGATGATGAAGTGAATGAAGGCCGTGTTGTTGAGCTCACTCTTCGGCGGCAATCGACAGGCAAAGATGGCAATGATATGTTGTCCCTGTTTGTCCGTGCCGAAGAACTCAATGAACTTGAGCTCCTCGAACGTCTTCATGCTGCTAAATTCGTCCATTTCCGACGCCACACGCAATTGCTCCTCGTAATTGTCCGCCTCCAAATTGGTCTGAATATCGTCAGGCGGAGTCACAAAATCACCTGCAAATGCCCGAGAAGAACATTCACTTCTAGGCCCAGCACAAAAGCCCAGCGGCCACAGAGTGACGCATTGGATTGATGTGCAGAGATAGGAAAAAAGTTTCCCTCGAGATAAGAAAAGTAAAGCCCAAATCGCCTGTGTATATTCACACTTGATAAAGTGTTTCTATTAGCAGCGAAATTGCGTTCCCAATAAATCATCAAAACTCTCTCTAGCTAGACTTAATATTTAATCTTTCTTGTCTTGCACAATCACACGCACTTCGCAATCATCCACAATGTTAAATAATAAAGCATTTATATGCTCCTTTTGCCTTCCTTCGGCCCCACAAGAAAAATCGATTCACTTTTTTTTCCTCTCGAGCGGGTAAGCAGAGAAGAAATTGAATTATTCATTCAAACACCAATTGTATTCCTCACCTGATATCAGAGCATCATCGTCCAGCGTCACAATGAGACGCGGATCGGGCGCCTGCGATAGTTCTGTGTCATCAAACTCCAAATTTGGCTCATAATCGTGCCAATCGGAGAGACTGGGATGCGGATCTTCCGTGTCCGTGAGCGAGGGTGTCAATGTTGGCCCTGAAAGTGGACGGAAAATTGGCATCAAAATCCCTCTTTTTTTGCCGAAAATCTGCTCAATTTCTCAACCGACTGGAAAGTGTCAATTTTTTGGGAGCACAATAAAATAATAAAACAATATCGTGCAGGGTGGGAAAGTGGAGCAAAATGTGTGTGTGTGACGAGACGATTGAAGACGTCGTTGGCTCTTGAAAAAAATTTCCCACAGAACAATTTTATTGTTTTTCCTCCTCATACGGCATTGATGATTACTTGTGCACAATCCACGCAAAAGTTGTGCAAGTATTTGCACAGCAATTAAAGGAAAATGAAGAGTATTTCTAATCTCCTCAATAAACCAAGATAACTTGCGCACTTGTTTATGTTTTTCATACTAGGAAATGTTTCGAAGCTCCGCCTACTTGTTAGCTCCGCCTCTTAACCTAGTAATAATCTGAACATGCGGTAATTTATAGAGCGTTGAAGCTGTAGTTCTTTTTAATGATAAAATAGGCAATGAATCCCTTACAATCCTCACAATCTAGACAATAATTACTCATATTTTCCAATTTGAAGAATTCCAACCAATAGGATAAATATAAGATTCACATTGAGTCACATTTTGACCACAAAACCAAGGAAGCGTTAATAAATGGAAGTTAAGCAAATGAGAGTGGAAAATGATGTGATATTATCATACATTTAAAAGGATCTAAAAAGTCAAATAAACGCTTCATTTAATCTCCGCTTTATCAGAATTTATCTTCTCGTCTTTTCTTCTTTCGACCCTCCAGCATCTCTTGTTCTCCCTTCTTCGCCATCAGTCTTTTGTTTTATTTTTAGGACACCACTTTTTCACTCTCTCTCTTTGGAATTCCTCCGCGTTTCTATGGCTGCAACACGGCAATGAGGAGTCTCATGACATCAAAACTGGCTCCTCATTTGGCCTTTCGGGCGCGAAAAGCGGCCACGGCGCGTCGTGAGAAAAAGCGAGAGCTTCTTGTGCGCTGGGAAAGAATGCGAAATGCACTTGATTTCGCGCTGCACTTGCGGCAGTTGCGGAGGGAAGGCGCGCTGAGTCACACACTTGATTTCATCTTTTCCCATCTTCTGCATAGACGAGCTTAATGAATCTCGCGCGGATGGGATTCACTTTCTGCCCCAGTGAGGCGCGCCCGGGGAGCGCGCGGGAGGAGAGCGTGCGTCCGGAAAAGACGGCTCGCGCGCGGCCTCGCAATATCGATGTTTTTCTTGCGGTTGGAGGTGGCCGGGTGACGCAATTTTCTTCACCTCGCACCTCGTGGGCCCGCTGAGGCTCAGGTAACTCGGGGCAATTGATTAAATACTGAGGCACCGAAGGAGAAAATTCACCTGGAAGTCGTGGCGTTGTTTGCTCCACAGATGTTTCCATTGTCCCACGAATTTTCGTCGCTCAGCCACCAAAATTGATCCGCGACTCTGGCGCAATTCTGAAGCACCACAGTGTGCCTTATCGCGGCCAAGTGCAGCTCTCGCCACTGATAAGGAGTTGCTTGGGTGGAAACACTTTTTTCACTACGTCTCAACTCTGCAAAAATCTGACGACCATTCAAACACTTTTTCTTTTGTGCCACAGAGAGAAGAAGACGTTTTCACTTTATGCCCGAAACTCCAGCGGAAGCGCCACTAGCAGGGACTCTTTGTTACCAACAGACGCACTGCACCTTCTCCCCAATCATTATACTGAAAATGTTTCGATAAATAAACGCGTTGTGTGATATTTTTAGCAAAAAATACACCTCTTCGTTTTTTCTGCGATGCCCACAGTCACTATTTCTTCCTGAACACCCTGTTTGACGTTTCACTTCGCGCTGGCAAGCCAGTGCGCGGCGATGTTTCGCAGGGGAATTTCGAAAAGCGAATATTTGTCAGGAGCACCGTTGGTTGTTTGTTTCTGGGTGTTTACAGCTGATTTCCTGGGCAAGAAGATAGCCTCGTCATGGATTCTCCGGCAGCGACACACCAAGATCTCCCCTCCGAAGTTGTGAGTATGGCTCTGCTGGTGGCTGTTGCCAAGAAGGAGAAGCAGGAAGCGCAGGAAGAATACACCGAGAGGATTGATAGAGCGGTCAAGAAACTGGCTGCATTGCGTGAGAAACTCGTCCACTTGGACGAAATTGTGCGTAAAATGCTCCATATGGCCAATATTCTGCAATTCATCGACAACTTGGCTCCGTCCCTCGAGGAGATCACGCAACAAATCGCAGAACACACGCTCAGTGTTGAGGAACTCAGTCACCAGATGAACATTTCGAACAATAATAATCTCTTCTACGGATCCGGAGTGGATGTGGAGCTTGAAGGGAATGTTCAGGAGGTGTTTGCGGAGAAATCCGAGAAGGATCTCAAGAATTTGTCAGAAGCTGTGAAGATCTTCGCTCAAAACACTAATAAGTGTGTGGAAGACTACAATAAAATGATCCAAGGGATGTTGGAGTACGCACCAATGGACTAATCTCAGGGATTTTGCTGAATAAAATCATGTTTTCTCAGCATGTTTTTGTGATTTTCCCTCCGGCTGAAAAACATCGCGCGTGTATTTTGAACATCGCGACTGGAGGGGAGATTGTTTCGGACGAGTCTTCTGTGTAAACCGGTTGAGGCGCCACTGCCGCAGAGGACAAATGTCAACCTTGTCGCCTTGCGATTTTTCTCAAAAAGTTTTTATTTGGCGATAAAACCCCCATTTATCGTGCATATTGGGCATTTGTGAGGCTCTGGTGGTACAGTAATAGGTAAATTGTGCAGAAGTGACAATGTTTTCCCTAAATCATCACAATCAAGTGAGTATTGGAGGCGATTTCATGGACTTTCGTCAGACCACCGAGTCTGCACGTAGGCCTTGGCCGACAGTGAAAAGTGGCCAGTTCACTCTCTGTGCCCTCGAATTTTCCAGCAAATCCTCTTCCATCTGAGCCAAATAACACCGCGGCGGAACAATGTGGCTCTGAAGAAACACAAGACAAAGAAGAACGCTGCGACTGAGAAACATAACCACACTCTTCAGTTAGATAAGACGATACTGTGTCCGCTGAGTATGCAGGAAGTCCTCCAGAGTATGCGATTTGCCCCCTTTCCCGCCCACCAGAGGCTCTCGAATGCACACCTCACGGAGCTCTGCGTCGTCCTGCACCCAGAGCGGAGGATACCACGGGATAAGTCACCGTGGAGAGTGAGTTACGTGCCAGAAGACTCATTTAGCATAAAGCCCACGACCAGCGGAAGGATATCGAGTTTCCCGGGAAGTCTCCTGGCCAATAATCTTAAGTGCAGCATCCAGATCCGCGGATTCAAGACAGACAGATCCATAGACGCCGAAATGAAGCGAAATCCGGGGCTGTTGGCGAGATTTCGGGGGAGTTTGGGGCCCAGCGGTCGTGCAGACGCCCCCCATGTTCCGGCCAGTGCCACATCCGGCAGCGAGACGCTGAACAAGCTGCTGCAGCAGGTGGAGGACGGCGGACTGAATGGGGAGCAGAAGCAGAGACTGAAAGTGGCCTTTGCCGAGGGTTACCTGGCGGCCAACAGTGCCGATGGCACCAAAGGGAGTCGAACTATGAAGTACCTCAAGGTAGGATCCGTGTGCGCGCCCTCGCCCCGCCTCGCCCTAGAGAGTAATCTTCCATTGCTTGCAGGTTCTCCAGCAGATCGTGATCATCATTGTGTTTATCGGGATATTCTTCAGTCTGTTCTCCTCGACGAGTGGATCGGTGTTTAGGTAAGGATATTTGTCTTGTCCTCTCGCTCTTGACTCATTGGGATTCACGCTGAGTTGTGTTTAACAAGTAATTCCCAAACTAGGATTCAGCTGGGCAACCAAGTGGAAGTGGATCCGGAGGAGATCAATGTGACTTTCGAGGACGTCAAGGGATGCGACGAGGCGAAGCAGGAGCTGAAGGAAGTGGTGGAGTTCCTCAAGAATCCCGACAAGTTCTCCAATCTGGGCGGCAAGCTGCCCAAAGGGGTGCTGCTGGTGGGGCCGCCGGGCACAGGGAAGACGCTGCTGGCGCGTGCAATCGCCGGAGAGGCTGGAGTGCCCTTCTTCCACGCCGCCGGGCCGGAGTTCGACGAGGTGTTGGTGGGACAGGGCGCCCGGCGGGTGCGTGATCTGTTCAAGGCGGCCAAGGAGAGGGCGCCGTGTGTGATCTTCATCGATGAGATCGATTCGGTGGGCGCCAAGAGGACAAACTCCGTTCTGCATCCGTACGCCAATCAGACGATCAACCAGCTGCTGTCGGAGATGGATGGCTTCCACCAGAATGAGGGTGTGATTGTCCTGGGCGCGACGAATAGGCGGGATGATCTCGATCAGGCGCTGCTGCGACCGGGGCGCTTTGATGTGGAAGTGGTGGTGCCCACGCCCGACTTTGGGGGCCGCCGAGAGATCCTCACGCTCTACCTGGCCAAGATTCTGCACAAGGACATCGACATTGACACACTGGCGCGCGGAACGACGGGATTCACGGGCGCAGATCTGGAGAATATGGTGAATCAGGCGGCTCTGAGGGCGGCGATTGATGGGGCGGAGGTGGTGACGATGAAGCACCTCGAGAGTGCCCGCGATAAAGTGCTGATGGGGCCGGAGAAGAAGGCTCGCGTGCCGGACGAGGAGGCGAACAAGATCACGGCCTATCACGAGGGCGGACACGCCATTGTGGCGTACTTCACGAAGGAGAGTCACCCCATTCACAAGGTGACCATCATGCCGAGGGGCCCCTCGCTGGGGCACACGTCGTACATCCCAGAGAAGGAGCGCTACCATGTCACAAAGGCCCAGCTCCTGGCCATGATGGACACGATGATGGGCGGCAGGGCGGCGGAGGAGCTGGTTTTCGGCCCGGAGAACATCACTTCTGGCGCCGGGAGTGATCTGAAGCAGGCCACGAGCATCGCCACGCACATGGTGAAGGACTGGGGCATGTCGGAGCGCGTGGGGCTGCGCACGATTGAGGGTGCGAAGGGGCTGCAGCCGAGCGAATCTCTAGGGCCCAACACAGTTGAGCAGGTGAGTGGGATGATGATGACTGGCCATCAGAGCAGAATGAGAGAGTCTGTGTTGTTCGGCAGGTGGATGCGGAGATTAAGAAAATCCTCAGTGATAGCTACGAGCGGGCCAAGGCGATCCTCAAGGCGCATCCCAAGGAGCACAAGGCTCTGGCGGAGGCGCTCCTGAAGTACGAGACTCTCGATGCTGAGGATGTCAAGGCCATCATGGGTGGCTCCAAGATACACCAAGAGGCGAAGGCGTCGTAGGAGAGAAAGCGCTTAAATTATCTTGTAATATTTAGTTCAAATAGAACGATTCCACTCTCACGCGTGATATCAAATAATTATTTGATATGCTCTTGAAAAATGATTCGAATTGATAGTGCAACGCCCAGTCGCATGGAGCGCTGGCGTCGGCAAGTGTGAGAATATGTCAACGGTTTTTTCGTGCTGGACAACCCTGTTTATGGCAATATTTGAAATCTTTTGTGAGGAAAAGATTCACCTGAGATGTTTATTTTAATGAATTAATGGCAAGAATTCAGGAATAATGCTATGTCGCGTGAAATACAATCGATTGGCGGAGAAATTGGGGAATTTCATTGAAGTGCGAGAAAAGTGAAATTTTCTGTCAATTTTTCCATTGGACAACCCTCCTTATTATGGCGTGTCAGTCGGAGTTTTGTATGTGGGTTTATTTGAGAAGGTGATATTTTGCGATTATCCCAATTTTGTGCTCGTAAAACCCACTTATTTTCGTGAAAACTCTCGCGGGAGTCCACGTCGGACGTGCAGGTAGTGAAATTTCCCGGAATGGGCGTGTGAAAGTGGCTGAAATGGATGAGTGTGAAATTTTTGCTTAGAGTGACAGAAATCCCGTTTTTCCACCAAGTCATATTGCTTCCAATTGCATAAATTAGTCACTCTGTGCGGTGCATTTGGGCTATTTGTGGGGTCGGGCGATAAGGGCATGGGTGTGAGTGAGAAATATGCTGGCCAATTGTCTCTCTATCGCCCCTTCTCATCGTCTTTCGCAGGCAGTCTCGCTCGCTGGAACATGATTGCGTGCAGTGACTGAGAGTGAACGCAGCCATGAATCCGGAATTCGAGGAGCGCATCCTCAAGCACTACAGCCCCACGTCGAGGCGCCTGAGTGAGAACAGTGGCTCGCCACTGGACAGATTCATTCCGTGTCGCGTGAACAACAACTGGCAGACGAACTTCGCCACTGTGACCAAGTCCGGAGATGCCACGACGCCGAGCAGTGGCAAGAAGCATCGCGACTATGGGGACTCGATGAGGGACAGCGTGGCGTACTCGTGCCTGCTGCGGAATGAGCTCCTGGGCGGCACAATTGACGACGTGAAGTGCGTGGATGATTCCACGCCCACGAAGCATCAGGCGCTGAGCGCCAAGAGGACACTGTTCAAGTACCAGGCAGAGGAGGACACCAGCGAGCTGTGCTCCTACTCGCTGTCGCCCATCAGTGCCAAGAGCCAGAAGCTCCTGCGGTCGCCCAAGAAGGCCATGCGGAAGATCTCCCGGATCCCCTTCAAGGTTAGTGCCGATGCACGTCGTGTGGTGAGGCTTCGAGATAAGCCGCCGTCGCTTCCTGATAATGCCCGGGGTCAAGCTGCCTTATCTAGCGACGAAGGGTTCCATCGGTTGCGTAATGACTGCATGTGGTGAATGTCAATACCTGGAACGCCCTTTTAGTCATGCCAAAGTCATCTGTGTTCTCCATTTCCGGCGCTAAAAATAGCATTCCTTTCCGCAGGTGCTGGACGCGCCGGAGCTGCAGGATGACTTCTACCTCAACCTCGTGGACTGGTCCAATCTGAACGTGCTGGCCGTGGGCCTGGGCAGCTGCGTGTACTTGTGGAGTGCGTGCACGAGCCAAGTCACTCGCCTCTGTGATCTCCATGCGGACAGCAACTCCGTGACGTCGGTGTCGTGGAACGAGCGCGGCACGTATGTGGCCGTGGGCACGCATCACGGCTACGTGACGGTGTGGGACGTGGCGGCCAACAAGCAGGTGAACAAGCTGATGGGCCACTCGGCGCGCGTGGGCGCGTTGGCGTGGAATGGCGACATCCTGTCCAGCGGCAGTCGCGACAGGCTAATCATGCAGCGTGACACGCGCACGGGCTCCGCCGTGCCGGAGCGCCGGCTCACGGGGCACAGGCAGGAGGTGTGCGGCCTGAAGTGGTCGCCGGACAACCAGTATCTGGCCAGCGGCGGCAACGACAATCGGCTGTACGTGTGGAATCAGCACGCGCTGACGCCCGTGCAGTCGTACTCGGAGCACATGGCGGCCGTGAAGGCCATCGCGTGGTCGCCACACCATCACGGGCTGCTGGCGAGTGGCGGCGGCACGGCGGACAGGTGCATTCGCTTCTGGAATACGCTCACGGGACAGCCGATGCAGTGTGTCGACACGGGTGAGTTTGGGTCATCATCATTGACCAATTTCCGGGGCCCAAAAACAGTTAGCAGACGACAGAGAAGGAGAGAAGAAAATGTGTGGTGGCAAAAGACACATTTGAATTGTGATGAGATCATCGGTTCTGATGGTCTTTCACCTTCAATTGGAATTTGCATGGGAAGTGCCGCGTGTGTAATTTAATTACGAACTGAGATTTGAGACTCTCTTTGTAGCCACAGAGAAAGAGAGAAACTTGTCAATTGACCACAAGAATATTATATGGGGACAATGGCAAATTTCAAAGGCAAAGTGTGCGACGGTGATAAAGAGTTAATTTGTGAAACAAACACTATCGGTGGAGAATTGGGTCACACACACGCACGCACTTTAGAGTTGTGCCTTTGCGAAAGAGATAGAAGAAAAGTGCGTTGGAAGTTCATTAGCACGATAAATGATACAGAAATTCACATAATAAAGAAAAAAGAGGTCAGAAGAAGTGCGTGAAAATGTCCAGACACGAATTGTGGTTTCTAATAATAGGAATTCTCTCTCTCTGTTATCACTTATTTATTGGCAGTGGAATTAGAGCAATGCCTGATCATGATCTTGATGCACTTTTCTCGTCTTTAATTGCAGGATCGCAAGTGTGCAACCTGGCGTGGTCGAAGCACTCCTCAGAGTTGGTCTCCACGCACGGATACTCGCAGAATCAGATCCTGGTGTGGAAGTATCCGTCGCTGACGCAAGTGGCCAAGCTCACGGGTCACTCGTATCGCGTGCTGTACTTGGCCCTCAGTCCTGACGGTGAGGCGATCGTGACGGGCGCTGGCGATGAGACGCTGCGCTTCTGGAATGTGTTCAGCAAAGTGCGCAGCCAGAAGGAGAACAAGAGTCTCCTCAATCTATTCTCGTCCATCAGATAGGAAAAATTATCCCCAATTTCTGTCCGCGTGACTGCGTGAGTTTTCTTTTCTATTTCCGATGCATTTTTTTCCGTTGTTAGGATTTCTTTTCTCACGGGAGAAAAGGAAAAGGGTGAAAATATCAATAGATAGAGATTGAGAGTGAAGAGCGTGTCAGCGTATCTCTAATTCATGCCGAAGAAATGTCAGCATTTGCAGTCTTTTTCATTGCGCGCAATGTTTGGAGAGATTTTGTGAAAATTCTAAATTGTGAGAAGATTCTCAATATGTTTTTAGCTCTTTTGATTTCTTGATACTTTTCTATTTCGGTGAATTTTGTTGTTTAAGGAAAAGACAGAATTACAGTGTAGAATTGAAAGTAAAAATTTGTGGAATTTTGAGAAAATATTTCCCAGTAAGTGAGAAATTTGTGTGTAATTGATTTTTTTTTCTAAGGATTCTTTTAGGGTTTAATAGAGTTAATAGAAAGTTCCACAACTCTCGATTCTACACTGTAATTGAATGTATAAAATGCGATATCTAAATTATACTTGAGATGCAGTGAATAAATCTCAAGAAAGTGATGTTTTTCGGACTGTTTCTGAAGCCAAAATTTTTGAATAAATTGCCCAAGAAAGAAATCACATGATCTCGCCTTAAAGGCCTGTTGAGAGTTTTTTCACCACGATTTTTAAGTATATTTTCCCTAGAATTTTCACATTTTCTCATTATGAAGAGACAGAAAATGACTGCAAATGCTAATTTTCTGCAACACTCTTGATTTTGTAAGAAGATTAAATAAAAAATGCAGTGTTTTCTCAATTAAATTATCACTGTAATTATGATAATAATAAAAAACAGACGATCTAACAATATTATTACGCTCTAGATTTATCAGATAAATTACCACAAAATGATGCACTTCCCAAATTGACAGAGAATGAAAAAATACTTGGCCTACGCGTTGTTTCTGCCACTGGGAATGTCTTTTTTTGCTGAGCTACGTCTTCTGGTTGTACGTGGGAAAGTCCGCCACCTCCACTTTGTCCACCACCTTGAAGGAGGGAAAGAGGCCCACTTGATTCGTGCGGGTGTTCTTGCCCTTGGAGAAGCCATTCCAGTGATTCCCCGCAATGCTGATTAGGTCGTTCTTCTGCATCACAATCTCGCGACTGTTGCGCGGCGTGTGCGGCAGCACGGCGCGCCGATTGTGGGCATTTTGGCCGCCATAGTAGTAAATATCGTCCAGTGACTTGAAGCGCTGCGTCGCATCCTCCGTGTGCAGCGTCTGCATGATCTCATAAGCCACGCGACACACTTGTGAGCTGAACGTGCACACGAGATAGTCGGAGAGAGAGAGCAAGTGCGTGTCCAGGATGATGCCATTCAGGGAGAAGTCCGTGTAGCGCGACGACACGGCCGCCATTCGGGCCACATTCGGATCCCCAACGACTTCGTAGTGAGGATAATTCGATCGCGCCTCTTCGATCACCTGAAAAAGGGTGAAAAATTGAGGGTTGTTCAGTCTCACGATTTCGCTCTTAAAAATCCATTCAAATCTCACATAAGAGAATTTAGCACAAGATCGTGAAGTCGCGGGTTCGATTCTCTCGCAATTGTGTTTTTTCACAACTCTTTCTCACTTCCCTTTTCTTTTTCGTGTATTTTCCTTCACTTTGTCGCTTTATATCGGCATTTATCCCTCAATTTTCGCCTAAAACCATCAGCTGATCAGCTGATGAAGCTGAAAAGCTTTCTTTTCGCGTTTAAATTCCTCTCTTTCCTGACCAGGATTACGCCAGGAAGTCAGCTCTCCAAATGAGTATTGTGGAATATGACATTTTTAGCTTTTTTTAAAAGAGTTCTTTGGAGAAGTTTCAAGCCTGAGAAAGGACCTTAAAGCATCAAAAAGAATGTTAGGGAATAAACTTAGAAAAAGAAAAGCAATTCTGAGCCTCAGATGGAGTTATTAGAGATAATTTCTAAGGTTTTTGATTTTTAATTTTATCTTTTCCTAGATTCCCGTCCATTCCTTGATATTCCTGCTGAAGTGATTCGTCCGTTCTTCACTTCAGCAACCCTCGGTGGGAAAAGTTAATAATGACTTCGAAAAACCGCCCAAAACTGGCACGAAAAGTACTCAACTACAAAAATACAAAGTAATTTGATGGTCTTTTTATACACACAATGATTGATAAATAGTTTATTCATCGTGCGTTTTGACCATGTAGAATTTATTTTCAGACTCTTTCTAGATTACGCTTTTATCACTGCTTTTCTGGGAGGAAATTTAACAACATTGATGAATACGCTAAAAACTCTTTTCTTAAATTTTGTATCTCCTTAATTGGCCAATTAGAGAAACATTTCTCTCTGGAAAATCCATTCATTATCACACACTCACGTTATCTCGCCTTAAATCGCGCTCACCTTGTAATCATCTGAAGCAATATAGACTCTCCGCTTATCAACACTCTGTCGCAGCTCAAGTTGATCGTAGAATTCATCAACGGCTGTCATGTACTCGGCGAGACTGTGAAACGCCGCCTCTGTGCCCACTTTATCGGTGCGTCGGATGTGAACGCTGTCGAGGAATTGGATTAATTAGATAAATTGGGAGCTAATAAAGCCATCTCCGTGCCAAACTCACCCAACAATGGGATTCTTGAAGCCCAGATTCCGGATTCCAGTGTCCAGCATCTGCTGTGTGGACGCTTGTGGTCGCAGCAGGTATTTGAGGAACTGGCCGACCCACCACACGAACGGATCGCCGTGAATGCGCGTGAGACGCGGCGCCAGATCGGCTGGAATGGCGAGCGGCAGGTGTTCAGGTCGCGGATGCAGGGAATCAATGATGGGCAGCGTGAGGACCTGGGTTGAGGGCTTCCCAGGCCAATTGGCGTGCGTCTTGCCATTCACATCCACACACGTTTCCGAGACAGGCTGGAAAATCTCCTCCCATCCGGCCTTGTGATATCGCCAGCCCTTGGACTTGAGGATGAGCGTTCGCTCAGTGGCGTAGGCCATGATGAAGCAGTACACGACGTGATGCAGCTGACAACCGTAGCCACAGCCCTTGTTCAGGCGACACACAATCTTCCTGGCATTGCTACAGTCCGCGGGATTCTGCAGTCGATGCAGTCTCTGCTGCACGAGGTTCGACAGATTCCTGAATTCCTGCTCGCGCCACTGCTCGTGTCCGTCCGATCGCCTCAGATCCTCGATGTCCGTGAGGAGGGAACCCTTGTGCTCCCTCAGCAGCTTCATCGCCTCGTCAACGGCGCTCACCACCTCGGGATTGGCCGTCTTGGCACGAATCTTGATGCTGCTCATCTCCGCATTCACGAAATTGTACATCTCCTGCGTGTTTGTGTAAATCCGACGGAGGAGATTATCATACTCTGCCGGCGGTGCGCTCTGGGTTTTGCTGCCTATCAGACTCTTTATCTTCACCTCTATCTTCTGCGCCAACTCCTTCTTGTCCTGCTCGTCGAAATTGCCATCCCTGGAAGGAGAGAAAATGCATTAGAAAAACTGGCTTTTAAGTGATCAAATCAGTGCGTCTCGATGGAGAAGTAATGAGAGAAAATAAGTGATTCCCAGAATCAGGAATACTATATTTAGAAACCGGTTTAACTTAAGTACTTCTCCCGAACTCCAGGCACTGATCTCTGCAGATTTTATGCAAATTTCCCACACCGGAAGCTTCAGTCCTATATTTGGCCATTCTATGCATTCTGTAGCGTTTATAATCTTGGTTTAAGTGGACAACAAAGCGATCTGTTCACTCGCAAACCTCCCGGTGTGCTTCCAGGAACGCCCTGTCATCGGGACACGTATGTACTCACTCCAGATGCTCCCGGAGGAGGTTCTCGATGTGATTATTGTTGGACTCGAGCATGTTGACGTAGGAAATGGCCCTGTTGAGCCTCCGCAAGTCATTCTCCATCAAGTGTTTACTATTGCTTCCGGACGATGTGAGATTTGTGAGCGACAGCAGAACCGTGGCGCCCCACAGAATTATCACAATAATGAACCATTGCACGCGACTGCTCAGGTTGAGGGCGCGCATCGTGGCCAGCCTCGCCGTGCCGAGTGGAAAGTATCACTGGGGAGTTCACACTGCTTTTCCTCCCGCATGAAAAGCCGCGGCACGATCGATCGGAATTATGTGTGTCGAACAGTTTTGCTGTCAGTCCGCCATTGTCCGACAAATTTCTGACAGTGTTTTTGCACGCCAAAAGCATAGAGATTTTCCAGGACGCCTTTTTCCACGAGCTTTTCCACCGCACCAGCAATCTCCAGTGATCTTGTGGGTGAAAGGACGCAGGTACAAAAGGAGAAAATGAAGACTGTAAAGGCCGATCAGGTGAGTTGCGAGGGGGAAAAACGAAAAACCTTCGCACTGTTTTGCATCGACTGTCTTGTGCTGATTGCCCCTTCTCGGGCCCTGAGGGGCTCTTTTTCTCGTTGCCAGACCATCACGGAATTCCTCAAGGATCTGCCCTCGTACAATGCCAAGAACTTTGCTCTCTTCAACACAGAAAACGGCCTGCGGACGTCCTCAAAGCGACCGCCAGTGTACCTCCCAACTGTTGACGTTCCAGCTGAACAAAGTAATTAAATTTGTGCTCGCAAGGCTGAATTTCTCACTCACAAAAACCCCCCGATTTCTCTCTTCCCAGTCATCGTGACGGAGAAGAAGAACATCCTTCTGAGATACTTGCACCAGCAGTGGGACAAGAAGGTAATCCGGAAGCGTGCAAGCGAGTCTCGTCCTCAAGCTCACTGTTTTTCCCGTGGGTTTTTCTTGCAGAACACCGTGAAAAAGCGAGACCACGTGGGAGATTCCGTGGAGGCGAACCGCAAGAGACCGCGACTGGACAGGGAGACCTCCAACTGAGCACCCCTTCTCAACGTCCCAGACTTCATGGTGTGATTTCTTCTGTTTTTTCATCATCAACTTCTTTTCTTTTTGTGCCCAAGCGGCGCGTCGTCTCTAATCTTTAAGAATAAATTATGTGTAATGGAAGTATAGATTCTAGTGCAGCTTTATTGACACAATCTTCACATCGTCGTAGGGTTTGTCCGACTTGGGATTCGTCTTCACATTGCAGATATTCTGCACCACTTCCATGCCCTTCAGCACTCTCCCGAAGACCGTGTGCTTGTTGTCCAGCCACGGCGTCGGCAGCACGGTGACGAAGAATTGGCTGCCGTTCGTGTTGGGGCCCGCATTGGCCATGCTCACCGTGTAGGGCTTGTCGTGCTTCAGCGTGGCCACGAACTCGTCCTGGAAGTCCGAGCCCCAGATGGACTTGCCGCCAGTGCCCGTGCCCGTGGGATCGCCCGTCTGGATCATGAAGCCCTTGATCACTCGGTGGAAGATGTGGCCGTTGTAGTAACTGGAGGATTGACTGATTAGCGTCCCGCAGCCTCAAAATCTAGTTTATCGTCCAACTTACCCATTTTTGCTGTGCGTGCAGAAGTTCTCCACCGTTTTCGGACACTGATTGCCGAAGAGCTTCATGTAAATGTCGCCCATTGTTGTGTGAATTGTGGCATTGTCGTAGATGATCTGACTTCCCTGCGCGTCGGACACAGAGATGATGTCTTCCTTGGAAGGTTTCTCATTGAAGATGTCTCGATCGCTATTCTGCACATAAAGTGGCGATCTGCGGCTATAAAGATAGAATCGTTGCTTCCTGGAAACAAAGAGAAAACAAATTTTGTGATTACGATCCAAAAGACCCAAAAAAAAGATGCTATAAATGCGATTCACACCTTTTCTCCTCACAAAATGTCGTTCAAGTCAAGTAATTTCCCACTTCTGAATTTAAAAAACATATTCTTCTTGAATGCTTTCTCTTAAATCCAGAAAAATGTTGAGAATTTTGCTTAGCTTCGCTAAAAAGCGTCTAATCGCCATGACGCTTTTCGAGAGAATGATCGAATGACGATCGACAGAACGCGAGAAACGACAAATTTCTAGCTTTTCTAGCACTCCTTGCCCTTCACGAAAGGACACAGAAATCCACCCTCTCACCTTGAACATTTCCTAGACATTTCCAAGGCTGTCTTGAGATAAATCGACGAACTGTTTCTACTTTTGTTTACTCACTTGTAAGCCGTTGCGAAGAGTGTTGGATCATTGGCGATCGATTGAAGTGTTGGATTCTCAGACGCTTCCTGTTCCATCGTGATGGCGCCCTTTGTCCTCCTCACTTTTCCCTGATACAGTGAAATGTGCAGCGGCCGGAGATTGTCGCTACTGCCCAGAATCTTGACGCACTTATTCGTGTCAATATTCACCAGCTTCACGCCCAACATCGTCGAGTACAGAATAAAGTGTCCGCTCCTGTCGAAGACTACATTAGATTGGGAAAGCTTGTCCGACTTCTCCAGATCCTTCTCATTGGCCATTCGTCGGCCGAACTCCATGTTCGGCAGCGTGGGATGTTCCTGATGGCGCTCGGAGAATCTCGCCAGCGATTCGTCATACACGCGCAGAAGTTTGCCCGAGAGGAAGGAAAAGACTCTCACCATCCGATCCGATGACAGAGTGGCAAATTTCCGACCATCTTCGCTGAATTCCAGACTGGAAACTATGGTTTTCTGCTTGGCGAACTCGAAGAGACTCGTGTCGAGTTTCGACTCGAAGGAGACGATTTTGCTGGGGAAGGAGTACTCATTCCTAGGCCCTGTGCAATACTCCAAAATCCCTCTAGTGTCCACAGAGACGACAATCTCGAAGATGGGATTGTATCGCAGGATAATAACGGGCGCCGTGTGGAGTTTGTCAAATGTGTGCAAGAGTTTGTTGTCTCCTTTGCCGTCATAAACGTAGATCGCATTGGAATCTGTGTCTGTCCTGCAAGGAATACGGAGAATAATTAGTTTCCCGGGAGATTGCAATGCTGAGACTCTGACTTACACCATCAAACTGGCTATTACGTCGGATCCTGAGTAAGTCCACTCCGTACATTTGGGCACATAGTCCACCCGGATCATGTTAATCATGTCAAAGTTGATGACATCAAAGACTTTGATGCTCTTGTCCACAGAAGCGGTGCACAGAAGATTCCCCTGACAATCCACAGACACACTCGTGATGGCATCTGCAAGAAAATGACATTGTAGACGGAGTCTTTGTGGGGCGAAATGCATCAAAATCGTCCTGGAACTCACTCAAGTGACTCCGGAAATGCTTCACAAACTCCACTCCCTCTTCCATCTTCTTCCAGAACTTTATGTGTCCATCCACGCTGGCTGTGACGATGAAATCCGTCTTGGTCGTCACCACGTGCGTCACCACATCCCTGTGCATGTAGCTCTTCTCGTAGGAGTCGGAATTGGGCAGATCGGCCAGATAGAGATCCTCATGATCCACTGGAAAAGACGAGGGAAGTTAGTAAACATAACCCAGAAAGCAGATTTTCACTCACATCTCCGTCGTTTCACAGGCGCTCCGGGTGTCTCCTGCTCCTCAGGCTTGGCGTCATTTGAGCTATCATCGGACATGGCGGAGAGGCGTATATTTGTCCAGGAAACAAGAGAAATGCAGGAAAAACAGTGCTGGATGTGCTGAGAAAACGTAAACAACACTGACAGGGTGGGGAAACTGAACGCTGTCAGTCCGCAGTTCGACAATCAGCAGTTTGAAGAATTGTCGATCAACGGAAATAATTTTCCAGGGATATTTTCCGTAAAATCAAGACTAAACTATTGAAAAGATGATGGAATTCTTAATAAATCCCTCATTTGTCTTTGTCTGCTCCTGATCCGTGGAAATAAATTCAAAAATTGTGATATTCCTCTCTTTCTGATCCTTTTTTTACAGTGTCGATCAGCTGTGACTTTGGGATTGTTTACAAACTGTTGGGGTGGCTTTTCTGGTGGAGAATCTCGTGAAAATCTTGCGAAAATGGTGGTTTTAAGTGTGGAGAAGTACAACAATATTGTGGAGTTCATCAGAAACTTCCGTGGTCTGATGATAGACTGCGAGAAGGAGCTGCAGAAGGCTTTCCCTGAGTTCTCCGACACTCCTCAAGTGCTGGCCAGCATTCTCTCTCGGGAGGTGCAGGCTCGTCTCAAAGGCACTTACTACGTCATCCAGGCAAAGTCTGCGCATCTCCTGCAGCAGTTTGAGAAGCAGAGCAAGGAGAATCCGCACAGTGATTCTCTGCTGCTGGAGATGTCAGTGGATTTGAGATTCTCTCCCGTGGGTCTGGCCAGATTGCTGCTGATGGAGAAGTACAAGGGCTCCCGCACGAAGAGTGACGTGAGCAACATGGTGAAGAATCCGTACTTAATTCCCGATGCGGCTCTCGGGATGAACGTCCGGAAGTGCCTGTTCAACGACAGCTTCGACGGTCCGCTCACGGACTTTATTCGGCGCTTCGTGGGCGAAGAGCATGAAATTCGAGTGAGTCAATACTCGCGTGTGATTGATTACTTTACGACGATCGCTTATCAGTGATGTTGCGATGTGGAATTGAGGGAAATTCATGCTCTCTTCACTTGCAGCTGAAGCAAATGGCCAAGGATGCTGGCCTGGTGTTCAATGATGAGGGCGATTTGAGGCGGACGGGCTATGACAAGACGCCAGATCTCAAGCTGGCTATTCCCTGTCTCTATCGAGGCGTGCCGATTCACTGGATCGAGAGCAAGGCGCTCTTCGGCGACACCAGCAATCACGAGAAGTACGTGCGTGAGCAGCTGTCGTGCTACCGCAATCGCTTCGGCGCGGGCATCGTCATCTACTGGATGGGCTACGTGGAGAGCGTCCTGGGCTGTGATAACGACATGATCTTCGTGAGGGACACGTTTCCGGAGGCGAGTGAGTTGACGCTGCTTAAGATTTGTTAGCACGTTTTTTTCTTTTTTATTACAATACACGGCAATTTATATAAAATGAAATATCACTATTGGCAATGCGACTGAAGAGTGTGTGACGATGAACTGTGGAGAGGAGGACTCTCGGAGAGATGGTGGAAAAATGAAAAGACAGATTTCACCCGACTCGTGAATGGCTATTTCTTTTCCCCTCTAAAATGTGTGTAACATCTGCGTTACATGCGTGCACATGAGAGAGTCCTGATCGTGTGATGGTGGAAGGGAGGGATTGAAAACGGGAGGATCAAGAGGTGCTAGACATCTTTGAGATCGGCCGGGAGTTCTGACTTTGGGTGTTTGTTCTCGAAGTGCTGTTTGTAGGTCTTGGGATCCGGCATCTGTGCCTTGCACACATTGCAGACGTGGACGAGGGCTTTCTGGGCGGCCTTCTTCTGCTCATTGGCATTGTGTCCCTGCTGCTTCTTCTGCTTGGCCTGCTTCTCCTGCGCCTTCGCCTGTGACTGCAGCTTCTGGTGCCCGCGAGCCATTCTGCTGTGTCTTCTGCAATGAGAGAAACATCGCATGATCGTCTCTTCTCTTTGTGATGCCCCTTCTTCGGCCACTCACATGAGGTGTCCCTATTTCTCGTGCCACACTCTCTCCAACTTCCTACGGCCTATTGCACGGGTATCCGATGATTTTGGGGCTCACGGCCAAATGCAGTCCAAGTGGGAGTGTTGTGGATGCGGAGGTGAAAGATAAAAGGAGGATTGCAGTGAAAATTGGTGAGAAATTCCTGTGGAATGCAGAAATTCTGTGAAAGCACTACACAGCGCAATGCTCTTGACAGTTTTTGGCACAATTTCCGTGGCGCCTCTCGCGGGATTTGCGCGAAGCCGCCGCACGCGCTTCTCCAGTTTCGAATGGCAAAACATAGAATAACCGTCGCTTGCCATGCTTTTTTCCGCGAGAATGAAAATACAAAGCGCTTTCATTTCTGCATAAATGCAAAAATTAACAATAAGAGACCCTCTAAGTGTATTAAAAAATGCCAAAAATTTATTATGATTGTTTCTCAAACAACTATTGTATCGTTGATATCACAAAATTCATTGATATTGTCAACAAATTCACTCTCCATGAACAATCTCTTCAGCTCATCTTCGCCAAAGCCACTCACGATGTCACTCTCGATCATCATGCTCTTGAGATCCTCAATGATTGAGTGGGTCTCCTGGATCTCCAGCTTCGTTCTGAACAGCTCATCTTCACTCTTGACAATTTCTTCAGTGCATTTCTGCAGATTTTTCTGCACACGCTCAATATTTTTCCCAGATTTCAAGTCTGTGTCAATGTAAATTTCATTTTGGCGCTTATATTCCTGGTTTTTCACTTCCAAATGCTCTATGAGCTCCTCTTCTCGATGCAATAAAGTCTTCAGGTCGTACATTTTGGCCACGATTTCCTTCCGAATGGTGTGAAATTGTAGGGAAGCTCTCTTGAATTCCGGTGGAATGGCAAAGTCGGATAATTTCTTAACAGGTGTTGAAGATTTGCCAACATTTTCGAGTTTCAAGCCAACAGAATGCACTCCACTGTCCAAATCATCACACTCATCGCGATCTCTCTTCTCTGCGAGTGCCTTTGTGGTGTCTTCGAGAAAAGTGTCCATCAAAATCTTCTTCCCACTCGGATTGCGCTCATCGAAAGCCTCGAGGTGCTCTTGAATGATTTTTCCTTGATTCAGAACGCGCCCAACGAGTTTCTTCAGTCTCTTGTACTTTTCCCTCTTGTTTGATGTTTTCTCTTCAGTCCTTCGGGCAATTTTCAGTCTGAATTTCACCTTTTGGTATAGAAAAGAAAAACAACACATTAGCAATGCAGCGTGCAATTAATTTCATACTATTTCACCTCATTTCTCGCCTCACCCCACGCCAGCCACAGGGGTGAAATCAACGTATCGCCGGATAATGGTTGTTCCGCAGAGCGCCATTTTTCTGTTATCACGTAATCTCTGACATCACGCGACGCTGCGACATCTGCAAAAGCATCGCCATGTTTCAGTCCCAACCCAGTATAATGTGTGAAATCTTGCTGGGGTGAATACCTTTCGGGGTGTTTTTCAGCTCATCCTCGATCAGGGCTTGTATGAGATCGCGACACGTTGTGGCTTCATTGATACCGGAAATGTATCTCGGTTCACCGCAGATCCAAATCGGGATCTCGTCATCTGCTTCCGGCTGTGGAAAAAGAGTGAGAAAATGTAATGCATAACTTTTAATGCTTCCTTTTTAGGGGTTAATGATCGAAATAAGTATGATTGTTGTCTATTTATAATTCTAAACATTCTAAATACAAAAAAAAACACTTAACCCCGTGATATCTTGTGCAGCTCTTGACGTCAGAAGCGTATTTTCTCCCCCTTAAAGGTGTGAATGACACCCTCTCGAATGGTTTTATAATAATAATAATAATAGTGGAAAGTTTTGAAAATTTCAGTAGATTAGGGCGCAGTGGTGTTACGAGGAGGGGATGAAGTATTTTTCACCCTCATTGTCAATCATTATGCAAATCAGGAGGGTCACACAAAAGCCATCGTTTGCGACATACATAACTATGGCAAGGTGTATAAACTATTTTTACCTGAATGGCTGTAGTTGAGGTGCATATTGATTTTCCCCTCAATGGACTTTCTTTTGGCTGGCCATGGGGTAAAATTGGACTGTAGCGACTCAAGTCTGAGGCTGAAGCAGCGACGTTTTCGTGTAATAACGTTGAGTTTTGCGGCGCCATTTATCAGCACTAAAATATTTAATCAATAAAAGCGAGGGGTTAGTGTATATAGCGGTGTGGGGGGATCACATATAGCAATTTCTCAACTAAAGCTCTGCACACCAGAACACGAAAGGCACGTATTATTGTGGTGATGGAGAGTACAGTGATTTTTGAGAACGATAAACTAATTTCATGTAGCCGTGTAGCGCAGCTAATCTAACTACCTTCCCATATAGGCGTCTCGTTTTCTTTTCAAACTACCCTCGCACCCCTTCCGCGGTCCTCGCCCCCGGGCGCCACCCACTGGGAGAGACGCTAAACACGCCCCGGTGGCGGGAAATTTTATGTACAAAGGTAGAAAAAGAGGAGGTGTATTAGAATTAGCATTGATTTATACCACCCACTCGGTGGATATAAATTTCCCACCCACTTTCTCAGACGTCGAAGTGACTTGAGAGGGTGAGAGAGTGAGAGAGCTATTAATTTTTCACTCCAGACCAGAAAGTCATTCATCAATTTATATGTTCTCTTCCAATTCTCTACCACCATTAAATAACCTTGATTGCATCAATTGGACGAATCCTCTTTCACGAAAAGTTTTATCAATAACTTATTCTTGTCCTCACCATGGAAATTTTTTAGCAAGGGAGAGCGACAGTGAAAGTTACGGGGCTTTTGCGGGGGTTTTGCGGTGTTTTTTCCCCCCTTAATCTCTGCTGATCGATGATGTCCTGTAAATTGTCTAACGATGGCACCAAAGGATCCACAGATACTCTTGCAAAAACACTGTGAATTCTCCCAGTGCCAAGGTTCTCCAATTTATGCTGAGTGTCGCCAGAAGATCGTCACTACAACTGTGGGGTCTGGACTTTGGACAAAGGGTGAAGAAAGAAGTTTTGTGGATTCTATCAAAGTGTGGGAAGGTGAAAAAATAAACATTAGAATTTACTTACGGGCTTGATTTTTTCCCAACAACGCCCACACGGGGAACCACCCCAGAATTGAAGCACTATTTTGTCCTACTTGAATTATTGATAGGATCACCTCTTTTTTCGTTCGATCTGTATTTCGAGGGTTGGAAGACCCTGTCCGGAAAGGCGCACGAGAAACATTATGAGAGAGAGGAATTGTCTGTGAGTTACTGGCTTGACGAGAGACTCTAACCACAACTGTCCCCTTGGGTGCAATTTGGCAAACTCTGGATCACGGAGCTTCCTGGCACAGTCGAGAGGGCCAAATGAAGCCCTCGGGCGCACCAAAGAACCGCGGCTGCCGAAGGAATTGTTTGGCGGTGTGTTGCTAAAGTAACTCCTTCTGTTTTGCCACGGAGTATCCTTGACAACTCCACCAAACGACTCACGAGGCTCCACTGGAGCGAGTGAGAAGGGACGAAAAAAACTATTTAACTAAAATACATACTCGCGATTGGAGTGTGAGAGCTAGCGTGACTAGAGGAGCCATGTTTGGTGGGCGCCAGCCACCCTCTCGCGGCTCCGTGCGATAGAATTCAATTTTTCCAGCCCCGTTCTGGCAAAAGTTTCAAAAGAACCCCAAAGATGGAAATGAAGCGCGATATTTGTTACGTAAGGACCGAAAGGCCTTTTAAAATGTGAGTTCATTAGTTGCCAAGATTCATTGCTAAGCAATAAGTGCAATATAAGATGTCTGAAATCTTGGCTAAGAATTGTTCACGGAAAAGTACATAATTTCATCTAGGAATGCTTTTAATAGTGCAGCTAGAAAGGCAAGTCACGGGGAATAATGTGTGGCTTCTTGTTTGAATAGTGTCAAAAATTTCATGGAAAATTACGCGGAATTTAGCAGAGCAGTCTGAAAAATTGCCAAAACAGTCTTTGTGTGATAATAAAAACGCGGAGGAGTGTAAAAATACACATAACAGCGTGTAGAATAGCTAGACGTGGGTGCGCATTTTCACCTGTTATGCCCATTCCTCATCTTCTCTTTTTCGGCTCTTTTCCATGCCCATCAACACTAGCATTTCGCGCGACGAAGAATCACACGCACACAGAAGCTGACTTGTGGGTTAGAAACTTGTACAACACAATTAGACTCCGGGCTGGAAGATTGTTAAATCGAAATAGCAACATAATTTTGTTGTCCTTCCACCCGTGCCGCGACAAAAAGTCCCCATGTCACGCGGAAAACACCAACAAAAGACACCCAATTCTGGGTATATTTTCTCTCTTTCGTCGTCTAAAGCCTTTTTCCACCTTTTTTCCCTTTGCGTTCTTCGTGCTGTGTGTGTGGGTGTTGGTTTGGGAAAAAGGTAGCGAGCAAGAGTGGAAAAAAAATGGGAATGACGCCAAGAGGGGAGGATGAGTGACGATTTAATAGTGAGGGTGGCTAGGGAGGGTTATTGCTTAGCACGAAGAGGTAAAATATGAAAAAATTATACTACAAGTCACAAAAATGGCGATCCAGAGACATGCACAAACCCTCCCCAGTATTTTTTTCTTCACCACATAAAACCAATTCCCACTCCACGCCTCTTTCCCACTTCCCCCAAAAAAACATACATGCTCACTTTGGGGAGGAATACAAGAAAACATATTTAACGATTTCAGCAATGACGAGTGAAAAAAAGCCTCCCAACCCAGCGCCAAAGGGGCGGCAAAAGCTATCGCCGGAGTCCCAGAAGGAGTGTAATTTTCGATTAAAAACACCGTCCACACAAATAAATAAATGCATCGAGGGTGGGTGGGGTGAGAAGTGCATTAAATGGTGACTTCACATATTGGAAATTCTATTTAAAACAGCCCCGGCGACCGAGTTCCAAGAACCGGCCGGCTGTCGCGACGGCTTTCGTGTGAGGCAATTCTTAGAATTCACCCGTACACAAATATTTAAATTAGGGGTAAGTGGGGCAGCTTCAGATTCAAAATGCTGTTCCAACTTTAGGATTTTTTCTTGAAAAATCGACTAAATATATTGAAATAATCACAACGCTCAAATAAACTCTTGTTTATTGAGCTTCAGAAAATGCCTTTCATTGGGCATTAAAACTGATCCTTTTTCCTCTAAAGGAGAATGAAAATAATATTGTAATTAATCTGAAACTGCCCCGCACGGGGATGTTTCGGATTGCTCTGGGGCAGCTTCAGATTTTCACTTATATTTCCTTAATTCCATGTGGAATTGTGATCCGGACAAATAATCACTTTGGTTTCTAATTACACACTGAACTGTTTATCCATCGCTTATTATTTTCGGACTTTGGCCTTGGCGTAAAGTGGCGAGATTGCCGTCATTTTTCTGTCGCGGTGTGCTTGAGCGCCGCGAAATGGCTCTCGAAATTTGCCTATCAGTGATTTCGCGTGTATTTTTTTTTCCACTAAGAAGTCGTTAACGTGATGAACAATGCAGCACAGAACGGCACTTGTGAAAAATCTTCAATATTTCCACAAGAAAATTCGACGTGATGTTGCGTCAGACTGTCAGAGCGCGCTGTGTCAGTCCGTGGGATCCGAAATGCCCCGTGGGTGTTTGTGTTTTCCACCACCACTGAAAGGGCCGTGAGGAGGAAAAGTTCGGGCATATTTAGAATCTCTACTTAATCTCAAAACTTTGATTGGTTTCACGCGAATTGTGGCTTTTTTAATGGAGAAAACACGCAATCAATCGGCAGCAAAATTCTAGTTTGTGAGTGATTTTCATTTTCACTTATTTATCTAAACAGTCAAGGCAATCCTGTGCAAATTTTCGTCAATTGTAGTCCTTAAGGACTACAAACATTGTGTGAAGACCAGGAATTTATTCATGCAAAAATCTCTGAGAAAATTAAGAAATCTGAAGCTGCCCCAATCTGAAGCTGCCCCATTTACCCCTACCTTCCGTGATGAGGGTATAAAAGCTCAAAGTAAAAGCTTTGGGGAGCGGAGTGTAACTTGCAATGCAATTTTCAATCAATTATTCCACTTGTGAATGTTGTCTAAAGTACAGGTTGAGTGCATTAATATATTATAAACGAAAGAATTGAAGGAGGAGTGAATGGATTTTTGTTTCTGAATGTCTTTGCATTGATTTCCTCATACTCATAGAGGAATATCATTCAATTTTTCAATACAATTGGCTACTTGTGGTTCTAATTTCGCTCTTTAGGCATTTTTAATTTCATAAACACATTTTACGTAATTTAATCGTATTCAATTTTAGAATAATTTCACATTAATAAAAAGTCACCATGTTTCCTCACTTTTATATCTGACTTTCCCATTGAATTACATTAAAACTCAACTCATTAATCAACACTTGAAAACCCCTTTTGGTAATTTTTTCATCATAAATTCGCTGCTCTTCTCAAATCCTATTGAAAATATTGAAAAATGCACTTTTCCGCTCGATTTTTTGCCAGCAATATCACTCAACACAACACTCTCGATGAAACTGTGGGGCTGAATTGAAAATGCCTGTGCATTATACGCCCCAATTGGGGTTAAAATTTAAATGTCATTCATTCTCATGGGATAATAGAAAATTTAACATCCAACAAAGGTCAGCGATTCCGAAGTGTACAGTCTGTTGTCCTTTTTGTATTCCAATCCCAAAAATAGATTGACTCTTGTCTGGCCTCACAAGAGATGTCTCTCTCTTTTGTCTCAAATTTCCATGTGGGTTGTTTGTGTGGAAAAAAATCTCATGTGTTGGATCTCTCTTGCGGTGTCGACAGAGTCGCTGGGAAGCAAACAATAACTCACCTCATCACTTCCGGAGTGCTCCGGTGCGGGCACAAAAGATTCCAATTACCGGGATGGTGGCTCAGAACTGTTTAATTGACGGTGATGTAATTGGGGAATTAGCGCTGCGATGCGATATGTCGCCGGAGTCGGTGTTGTGCGTGGGGAAGACACTAATCTCGGGTGTTTCTCGCCAATGGACTTGGCCGGGGGTGTCACTCAGGTGGTCGGGTCAAACACCAGAGCACTACTGAGGCAACCGATGGACTTACTAGTGGCTAAAGGTGATAGTTTGACGGATTACAAGCGCGACTGAGTGGACGATGGTGTAACGAACAGCGAGAGACCTATGGTTTGAATTAAATTTCAGGCCCATGCAAGAGAGTGAGGCAGTGGTGAAGGAAAAAAAATTATGCTCGCCGTATTTTTTCGTGTGTGCGTTTCGGGAGAATAAAAGAAAAATGTGTAACATGGGTAGGGAGGGTGTTCGGCCACACATATATATGTAAAATGTTTCACTGTGTATTCACGATTGTATTTACATAATGTACCTGGCACACGCTATATAGTCTTTTCGGGCTGTTGAAAAATTATATTCTGGAAAATGTTTTCCTTTCTGGGCGCTGGTGGAGAGGAAAGTTGAGTCAATACGCCAAGAGGTTTTCCTATCCTCCTGTGGTTCTACGATGGTTCTTAGGAGCTCATCGCAAGTGGTGCACAGGTAAAAAAAAAGGGTAGAATCTAATTAATAATCTCACCCCTTCGGGTGCTCGAAACTAGCATATTCATGAGGCAAATGCCGTGGCGTAATGGCTCTGATGGTGTGGGTGGGACCGCGGAGACTTTCGATTAATCACAAAATATATTGATCAATTTCTCGCCACGATTCTAATCACTTTGCGGGACACAAGCGTAGCGAAGAAGTCCATTGTCTCCGCCAGAGAGGCACTTTCTCAACTGAATACAACTATAATGAGTCAGGTGGTTGGCCACAAGGTGTTTTCCGTTGATATTTTTACACAAAAAGTCATACATTCTGGCGGTAACTCTCTTTTTGCCTCCCGTGAGACCCAGCAAGGTGAGCAAGCGAGCATGTGTTTGTGCCTTGCAGCTTCGCATCACTGCAGTTGCTGTCTCGTGTTCAGTTTCCCGCCAATTTCATCAATATACACCTCTCCTTGGACTCATCAACTTTATTTCACAGCACCCGAAACAGCCTGCGAAACAGGTGTTGCTTGGCGCGATCATGTCTTGTGCGGAGGATTAGAAGAAGTGCCATAAAGCGTCCCTTTGCAACACACAGTTAAACTTTCTTAGGTCAGGCGAGAGAAGTGTCTGGAAAATTTTGATAAAATTCAATTCTCTTCATGTTCTTTTGTTCGAGAAGGAATTTGAAGAATTTCTTGAAAAAAAAAATTCACATGATTTGCATTGCAAATAATGATGTGAAGTAATATATTTATAAATCCTATACAGACTACAGAACAATTATAAAGATTAAATACTTGCTGAGCCGTACTGGTTATTTTTATTGTACCTATCAATCAAAAGAGACTCACTGTTTGCGTAACTTACAAAATGCATTGTTTCGACGGTGGTTCTGTCTAAATATTAAGCAATTAAGACAAGCAATGGACTCGATTTGTAGCCGAAAAAGAAGCATAATTTGCTCAGGTAATTAGTCTCTATTCTAGAGCGTTCGAGTCGTTCGAGTGTTAAGTAATTTTAGCTGATAAAATGAGTTGATTGATTGTACATCAATTCATCGTATTGAGACACTTTGGTAGACTTATTAAATTTGACTTTATTGCCTCTCAATAAGCAAAGTCACGTACAATGTCCAAAGCTTCTTGTACTTTCTCTCTGCTGTACACCATTAATGTCTCTGCAGTACTTCCCCTTGTCATTAAGTCCTCTTTGTACCTCTTATTCCACCTGCAGACTTGATCTGGCTGCAGTCCATTGCGATCATAGCCTCTCGGCGCACAGCCCTGCCTTTAAAAGGACACCTCACTGTATAATGAAGTATTTTTTTGTACAATCCATTAACGGACAAATAAAATTTACTTCATGCTTGGGTGAATTTTTGCTGTTTTTTCAGCATTCAGTTGAAATTTTATGCTATGGCTGGAGCGAGAAAAAAATTGTTTCACTTGTCGTATAGTCACAGTGCGATGTATATAGAATACGCACACAAGGCACCTGTAAAACTGTTGAGGTGTTGAGAGGCACTCTTTTTTTACGTCCAAAGAAACTTCCATGGTGTAACATGTGTTCTTGCATTGCATTAGCATTTATAATTATATAGTCGCGATTTAATTTTGCATGAATTAATGCGGAGGAGGTTTTATGCGTTCGGTGATCGTGATGTGAGGAAAGTTCTGTTTGGTTGGAAACCTTGTTAAATGTGTATGCTTTCGGCCCAAATTGACTTTCACGCGAGAGACCATGTTCAAATTGAGAGGGAATAAATTTCCCATCGGAAATTCTGCTCTGTGTGTGCGCGGACTTGAAAAGGAGGGGTTGGAGAGGAACAGGAAAGGAATGTTTCGAGGAGAATTCCTTGCCGTATTTCCATAATGAAGATTAATTTAATGGGTTGGCGGCGCTTTCTTCGTGCGCGTCTGAAATCACAATTGAGGTCACAAATGAATTTCTTCCGTGATCGTGAGCTTGAAAGAGTCACTGAAACTCAAACAGTAAAAGTCAAGAATATTTGTGATTCAATTAAATTTATTGCATATATATTTCGTAAAAAAGGAAGGAGTATTTGTAGTGTTTCTCAACAAATAAAGAGCCGTGTGAGTTTTCTGCTGTTTGGATATTTTCCTTCTGCCGTTTGCTTTCGAATGGATATATGACTCTAGTGGCAAACAGAGGGCACGTGTGGCGACAGATTGAGCACATGTTTGTGAGAATTGGCCACAAGGGAAGTACATAAAATGATATTTTTCCAGCCTTTCCGATCTCTTAATAAATTGTGTTAAATAAGAAAACTGTGCCTGTGTACATATGTAAGAGTTCACGGAGATAACATGGGTAGCATTGCGATAAATCACCACACAATCGTCTTAATATTGCGGAACAATCTTTTTCTCGTGTGACAACGATCGCGCTCGATCATCTAATTAACTTGTGGCGCGGTGCGGAATATATGGGAAGAGGTATTGCGAATTGCCGAAGGTCCCCGTCTCGATCACCTGTAATTTGAATGTCACGAAAATGTGTCACAACAGTTGCACTTGATCAGGGACTCGCGAGATGCGATTGTAAAAATTACAACTATCTCAAGCATGTGCGCGCGCGAGATAAAAGCTTACCTTCACGCAAATCATCTAACATGATATACGGCAATGTGGTTCAGTGAAACGCATCGTAATTCTGTCATTTTCTTGGATGGTTTGATCAATGGAAAGAAATTGAAGTGCTCTCATCTTGGAATGTGGGTCAAATAAACATATCGATTGGTTAGTCTTTTTATCAGTACCACGAAATAAAAAAAATCGCATATTATTGAATTGTTCGTCAATAAAAGCCGATCAAGGGCGATTTGTTTTTCTCCTCCAACATGCATGAGTGTCCATTTTTGTTTAATATGATTGCGCGACTGCAAATTAGCGTATATTTCTTGTTAAAATACGTTTTTCGATTGCCTCAGTGATTGTCTTGTTGTGTTCAAATCTCTTCTTTCAGCGATGATTCATACGAAAAATTTAGATAATTTACATCTCTTTAATTATCAAAACAGTTCTGCCGAAGAGATGTGAGCCATCGCGGCCCAGGGGGAGGATTATGCGGAATTGGGCATGAGTGATTGAGTTGTTGGTTGAATGATGAAAATAGTTTTGGTAGCAAAATATTTGCACAAGGCACAGAATCAATAGAGCGACAATGTGACCGTGAGGCAAATTTACATTCACAATTAGAGTGGAAGGCATATCAATTTTTCTATTTTTGCTACAATATTAAAGCTCCATTGAGAAGAGGCATTCAGAGTTGAGAATGCTCTTTGTGTGCAATGATGGTAATTGATTCGTATAATATCGGTTAGGATCAAGAACCGCAAAATTGTGTCAAAATAACAAACATGTTTATATGCATCGAGGTTAAAACAGAAAAACATGGAAATTTTGACATTTTATTTACGAAATTGTAATGTTATTACTTGAGAAGAGTTCAGTGAACCGATTAAAAGTGATCAGATTAAAATGGGGAAATTTATCAATTAACCAATTAAAAGATTACCTAATGTAGAGATTAGGTAATTTTAGGGATTTTAAGAGCAATTTTGCGAAATTCTGTGCCAAATTTGCAGAAAAGTAATCATCCTTGACGAAACTCGGGGGATTTTTTTCTTCTTCTTTCAAAATGAGGAAGAGAATTCGTCATTTGGCTTCTTAAATAAAAACTTATTAGCGTCAAGTGACGATCAAAGTCTATGATAATGAGAATTGTAAGCAGTTATGATCCGAGCGGTGTCTTGTTAATTTTTTTCCCATTTCGGCAGTTATGCCAGTCCGAAAGTTGACTAAAGTTTTTTTTTCTTCTTAAGTAAAAGTGTTTCTGGGCAAAGTTTCCATGTCTCGAAGGCGTTTCCCAGCTGGCTCAGCGACTCTCATCTCCATGTCAGAATTTCTTGTATTGCGCCATCAGGACAGGTTGTTTCTGGATTAGCTTTCTTAAATATCAAAGTTTACGGTGTGGTTTTGTGGACAAAAACACTTAATGTTTATTGTGTTTTCAAGAGGCGCTGATGGCGAAGGAATCGGGTCAAGATCGATTAGACAGGCTCCAAAAATCTCTGGCACTCGAGAGGACATGTTTGAGTGATATTTAGTGAATGATAAATAAAGAGCTTCTTGATTATCATGACAGGATTTATGACCCGCCAGGATTTTTCATCCGATAATTGGGATTAAGTTATTAATAAAGCACACACTTGTATTATCACCTTGGTACACTTTTGCTCTTCACGCGGTGATAAGATTTGCAGTGTTTTTGCTGGTGAATTCACTCAATTTTTCGGCTCATCTTCACGCTCGGCGGCTTGTGCGGTTGGCAAGTGAGCGAAAATTGCTTCCGTAACTCTTGCAATTATGCAACATTGTATTGCGCTTCCGAGTTCTTTGGCGCGCGCGCGCGCACCTTTCGGCTCACAACTCCGCAACATTTTTGCAATTGCGAAGAGCGATGAACCGCGAGGTTCTTAGCCGGTGCATATAAGTTTATGAAATATCGGCGATTGCCTCATGCGATGAAATCAAATTTTCTCTAGTGTGACCGCCTTTTGGCGACCTTGAGCATTTGCGGCTCTTTAAAATTACATCGCGTCGTGCGAGTTGAATTTTAGAGGAAAAAAAATCAGGTCATGCACTCGAAGCCTGACACTGGGCGAGTGGCGATGCAACAAAGTGCCTCGGCGCTTTGCCTTCTGAGGGTGATCTGCCATGTTCGAGCTGAGCAACTTGTTTGTCATTGTTCACCTAAATGGAAAATTTCAAGGGGGGTTTTGCGGGAAGTGTGTGGACAATATGGAAATTATTTCCTAGAGTGGGAAGCGGAGTTTGAGGGATAAAAAATGGCTACAGTATCTCATAGTATCTCACTCAGCCCACCCACTCTGGCGGCCCTGTCTTCGGTACTGCGAGATAGTGCGTTGGAATAAATGTAATTTCACAGCGCGATTTAATCGTCAGTCTGCAATGAGTCGCCGATAGAGACTCATCCATATTGGATCGTAACTAGACAAAAGTCGGGAAAGAGATATTTTTGCGCCTTCGCGTGTGTTGGTCACTCGACGTGCACGATTGTTGCTTGGGAAACAGCTGACTCCTTTGCATGTGAAGTGTGTGTTTGGCTGATTGTGTTGATGAAAAAGAGGCACTTTTGTGAGGGAAGGCAAAGCCAAAGGCGCTTCGCAACAAGAGATCGGCTTGCCGCATCCGCGATCAGTTGCTCGTCAATATTTGCGGTGAAAAGAAGAAATTTCACTCATCATCGCGAAGACCAACTCTCCTCAACCATCTCGCAACTGTACCAAAAGTATTACAAAAGAAGTGTGGACTCTTTTTCCTACCAACACCGCCACTGTGTCCATCCATTTATTGACACTATAATTATGTGAAGCCAAATCGCTCATTGTCTCCAGAGTATTGATATGAGTGATTACAGCCCGAGTGTGTCTCCGCATTTATGTTCCTAACAAAGTGAGATCAATTGATCAGTTGAAGTGCGTGTGATAGCTCATAAAATCAGCCCCTCTGAAGGACTTTGCTTCCAGCAGAAACTGATAATCAATTACAGTCTATTTGTATCTTGTTAAAAAGTTATTTGACTCGCTGTGAAAAACATTGCGTCATTGGACACTTCTTCACAAGTCAAGTAAATAGCATTTAATTTTTTGTGCTCCCTCATCTCCGAATCCTATAATAAACCATCATCAACATGTCTTTGGGTAATGCGAAGAAGGAAAAAAAAACAGTGGCACAAGATACAAAAGGTGTACTTAGCAAGAAGCGCTAGGAGCAAATAAGTATTAAATGATGAGATTAAGGCATTTTTATGGAGCAAAATGCGATTTTATATGTGGCACTGTGTTTGAACAATTTTTTTACGACTCCAGCATGATGGCATTTATTGACTTGTCCTTCGTTTCTGTGCGCCAAATGTGAAGATATTTTTGTAAATACCGCTTTTTTCACTCCTTCTCCGACACCTTGCTGAAAACTCACAATTTTCTTTTTCTCCTGGACTTGTTATGCACTCAGGGAAAACCCGAAGAGCGCACAAAAGCTGACGTGGGTTAATGTGCTCAGAGTTGTGACTGCAAATTCTTGATGATTTTTTCTGAATTCAACCTCAAGTAGTTCATAATCAATTGTATTAGAGGAGAAGATATAACTGCGCTAAGTGTGGTCATTTTATCACTCTGTTTTGAAACTTGTTGCTAATATGATGGAATTTATTACGTACACTTAACCCTTTAATTCTGGGACGAGAGGAGTTTAGGAGAGTTTAACGACAGCGTGAATGCGCTTAGAACATTTTTTGGAATCATTCTCGTGTTTGTTTAGTACTTTCCGGCGTGTAATCACATCAAATGGGTCATTGTTTTTGTCCAGAATAAATCCGTTTACGACAATTTTCAGTGACCGATAAGATTTACAGACTGTTTTGATCCAATTCGCCTTCGTTCAGTTGAAGACTGAGCGGCTGAAAATACGTCCCAATGCGTGCATATCGATTTCTCCGAGTGCAAAAAATATACTCCATTGTAAATGATAATCTGAATGTGTGGTTTTTGTGCCGATTCCACGGCTGTATAGTGTTGAAAAAGCGTGTTTCGGTGGTATGTTTTGAAAAATACTAGATCCAGAACATGCGCGGCGCTGCAAAAATCTCAGCGAGAAGAGATGAAAATCTCGAGACGTCACAATTGCACTCATTGGAATATAATTGATCAATTTTCAGTGCGCGCGATCATAATGATATGCTCTAGCATTCACTACGGTGAGTTTAACTTGAATTGATGCCGATCCGTTTTGTGGAACTGCGTATGCAAATTCAGCAATTTAGATGATTTTATGCGATGAATTTTGCCAAGCAATTGATTCCCAATCAATGACAGTGACGAAGGATAAATGAGTGGTGGCCCAAGTGTTGTCCGTGTGACGACAAAGTGAAAGAGATCAACAGTTTCAAGAGCGCGACTTTGTGCATGCCAAGAAGTTCACCTGGTGTTGGCTTTGTTGAGGCAGCGGAGATGATTTTCTGTTCTGTGACGCGCTCAATAAATTACTCGTTATCGCTGGGTCGGTATTTAGCGATTATTGTGTGTATTAAAAGTTGCCCGATAAGATTGACAATGCGCTTCTGTCTCCAGAACTGTGCCACGTGAGGTCAAACGCCTAATTGCCTTTTCTTGTCCAATTTCCCAATGCAGTGCCAATTTTTTTTCTTTCATTACTCTTTTCACTTTCAACACTTTCATTTTTGCACTCCATGGAGTGTGTCTCTTTGTTCAAGCAGCGCGAAAAAATGCCGAGAGGCAAGCAAGACCGAAAAATGAAATTGTGTAATAAAATGCTTCGCCATGTCTCTTGGATCCTCTCTTGCAGACACTCGCACGCGTGCAGGCAGAAGGTTAGGGGCCGCGGGCAAGAATGCCAGAGGAGAAGGTCCATCAGGGTAAAATCTCTGAGCCGCTGAGCAAGGGCGAGAAGATTGAGCCATTCGAGGAGGATGAACTGATCTTTGGCAATGCCACACGAAAGAAGTTTTCACCGATGTGGCGACAGGTAAAGTGGAAAATTCCAATATGAATTTCATATGATTTGGGAGCTTTCAAATCTCTTTTTTCTGCTCGCCGAGCAACTATTCACTATGTCGATTGGCATGAGTCAGAGACGGCCAGCAATTTAGGGGTCGAGATCAGTTGAATTTTTGCCAGATATAAAAAGAATTAAGGCTGAAAAAAGGTGTTGTTTTTCTCTCTCTCTCAGACTGGATATCGGAGTCTTTGGGCATGTTCACAAGAAATCACTAAACGTCTAATACCGGTTCTTCACTTCTTGAGAACCGATTTTGCCAAGTCTGCCTTTGTCAAGCTGCGATATTAGCTTTCAGACTGTGAAATGGTTCTTTTGTGAGCTTTATTTATTTTTTATCATCTCGATACATTTGAGAGAAACATGGTAAATTTCCCACGATCAACGGCGCAGGAATTATGTATATTCTCATAGCCAGAGTTAAAATTAGAATAGAATAAACCGCGCTGTAAACATGTCGCCAAATGACTCGTAAAATATTTTTGGGCACTTTTAAAATTCACAACGAACACGATTGCATGGATATTGGAAATTTTGCACTACTTGATATTCACTGTTTGTGCCTAATCTTTGCATATGACATAAAAATCCATCATGTTTGTTTTTTTCGACCAATTTAGTGACCTTTGCTGTGTGTGCGTGTTTCCTTGACTTGAAATAAATACAATCGGTTTTTTCTCTCTCTTGAAATGCACCATCAACATGATAACAGGAAGTAAAAGTGTAAAAAGCGACGTCAGATTGCTCAGTTTTTCCAGAAGGAAGACTTTCAATTTGTCTCTGCAAACTGGATAAACAGATTTTCTGGAACGTGATTCTTATAACAGTGTTTACGATGAATGATTTTTTGCGTAGAAATAATACTTTACAGACCAGATTTTTTCAATTCTTTTTCCATACAACTTTTCGGTCACTTCCATGGGTGTTTTTTTTCGCAAAAATTTTGCTCATGTTGAGCTTGGAAATTGCACAAAACACCTTCAAGTCAGAGACATTTACAGATGTTTTTCTGCCAAATGTGACACACATAGTTTGTTATCATTATTATTTTGAAAAAGAAGTCAGGGATTTTGCTTTGATCTAGATTCTAAATGTAGATCTTGATTATCTGGCCGAATTGCTGCAAATTTGTTTTTGGGCTTAGCCCAGGAATTACCAAAATTTTAAGTCTTCCCTTCACACCTTTGTAGGTCCTTGGCTACAAGGATCCATCCAGAAGAAGACGATGGCCCTCTTATAGTCGGACGCCCCAATTGGACTGCAGGCATTTAGGCTTAAGCATAAACCTTGCATTTTATAGCGCACCTCCAAGAGCTTCACACACTAAACACCCTATCGTTTCTCCTTTGCAAAGGTATGGGCTGCAACCGGATGTATTTTAGCCACCATTTCCGCGGGAATGACCTCAGGATATTCCGCCACACTCTTGCCCCAGTTGCAGGCGAATGACAGTGAGATTGTCATCACGCACGATGAATCCACGTGGATTGCGTCGATGGCGGCCCTTCCCATGGCCGCCGGCTGCCTGATGGCCGGCTACATGATCGAGCTGTTTGGCCGCAGGATGTCCCACCTGATCCTGTGCGTGCCCTTCGTCGTGGGCTGGGTGATGATCGGCATGGCGCGCACAATTGTGTGGATTCTCATCGGCAGATTCCTCACAGGCCTCTGTGTGGGCCTCCTGGGGCCCGTCGGGGCGGTGTTCATCGGTGAGACGAGCGGCCCCAAGTACAGAGGCATCCTGCTGGCGGCCATCTCGCTGGCCATCGCCGTGGGGATCCTCATAGCGCACATCATAGGAACTTTTCTCAATTGGAAGGTGACGGCGATCATCTGTGCAATCTTCCCGCTGCTGTGCTACATTGTTGTCTTCTTTGTACCTGAAAGTCCCTCGTGGCTGCTGTCCAAGGGTGACGTGTCAAAGGCCACGGACGCCTTCTTCTGGTTGCGCGGCTACGACGAGGAGGCCATCGCTGAGCTCAAGAGTCTGATGAAGAAGTACCAAAAGAGCGACAATCAGAAGACCACGTGGCGAGAGACGTTCGAGAAGATCAGACAGCCCACATTCTGGAAGCCACTTGTGATCCTGCTGGTGTTCTTCTTCACGCTCCAGTTCTCAGGCGTGAACACCGTGGCCTTCTACTCAGTGACCATCATGAAGGACACCCTCGGAGATGGCATCAACGAGTACCTGGCGATGATCATTCTGGACATTGTCCGGACAATCATGTCGGTGCTGGCGTGCGTTCTGCTGCGAGTGGCCGGAAAGCGGCCACTCTCCATCGTCAGTGCCTTCGGCACGGCCATCTCCATCTTCGGGCTGTCGGGATTCCTGCTCTTGGCGCCGCCAAACTCCTCATCCCTCGCCTGGATCCCGCTGGTGTGCCTCGTTAGCTACATTTGCTTCGTCAGTATTGGTCTGATGCCCATCCCGTGGTGTCTCACCGGCGAGGTGTTCCCTCTGTCGGTGCGCGGCATCGGGTCGGGCATCTCGTCGGCCTTCAACTTCTTCACCTTCTTCGTGGTGGTGCAGACGGGTCCCTACATGTTCCGCAGCTTCACCACGCCCATCACGTTTGCCATCTACGGCTCCGTGGCGTTCTTCGGGGGCATCTTCCTGGTGTTCTTCCTGCCAGAGACGCGCAACAAGACACTCCAGGAGATCGAGGAGACTTACATGAGACGAAAAGACAAATCACAACCGTGAGAGATGCTCAGCAATCCTTAGGCCGTTCTATATCGTATGTGTGTTTTAGTCACATTCAAGCAATTAATTCGACTCTAGGGTACAACGAGAAATACAGTGATTTTTTATTTTACAAATATTATGCTCGTCTGTTTCACTCTTGCGATCAATCATACTTTTTATGCACACGCTAAGGTCATGGAATGGTCGATGGGAGCGTGTGTCGAGCGGCTCGATTGGGCGCAATAGAGAAAGGTTCTTGGGAGTGATAAAATTCGCGGAATTGCTCGTGAAACTGTTCAGATGAGGTGAATAACACGACAAATCGTCTTGAAGAGTGTCTACGGATTTCTAAGCAAACAAGAATTTGGCACACAATTCGTGTGGGCATTGAACATGTGGAAGAGGCCGCCTTTCAAGGTTGCCGCTCAGGTTACGAGCATAATCTGGCCGCAAAAGCTCGGCCGGAGAGCTTATGCTTGACAACGGAGGTGCGTAGAGTGGGATTGGATGAAGGTCGTTCGCATAATATCCAATTCTCTTCAACCCCCCAGTTTTGATCGTTAGGTTTTTGGGAAATACGCAAACTTGTTTTCAATTAACATTTCTTGTTTATCTGGAAGACGATGACTAATATTGAAATTGGCAGGTCTGCAAAAAAGCATCATCAAAACTTGATAGTTTATTGCTTCACGATGGGAATCCTCCCATCCATCTAGTGAATACATAATTTATTTGGAGAGTGTGAGGGTAAATATACTCGGTACAGAGTTTGCTCTTTCTCTAGTTTTCAAATAATCAGCACACTTCTCAGAAATGCGAGGCGAATCGCTCTTCAAATTGTTTTCAATCGTCTGAAGGAAGAAATTACCGAAAATTTGAGATGGAAAGCCTGATTACAAGTAATCCACAATCTCTATTACTTCCGACGTGTGTTTGAGCAATTTTTAAAAATTGCATTATTCCCAATGTTTGCGAAACACTCAAGCGAATTACTGAGTCTTTGGAGAACACGACAAACAACAAAGAGCAATGAAATTTATTGCATTTTTCATGGAAGACGTAAGTATGAGAATTAGATAAGGTTTGTCTGCACTCAAATGTTTGCCAACAATCAATAATCCATGAGTAGATCTGTGAGGCATTTTGAGACATATTCCAAGTTGATTACCCCTCAGAGTTTATGCGAGTATGATTTGCTTGAGTTGCTCTCCTAGCCAAGACACGCGCGCGTGTCTTTTAGACGAGTCTCTCAGAAATCTCACCAAGTGGGCAAATAAGAGACAATCTCTTAACGCGATTTATTTATTTATTTAAACTGACGTCTAAATTTAAATTTTACATTCATTCAAAGAATTGTCGAAATAATTTGACATCTGCTTAACAAATCAATAAAGGTAATTGTACAACTTTGTCTGTCAGTAACTTAACTAAAAATGTGTTTGAAACGTGATAAAGGGTTTCTCTTTTTATTTCAAATCTAAATAGACTCTGGTCTGCATTAATCTCATAAAATGATCAACTCTACAATTTTCTTCTTTTTTTTTACTTATATTTTCAGTCCATCCTTGAGTAATTTCCTCCATTTTCCATCATGTCAATCTCTTAACATTGTCCTAAGATAATCTCTCTTAATTTTGAATTCGTTTTCCATCTTCTTCTTTCTTTTTAAATTATCTACACTCTATTTACCATGTCCAGTATAGTAAATGTGTAAAATTTGTGATTCTAGTATTTACAACAGTTTCCCAATTCGTGATTTATATTCTCTTCATATTCTTGTATCTCTCAATTCTACACTCTTACACACTCTAATTGGCTGCATTGCGTGAATACTTTTATCTACTTATCAACTAAGATATCGATCTAATAGTATAAGGTTTTCTCTCCATGGATTGTGATATATTTTTCATTCAATAATTATTCTTACTTCTCCTCCTTTTTGGGGTGGCTTCTGAAATATATGCATTACAATTTGCTTCCTTTTCTTTTTGTCTTTTTTGAGCCTGTGAAGAGTTAATTGGCAAAGTATAACGAGGATGAATTAATAACATAACCAGGGTCTCTATTCACCTAGAAATCTTTATCTATAACGGTAGCAACGATAGTTAATGTGAAAAAATGTTTTGCACATTTTTCTTTATTTTCATATTTCTCTCTTTATCTACTATGCATGTACGATTTTTTCCCCTTAATTATACCCATATTGTTCGAACATTTTCTCATTTTATACTCTCCTTTTTTTCACCATTTTTTCTCATATATTTTTTTTCTTTGGCAAATTTGCAATGTAACTGTTGCACATTCTATCGTATGTCACTTCTTCTCATAATAGTTTTTATAATCACATTATTAGCTGAGCTGTTTTTTTTTATTTATGTTTACATTTATACTCTTTTCTCTTGGTGTAATTTCTCTAAAAAGTATTATTTTAAATTTAAAGGTATTTTTTCTTTGTACAGAAATTTTGAAAACTACAAAAGGTGTGTGAATGTGTGTGGAAAACAATCAGAGAAACTAAGAGATTGCAATTTGACGAAAGAAAAAGTGTATTGGAAAGTTATGAGAAGAGATCAAGACAAAATCGCTGATTGAAACACAAACGATATGTTGAAAACAAACATTTTTAACAGTTTTGTATCTTCAAGTATGCTGAGAAAGAAATAGTTTAAGTAGAGAAATAGATTTTCTTACGCTATGCAATGTTTCTTTATTATTTACTTTAAGATATGGTCTATCTATAATGGTATGAATTGTAGTTTTACTACGCACAACTATTACGAGATTTTTATACATGTTTTCTTTTCTTTTTAGTAAGTTTTATAGCTCTGGCAAATGTGAACGAAAAAAATAGTTGTCAAAGTTATTAAAAACTTTGGTTTTAAGTAGATTTCATTATTGAAATTTGAGAAAGATAGCTAAATTACTTAGAAAGTCTGTTCAATTCCGAGACGCTTTTTGCTCCCTCTGGTGGGGTGAAAAGGAAGGAAAGCATAACGAAAGGAGAAAGAAATGATTTTGTCTCAGAACTGAAGAGTCTTTCGTCGCATCCAAAATTATGTCTTATCAAAGAGTGGTTTTTTTTCGAAAAAATTTACATCTTCATCTCGTCGTCCATCAAAAGTTATTTGCTGTGAAATATTCACCGTCATTCTCGCTGTATTGCAAATGGTCTCGGAAGATAATGATTAAGAAGGAAAAATATGACATTTTAAGGCAATGATTTTTACCAACTAGTGCACTTTTGGTGTGATTTTCTTCTTCATTTTTTTTCTCTTTTACTTTCTTTCCAATCCGCTGTCGATGAAGGCGTGTTTTAATGTGTTAGAAATCGCTGGGAAAAGAACCGTTCGCATTAGCAATTTGTCATCTTCGACACTTTTTTCTCGTCCTTAAGAAAATAATTACCAAATATTCCACAGCAAATTGATATGTCAATGAAAATATTGGGCACAAAAATCACAAGATAAGCGCTGTTGTCAAAAATGTCTTAAGTAGTCATCTGTGTAAGAAATCCGTTTTTCACAAGTTTTCACTACTAAAATAGTTCTATTCTCTTCATTGTTCGCAGTTTTTTCTTCTTTACTTCTTTTTATAATATAAGTTTTAGCGTAAAAGTGATTTATAATTTGGTCCAATTTTTTCTTCCTAAAATATCTTTCTCGTTTCTTTCTTTTTTTCATTCTTTCTGAGAAATATTTCATACAGAATAACACACAAGTGGCTCTTCTTTGGAGGAAATTCTGAGCATGATTTCTCACAATATAATCCCATTTGCTTAATATTTCGCACTCGTCTGTTCCTTTCTCGGTTTTGTTTTTTGGAAAAAGCACGTGCAATGAAAAATTACAATTTTCCTTGTCTGTATTTAGAATATTTCCTATGTATAAAATATATTTTTTTTATGTATAGCATACTTTTAATATTTACAAAAGATAGGTGAGAAATAGCAGTGAAAATTCCTCCCATTTCTTATCCTTTTTTTTCATTACTTTTTGGGTGGTCGTAAAGAGAAACATAAATAAACATACAAAGTATGAGATACATAAATAGCTCTTTCTATGCATTTTTCTTTTAATTATAGGTATATTTTACAATATCTTAATATTTTCACTCGATAAAAATGTGTGAATTTTTTGGTATATTTTTCTGAGTGTTTTTTTTTTACCCCTTATTTTACAAAATAGTCTTATTTATTGCTCTAATAAATTAGGTTTCTTTTACTATTTTTTCTTGGGGAATATCCTTGTTGTTTTCGTTACTGTGACTCTCTTTGATTTTTTTTTGAAAAAAAATCTATTTGAATTATTGTATTTTAAATTTAAAGTTATTCCTTATGCAAAAATCGTCGCAGTGAGTATTCTCAGGATTCCCACATGTTATGTTTTCACCAATATATCTGTAAGTCATGTGCATTGATATAGCTTTGTCTCCATTTGTTTCCTCGCATCCCATCAGGCAATCTCCTTCGCGATGCTATATAATGTAGCCATGTTTCCGTTAAGAGGGTGGGCTTAAGAAAAGCACACGAAGCTTCAAATTTGCCGTGGCAATTAAATTTACTCATAATTATATATTATTCATTTTCACCTCGATACATAAAGTATGGATTTTATAATTGCGAATGTGTTTTGCATTCTAATGCATATTTTATACGATACAATGTAATAACATCCTTGACTTGCATTAAAGAAAGGCAGTATATTTTCTTCATTTTTGTTCTTGTAGGTTTTTTTTGTTGTTGCTGTTATTTTTCTTAAAGAAAATGCCGTGTCAATTTTTGCAATATTTGGTATAATTTTTGTTTGTAGCTTTGGTATTCCATGTGTGATATCTTATACTTCTATAATTGGTAGTTTTTTTTTCTTGTTTTAAATTCATCTTGCGTGGTTTTCACTCTTTTCTTACTCCCTCTTTTCTTCCTCTCTAAATACAGACATGAAGCACCTAAGTTGATTTTTCTCGAAATCATCCCCTTTTCCGCCCAGAAGATCGATATTTTATAGTTTAAATTTTTAACTCTATTTGTAGACTTCCTTCTCCACACTTCACATAACCAGGATATACAACTGAAGTGGAGTAATTGCAGCTGACTCGTCCATGTTGAATGATAATGCGATGTTGAGCCATTTCTAGGAGAATCCCTTGTAGTGTATGAAGAAGAATATGAGAAAGATGGCGTATGCAGTTGGAAATGTGATCCTAGCGATGACGTCAATTGTCTTGGCCACCCTTATTGGGTGGGGTGGTTCTTTTTTCCGCACTTGGACGAAGCACGTCTAGACACAGGGATTGAGAAACATTAGATCGAAAAATCTTCCTTTTTGAGGGCTTTAAAGTGCAAAGATATTTCAATGGGGGATTTTTAGAAGCTTCAAAATGTTTTAAAAGATCAAGTAAAATCCATTTCAAAGTCGGGTTTTTTGGAAAACAACAATTAATTAACTAATTTTTATGTCAAATTTAAATAATTGAGGTTGAAAGTTTTCCGTCAACTTCACAAGTTGTTCACACATTTGACTTTAGCACTCTCTCTCAGATTTATTTGTCGAAGCAGCTCCAATCCATAACAGCGCCTCAGGACGCTTTTCAGGAAGTTGCCTGAACAGTGAATTTTTAACAACACCCGCCACTTCCGCAAAGTTGGGGAGAAACTTTTCAACCGCTCGTTGAGATAAAAGCCTCGCAAGGGGGGAAGTGCATAGCAAAAAGCGTCCAAACCTCTGTTGCACAGCCGTTGTTTGCTGAATGTGTGCAAGGACTCGTTCCACCTCCGCAACTCGTGCACGCGACGATCTCATTAGGACCTCCGGACTCGCGCTTCTTCTCACCCTGTGCGGAGGAGAAGGACAAAGAGGGGTGTTATCAATTTTCCGACACTGTGCCGCGGGTCTTTCCCTCCGCCACCCAAAGCATGCAAATCCCACTCACCGGCTGCAAGGATTCCATCCCACATGGCGCAGCAATGAATTGAGAATGAGGTGGTGAATTAGCTTACAGGCAGTTTTCAGAGGTTATAAGTTTTAATAAGTTGTTTATATGTAAAATAGAGAATTATGGATTAATTGAGCATTGAGTAGCAAACAGGGGATAAATGCTATATGCACGAACATATCGCAATAAAAGGAACTAAAATAAGATATATAGCGACCTGCTCAGTATCGGCAAGTTTTGTGTGGAATCCGTTTGCAGGACTTTTACGTAATATATATCGATTGATGTGTGTTTGTGTGTGTGTTTGATGTGTGATTCGTGAGTGTGTTAGTTGAAAAATAAGAGGACTTGTTAGATAAGGTTATCAGCAGTTTCACGTGTAGACTGCATTGGCACGTGATTAAATACCACAGATATACACATTATAGGTCTCCAGCAACGCTCTAAGACTCTCTCAACACCTCGTGTCAGTGGATGCGTCTCGAACGGATATCATTAGTTGGTTTTTTTGGCGGGAAAACAAATCAGCACAGTCATGGAGAAAGACTCACGGGCTCCTCATCGTCGCAGTGGCCATTAATCGTGGTTTCGTATGGGACTGTGCGTGAGATTTTCCGCCGAGGTGGCTTCACGGGTGAATCGCCGCCACCCATTTCCACATCCTCCTCCTCCTCGTCCTGCGGCGCTTTCTTGGGCGCCGGCCCCTCCTTCCCTGGCGCCTCCGGTGGCTTCTCCGCACTTATGGCAGCCATAAATTCCGATTCGATCACTTCCTATTTGGCATTTGCAACATTATTATGTATATACCTCACAGATCAACTCCCAACAGTCACACACATGTTCTGAGCGCCTCTCGCACGCGCGTGTTAATCAAACATTAAAAGAGTGGAAAGACTCCACAGAGGTTAAAATTTATATCAATTTTGCATGAATCGTGTCTCCGAGTGTAATGAATATATCTTGACGATATCTTGTCATTTGAGTCTCTCTGTTAGTCTTTTATGTGCCACAACCGAGCTTTTTTTTATGCAAATAAGGGCAAGTGGAAAGGCAAGGGGTGGAAGAAAATCCCCACTTCTATGCCACGGAGACAGAAACATTTAAAAGCCATTTGATGGGTGAATGTATAGCATTTTGAGCTGACAAAATACTACAATGTAGAATTGAGGTCAAAAATTTATTTATATAATGATAATACCATGTCCCAATATTTCTATGAATCTTCGCGATTCACCCCAATAATGCGAAAATTCCACACAAACAATGAAATATGCTCTGCTCTCTCCCGAGGGGCGTTCAACTGGGCATCTCGGCGCCCCTCGTAGTCAAACAAAATTTTGATAGAATGTAAAGTTTTAAAGAGTACAGAAAAATGCTATCTATATCTGAATGGAAAAAAATGTGCATCAGAGTGTTGTGTTTCGTCAAGACGAATAGAAGGATACAATATTCATCGCCAAGAATCCAATAAATACGTGTTCACCATACAAAATCTACGGTCTAACATCGAATTTTTAGTCATTTTGTATCACTCACTTTTGAACCAGCAGCATCACTCTGAGTGGACGCAAAGTAAAGGGAAATGTCAGTTAATCACGAAAGCGGTTTTCACACAATTTTGTCATGTTCGTCATAACTTTGGAGAGTTCATACAGAGAACATTTACGGGAGAGAAAATCTACGGAAATTCAAAACATGTAATTCATCTGCTCTAGCTACAAATTATCACAGGAATATTGTATAGAACAACTCCCTAAGTTGGGTCTCATTCCTTTTCCAGAAGGTGCTACAAAATGAGCTTCACAAAATCATCGCTGCCCGCAGTTAAACGCCCCTCGTTGGTCTCTCGATCAAAATGAGTTTGCTGCATAAATTTCGATGTGATTGAATAGAGTTTACAATGCACGTTAATGGCATATCACAGTAAAAGCTTAATAGTTTCGAAACATGAAAGCAATTTTATGGGGTTTTCCTCATTTTTCACTCTTCCAATTTTATAACCACATGTCAAACAATGCATTTTGGAAAATATACATATTGGAGGAGGTGCAAAGTGCAGTTGCGCTATAAATATATGTATTATTTCTCAACCATATCGCTACCCGCTAAAACCATCGCCATTGATAAGGTGAGTTTTGGATGTTACGACAGGGTAGATGAAATGAAGATAAAGAGAGAGAGAGAGAGAGAGAGAGAGAAAAGAAATCTTGCAAGTGAGACACAAAGGAACAGAGAATCATTGTTGCAATGTTAATACAGAAGCGCAAAAATGGATAAATTAAAGATGAAGAGGACGGAAGGAATGTGACTAGTTCTTTGGCCATCCTGCAAAATGTCAGGGCAGAAAACTAAGGGAGAAACATTCTTCTATTTTCTTTTGCACAGAAGAAAGAGAGCCAGGAAGACGGAGTGGGGGAAAAAGAGAGAGGAAGAGAAGCAAGAGAATAAATAAAAGTGATAGCTTACCAAGGGACTTGCGAGAATAATTCCAATCCTGCTAAGGACAGCTGGAAGTCGCTGTAAAATGATAGAGTACACATATTGTTTGTAACTAAAAGACACACTTTGGACAAAAGAAGACATGTGCTTTTTTCTCTTCTCAGAAAACAAAATATATACCATTCTAGAGAGATTTGTTCTCTTTCTCATCTTTCAAAAATCGCAACCACAACACTTTGTCTCTGGCAATTGCTACACTTCTTTCTTTCTTTTTTTTTCTTGGTGGGTGCGGTGAAACATGGACTTTTACCACACAACACACACTTTTGTACACACAATTCGGTGGAGGGAACAAATGGGAAAGATGTACTTTTTTTGTTGAAGAAATAGTGTTAAACAGAGTTCTGTGATGTACAAACAATACTTTGACCTCACCAACATCATTTCATCGCTCTGCAAATTGACAACATAAACTTGCAACAGAAAAAACTCCAATTAGTGACACACACTCCCACTCTCTCTCGTGTTTCCCGCCAATGATGCCGATGTGAAACAAATAATTTGCATAAAATTAATTTTGAAATAATACAACATGGAGTGAAATGAACCAGAGAAAAGCTCAATTGAGCAGATAACTCACAAAACAATAAAAGGAACATCCAAATCTCATCAGAATTTTTGTCCAAAAATTTGTGTTTAATTCAGCCAATTCATTTGCTCGAAATACAATTTTCTGCCCAACATACATTGCGATTCACCCGATAAAGTGCGTGATCCATTTAAACTGACGACTACAGCTCTACATTGTGTGGCAAAATGTTATTTGGATAGTGTGTTTCATGTGTTTTTCTGTATTACAAAAGTTTATTTCAAAAATACGCGGTGCATTTGACAGAATTCCGCTCAAAATTCCCTACAAAAATCAAAGATCTTTCGTGTGTTATGTAGAAGCGAGATGACTTTAAGGACAAACAAGAAGACATACGTTGAAAGAAAGTGAGATTGAAATTCGTGCCAAAGCCACGCAATGCAAAGGGGATAGATAAATTGGATTTTCAGCATCAATTGATCATGCTTATCAGGAGTGAAGATAAGAGTATTAAATGCAGACACACTCGTGCAAATTGAACCAACTTTTTCCTCCGATGAAATATGTATGACTTGATGAAGAGTTCCGAACCCGACCAGAGAGAATTGATCCAAATTTCAATATTTCATCCCTTCACGTGGTGTAAGGAAAATTTGAAATACATTTGATGAAAATAATACCATACTTTTTGCCTGTCTTGAAGTACATATTGAAGTAAATAATATTGGATGATGGACGCTTTTCCTTTCCGCCCCAGGAAAAAAAAACATTATAATGAGATGAAGTGAATTGCGAATATATTTATTGATACTCGTACATGAAAGCTTGCAGTGCAAATAGTTTGAATTAATGAGAAAAGATATTTCATCTTGATTCATATCTCAGATGAATGCAATTCAATTTTCACATGAAAATTGCTTTGGATAACATCTGCATTTTATTCTCATATATTTTCAAATTATTTTCCGATTTCAACTGTCAGCGTCCAATTTTGCCATTAAAACCGCCCGTTCAAGTTGTTTGCAAAATTCAACAATTGCTATTTCTTTAATATCTTATTAAACATCATGAATTGAGAGCAGAGATAATTTAGGACAATTTAATTATTCGGCGTTGTTGCAACTTTGCTTTCATAGCTTATTAAATAAGCTGTCATAGTTATGAATTCGTAAAACTGCGCTGTTAGATTGCGATTCATAACATTTATGACAAGACAAGCCGGCAAAATTCCGGCTTGTGAAAAAAAGAGAGTAACGATGTTTTTAGACTGATTAGTACAGTATAATGCTATTTATCTATTTATTTATTATTGCTAAATTGAGGTTATGTGTTTCCGAACACCCTCTAAATCCTTTCCAAAAAAGAAATGGTTTTTTCACAGTTGAAATTCGTATTAAATAAACTCCCGAAATTCGCCTTTCATCGCCATTTCGTTCTGATTTCATTGTTAATATAAGCTATGAAAAGCGTAATGTTGCAACCCAAATTGGTAGCTTTCACGAACTGAAATCTGTAAAGTCGCAACGACTCATTTGCAACGATACTCAATTCACTTTAATGACACTTAAGCGGCATTTAAAGAATGGTAAGCAATCCTAGTTTATTAATGAGTTTAAATACAAAAATAGCCCCAATTTGTGGACATTTACTCTTCAAGTATGACTAAATATGCATCATTTTATAAATTTATTTGCTCTTCGCGCAATTACGAGTATGTTTAAATTAAAAAGTATACTGAGGGCGGCGTGTACATGGCAATTGGGCCGCGTGGGAGCTCTGTCAATTCGTCATCGATTGGAATTGATTGAAGCGTGATGCTCTTCGAATGTGTATTGGTGGATATTGGCGGAAAGGAAAAAAGCATGAGAAATCAACTGGGGACTTTCGTCGATACATTTTTGCCCTTCTTTGTGATATTTTCACTTTTTCAAAAATTCACGACGTCACGAAGTGAATATTGATGGAGTTGTTGAAGGAAAGCGCCTGGCTGGATTATGAATACGCAAGAAAAGCCCTTTGTCAAGTATGGGGAAAATGAGGGAGCATTTTCTACTCAGTTGTGTGTCTGGAGTGTGTGTTGGTGTGTCTTATTTGTGTGTGTGTGTGTCGCGTTGACTTTTGTATATTTATAATTATTATAAATTAGATTCCGCAGAGTGTGTGGATTTGGAAGTGGAGGGAAATGTTGGGTTGAAATTTTGTAATTCCTTAAAATAATTGTAGGTCTCTGTGGGTGAAATTACAAAGTCTCTTCCCGGGTAGCAAAGCTGTGTGATAACACTTTGTTTTCAGCCCTTTTGCAGCCCAAGCAAGAAGCTGAAGGAGCGTTGAAACAGTGACAAGATTATTTGCTCACACTTTTTCGCCAAATGTCAAAAAATTGCACAGCTTTTCAGCGTCTCAGAGCGTATGGAATAATGTTGAAAAGTACTTCACCATACACACCTTCTGCCTTTTCCCCCAGAATCCTTCCAGTCCACACAATATATATCTCACCCTCCGTGCTTCTTCACACGAGAGTGGGTATTAAATTTTAAATCCCGCTTCTCGTGCGATTTTCAATCCTCACACTCTCAGCATCTTATAAACTATACAAGATTGCTTATCTTCGCTGTGGCATTTTCTTGTTATCTGCTGGGTATACCTTCTAGTGTTTTATTACCTTTCAATGCATCGACGGGGTATCATCTGTACTATTTTGCTTTTCTTCCTCTCTTCTCTGTTTTACAACTACAGTCATACTTTATAGCTCACAGAGAGAAAGATCTCAAGATGGAAGAGAGAAGAGGAGGTACAAAGAAGCTAAATAGAGAGCCACTACATTTGTCTTTTACATAATTTCAAATAATGTTATAGGATTGTCTGAGAGAAGAAAGAAACACACTAATTTGGCATAATGCGAAAAATTCTTCAAGATCAATAGAGAGAGAGAACACATGAGATTTCCAGACAAAAAGAGAGAGAGAAAGAGAGATATAAAAGAGGAAAAGAAGAGTTTAAGTAGAGAAAAAACACAACATCTACAGCAAGAGCTGGAGGAGTAAGATAAAGAAGAAGTGGAATTGAGCCATAAGGAGGCTATCTAACAGGGTTTGAAGCATGTTTTGTACGGAGGTTATAAATTGTAAGACCATAAAACAGAGAGTATGTGAAAGAGTTGCAAGTATAGAAAATTAGATTTGGACTCTGGCAAATGTTTTCCTGGGCCCTATAACACTTCTTTTGCATGGTTATGTGCTATTTACCTGTGTAACAGGATTCTCGCCTGGTCGATAGACAACATTGTGGAGTGGACGCTTCCGTCCCACGTAATTAACACAGACAAATTCCAGCAGGGATGCATAGATGAAGCACATGCACACCCCATCCCACACGTTCATCGCTGTCAAATTGGACACCACCGGCAACGTGCTCCGGAAACCATTGGATGTTGTGAAAAAATTCAACATTGTTGTCACACCTGCAATGAGACAAAAGTGCTGAGTGGCAGAGTTCATTTATTAAGCACACACTTGGGAAAAAGCTCCGCCATCAGGAGTGTTTGTATTGCTAATTTCAGAGAACAGTTGACGTGACGGAAGATATCCTTTTTTCGCAATTTAACAGTGTGTATTATCTCTGTCAAATTGCTCATCAAGAGAGTCTCTCAGTCATTTAAACTTGCATGTTTCATACCAAGGGGGAGATAATATAGTCAGAAGTGGTGTACAGCTCAGCAGAGGTACTTAAGAAGTGGAAATGTTCAAAAACTTTGAATCTATCTTTCCTACGTGCTTCTTTTATTGACTAATCATCTAGATTCCGATTAGAAAAATCCTTTTCTAGGTTATGTCCCTAATCACGAACGGATTTAGTGAATATTTTGCACTCTAGCACATCAATTCTTATACTAAAGTCGCCAATAAAGAATTCTCAAGAATATCTCTTAGTGATATTTTGGAGGTTATGGTCGGAAAAGATGATTAAATAAGTGGTTTTTAGTGTATTTTAACAGAAATATCACATGAAACCTTGGGATATTTAGTATAATTTGCGAATTTTTGTCGAAACAGTCTAAAAACTTGAAGTGCCGGAAGTGTTTGGGATCGATGTACAAACTAAGAGTATACTTTCTCCCCCTTGTTTCATACAAATTACACATTTCGCCCGAATTCAAATCCTCAACTGTGATGCAGATTGTTTTACAAATTTGGCCAAAGCGAGTGGAAACAATACCCATTAATCTGACGCTGGCATATTCAATTAAAAGCCGAAATATTCCTTGTTTTGAAAATTCTCCTAAAAACTTTTCCTGCCCATCATAATAAAATAATTGGCTGGGAAAAACATAATGATGTGCTTCATTAAAATACCCCAAAAGCTGCTCGTAACTTTGCTCCCATGACGACAAATCCCCTCTTCTTCCAAATTGGTGTGTAATCGTGTGGAGGGCAATAAATGTGAATATAAATTAATCAATTAGATGGACAGCAATCGATAGTGCGTTGAGTACAGGGGTGGCACTAGCTAAACAACGGAGGAACTAGTGTACCAGCGTCTTTTCCACACACTCCAGGCCATATTGCTGATAATCACTATGCTATTGGGTGGAAATTTATTTATCCTACACATATTTATCGTGGGACACTTTAAGAGCTGCTGAGCTTAGTTGTGACGCGTTGTGTCATCTCGGCCACTTCCGTCCCACACTTACTATGGCTCAGTGAACTATTTAGCTGTGAGTGAACCTGGTGGGAGGCAAAAATCCATTGAACCACTTTTCATGGGGCATTGGTTATGTTTAAATATTCATTCGACAAAGAACTCTGACTGCATGAACTTGTGGCTGCTTCTCTTAGGACTTATGTATGTACAACTGGCACCTCTTCCAATCAATACACGCTTCCCACGTTACTCAGTGTTTGAGATGCACGTTCGATAGAAAATGAGGTCAATTCACAACTTTAACAATATCCGATAAGTATCCATTATAAGCATAGGGATTTACTCACACTCGGTGTAAATAATCATGCTAATTTTCCACCCAATCTTTGCATTGTGCGAATATTTTCCAGCATTAAATGGCCAACACTATGCAAATTCCACCCACAACCAATTTTCTCGGTCCGTTCCACTTGTTTGCTAATTATTATTAGTATAATATGTTCAGATAAGGGATTTCAATTGGATGCACCGTGCACACGATAAATTCCATTGTTACACCGCTGAAATCCTTTAATACGATTTTTGTAAAGCGTTTGCGCATTTTTTCCCACGTCATTCCTGATGGTGTTTTGCATAAACCACAATTAACATAATCCAAGATTGACACTAATGGCATTGTGGATAGTAATTTAATGGAAATAGTTGAAATTCATTCCGACAGTCGGGAAAACCTTGTCGGAAATTTGGCAATTAATCAAATTGATACGCCACACCAGGCGTCCCCACTGGCAGTGGAGACGCCGGGTTGGGCAGTGCTTGGAAGACATATTCAGGCGATGGAAATAACACAGTGTAGGGGGAAAATTCACTCAGGCTGTAACTTACCAATCATGACTCGAGCTGGCACAGCGTTCCATTCCAGCCAGAAATTAATGAATGAAGAAGTAACGAGTATAATGCCCGGTATAAAAACCGTGGTAAAGTAAAATGCACGATCCCTTGTGAATATTAGATCCACCTTGAGGCAGCTATAGTTCCCTGGCGAAGCACACAAGAAGAGGGAATCAGTTGGTCAGTTCATTCACTTGCCAGTTGAAGGAGAAAGAAACATAAAATATATAGAAATGTATGTGGATAGAGGAGATATGGTGAGGAATACTCGGGTTACGGTGGAACCAGAGTATTCATCTTCTGTGCAATGCCTCCACACCAAGGTTCTAACCAGTTCTTGTACAAATTTGTCTATACAGAAATCATCTATATTTACACAGTGTTGCTGCGCGAGTGATTCTCAAATTTTCTGGTAGCCTAAATTTGTATTTTACGGCCTTTATTCATGGAAATATTCAAAATTATAACTCTCTAAACTATTTTTAATAATAAATTTGAATACAACTTGCAATACAATACATAACTGAGGGGTGGTAAATGAACTAATAAAAACAATATTTCTCATTAAGACATCTACTGAAGACAGTAAATCAGATAAGAAATGACTCTGAATCACAAAACTGAGGGAAATAAAAATAAATGATCTGTAAATGTAACACAAAAAATGTTATACCTTGCTGTTCAAATCGTCTTTGACAAAGAGAGCACAAAAACTCCTCGTCTTCTCTAGACAGAGTCTGTCCATCAGCTATTTATGCGGGTAATTTTAAATTTTCTTTTATGTATATCATCTTTCAACTGGGATAAGATTTCATATTTTTCGCAAATATAAATTGTTATATGGAGAAATTAACGAAATTTGCTATTAACATTCTCTCAAAAAAAAATAAAGGAACAATTACGATTTTCATATATAAAAGCCAAGACCAGAAGCTTCTTCACCAGCTCTCACGTGAACGTACAAAATGGGAAAGTATGCGAAAAATGTTACAATGAGTTTTTCATCAAATATACCTTCTACATATATAATTACATATGTACAAGAATTATGTACAAACAGAAAATACGATGTTCAGATGTATCTGATTACGTGCGATGGCATATGACAAATTGAATTCATTTGGGAAGACCGATTGAAATGCTGCTGAGAAATCGTTCTGCATTGAATAAGATAGAAAATCAATGGTGTTAAGGATATTAAATAAATGCATACTTTGAGGGACTACACCGTCAAGTCCTGCAACAAAAGTAACGTTAAACACTTTGTAAAAATGGGCCTAAAATTAAATTAAAACAAAAAAGTATAGAAAGGAAACCGAAAATAAAGAGATGTGATAATGTGTGGAAGACCACACAAAGTGATACTTCTTGCTGAACAATTTATCATCTAAAGCGAAAGCTTCAATTCACCCCAAATGTATTTAATTTCATATCATATTTTCCTCGCAAATATATCTTCTCTTTTCTTCTCTCTTCCCACCCACAATTTCTTCACGCTGGGTTGTGTGAGAAAAAAGAGAAAATCAATTGTGTGTGAAAATTTATGTGACTCGTACAAATACATAAACATGATGGGAGAAAGGAAGATCCGATTGCTAAAGAGTGTGAGAAGAGTGTTTTTTCTTCGGCTTTTTTTTATATTTTCAATAGAGCCAAAAATTGGATAAAGAAGCAGAAAATTAGCATACATCATTCCTCTCGCTATCATGGGTAAATATTTGACATTGAGCTATCCATCATTCTCCTTCGGTGAGCCAAACTCAAAGTCAAATATTGGACAGAGCACATTCGCGCAGCTTTTGCGGAGCATTCCAAAATCCGTACGGGATTCTATGATACGTTTAGAGCCACTTGTTGATAAGCCAAAGTGGTGACCAGATGTCTTTGATATAGTGCGTTAGAGGCAGGACACATAGACATGAAAAAAGTGCGACTTTGGAAGCAGAGTTGGCCATCGAAATACGTAGACTAGATTTCTGATAAGGGATTTTACTTAACAAAAACATTCAAATCGATTACATTGCAAAGTTCGAAAAATAACGGATTTTTTTAACGAAGTGAAAAGTGTGAAGGAACTTTGTTTTACCATAAAATCTCTATTACTTCTCAACTCTACTCTTGCTTCAAATGTCCACATAAAAAGAGTTATTAACAATGAAAGCTGAGTGTGCTTGCTGAAAAGTTCGGTGCATTTATTGAAGCTATATGGTTTGAGATACATAGAATGACATAATAAAAAAGAGCATGTGTGATTTGACAGTGAATGGGTGGAAGAGTGTGTATATCTGTTGTAACGAAAAAAAGAGGCACTAATTGTGAGTGATAAAAGAAGAAATTATCAGCATGAAATTGTAATCCTTACCTCTCCAGCTGGCTTTAATGGGACACGCTATCGTTTGATTTTGAATAAGGTACGCATTGAGGGTCGTTAACGATGGACTTTTGCGTAGTGTATCCTCATCGTTCTTCCACACGTACGTTATGGCTGATTGCTCGTATGATACTACAAGAGACACATAGAATTTTCCTCATGAGAAGGCAATGTGGATTGGCTGGAAAAAGAATCGCTCTTTACGCGCCTACAAGTTGAGAGAAAGTAAGATGTGGCAAAAAGGCAGCGAAGAGAAAAGTGTGAGAGGACCAAAAAGAAGATGTATGGTAAAATAATAATGCTGATGCTCTGAAGATGGCTGAAAGAATTTTTCAAAAGATTTCTATCGCCACATGCCGCGCAAAAATGTATCTCTTTTTTTTACGGGTTGATGATGTGTTATTGCGGTGAAATATTGGCGAATGGTGAAGTGAGTTGAAATGAGTAAGAAAATAAAAAAAAAACAGGAGCCAAAAATATAGCATCTGAGAAAGGGGGTGGAATGGCGAGCGGTGTGATAGAGAAATATATAAGTTGTGTTGTGGTAGATTGCAAGAAGTGGCGGAAGAGCACAAAGAGTGGTGCGAGAAGGAGTGAAAATGGTGAAAATCAAATGAAGTACGTACTACTTTCGAGCGCAAACGAACATAAAGGATCGTCAAATGGAAATATATTCAGCCGTCCCTGGCACGATAAGATCAAATGGCGCCTATAAAAGGGGGAAATTGTCGGTTTATCTCTGTCCTTTACACAATTTATAACTCCAAAAAGACACATAATGCATCTGGTCATCATTTCACGTTACCTCATTAAGTAGTTGATTGTCCCATTTCGATAGATGCGCAATGCAAAGTGCATAGGAATAATTGGATCCTTAAAGTCACCATGCATTATGAAATAAGTATCTGGCAGCCATATATCTTCATGGTGATGAATCGCATTTAAATATTCGTATTGGGATTGATTGGCATACCTCAAGCGTGGATCGTACCACTGTTGCTGCAGTAAAAATTCAACTTCGTATTTCTGAAAGAGGGAAAACATTGTTTTCGGTGCAAAATTTTCCATTTAACTTGTGCGCTCTGCATTAAATAGAACTTACCAAACTAGATTCATCGGGTGATGCTAAACTTAGTAATAGGACGCTAACGTTAACTGTCAAGGTTCCTAAAATGAAACAATATAAATTCACAGAATTTGAGAAGATGAAGCAATTACGCAGGAAAATTCTGCAATTTGGGTTAATTTGCATAGAAATTTTCATGTTTGTGAAACAGAAACAAGTGATGAAAAGAAGCACAGAGACAGAGAGAAAAGTATAAAAAACAATAATAATAATAATATTCTATAGAATTCTCGCGCTTGACGAGTTTAATGAGAGAAATTGATTCCTTCTCTGCGAAGAACTGTATTACTTCCTCGCCGCCTTCGGCAAGTCCACAAGTTTGCAATTCTTTAATTACTTCATCCATTTCAATGGTGATTCCCACAGCAGGGGAAGTTTATCAGTCTCTCTTGGGGCGTATTGAATTAATTAATATATACCCACACACTAATCCTCGGAGATTTCTTGTGAAATTCCCCGAAATAAAGTTAATGAAAACACACCACCCATTCAATGGCGAAAAACCATAGCTCATTTACATTGAAAGTACAACTTGTTGGCTTTCTGGCCATGCATTAAGTTTCGCGCGATACAGCGATAGAGCGAAATGCCACTCACCCACAAATTCTGCACAAACACAGAAAATCTGCATGAAATCTTGACTTGAATTACAAATTATTTTTATTAAAATGTTTACATTTCCATTGCGTCTCAGAGGCGTGTCAGAGTGGAGGAGAGCACTTGAGTGCTTGAGAATATGAAAGTTGTATGAATATCTTCATCGCCACTCTTCTCGCCTCCTTCGCGTGTCCTCCATGGAGACATCGTAAAAAATGCGCAATTGAGTATGAATGAGGAGGTGGGAGGGTTGAAATTGGTAAAATATGCTGTAAAATTCTTTATATCTCCAGCGCCAAGGCGCTCAAAGACTATCTCGTGGCAATAATAGACGAAGGAATTTATGATCCTCTTTGAAGGCGTCACGGCGTTTGATTATCCTGCCCATTGAGACAGCACGCAGTGAATAAACACCCAATTCTCCTCATGCCCCTTTCCGAACTCATGTTATCACTTTGCTGAGTACATGTGATAACGTGATTATTCAGCATAAACACCAATAATGCCACTCAAGTTATTATACAGCGGAATTGTAAATTAATAGAGGAGGGTGCGAAACCGACCTGCAAATTAGTGAACATTTCCCCTGGAACACTGGGTGGAGCAAGTGTCTCATGTTGCCTCCGACTGGAGCATAATTCGATAATAATGAGCGGGACATTGAGACTTCCAAGTGATAAATCACGTTTAATTTCATAGCGACACAGCGCGGAACTTGCTTTATCAATCAGAACACTCTCTTCTCTCTCTGGCTCTCTTAGACCATGAGGAATGCTGTGTTTTGTTCCATTTTATCTCCTAAAATTCTTGAAATTTTTTTCATCAATCTTGCCCTCCTTGTTCAGGGGGAGAAAATCAATACATTCTCGTGAATGACATGTGAGGAATCGCATTCTTGGGACGAGAATTCTTCGGCGGTTGGGCAGATGATGGTGAATTGGCAAATTTGTCCTATTCACTTCCCGGCTAAAGATGTCAATGACTGTGCATTTTCGCTAAAGTGTGCAAGAGGAGAAGCTCAATCTTCACCCAGGCCGTTGTGTGGAGTGTTGGCAAAAAGGCCACACGCACAATAAGTGCTCAGAGAATATTACATTTGCTGGAACTGCGGCAACACGCGCTGTATCGGAAGTGACTCCACACTGTCACACCGCATTGAGAGTTAAAGTTGTGCCGGGACACGTCTTTGGCATTTAATGCGTTGGACCGAGGCGAGAAAAAGGGGTGTGTGTAATGGTTCTAAGAGAGGGATTTTACGAGAGGGTGAGCTGAAGAGTGAAAGCATAAACTTTCAGCAAGTTTGCCTATTTTACAACACAAACAGATTCATTGTTTTGCTATCGCTCCTCCTTTTTGGCTCTTCAACATGAAAACGCGGAAGGCAGGCAAAAAAAGCGAGAGCGAGGGTGAGCAACAGACGTCGAACAAACGAACTGGGAAATGCCTCTTCTCACCCACTCGATAAAGGCAGCCTCCATTGGGGGGTGTTGGGGAGAAACTTAAAGTGTCGCACACCATCAACAGATGAAAGTGGATGTCGTTATTAAATTTTCCATAAGGACTTTTTCCACTTCTCCAATACAAGGCACCCACGCGTCGTTTTGCGATGAAGGGGTGCTTTTCCGGGAGACTTCCGGATTATGTTCCTTTCCGCAAAAGGCAAATTTATCAACTCAAAATGCAATTACTTTGCTTTACAGGCACCACTAATTGCTGGGGATAAAATTAGCTCAATCATGATGAGTTTTTCTTGCCAAGTGCCGCAAAGAGGAAGGATTACATCAACATGTAAGCCTCTTAGCTCAACCAACAATTTTTTTTGGGGGATATTAAAATCATAATGCCACACTTGAAGTGTTCTTCTTCTGTTATCTTAAGTTGCCACTCAATATCTCTGCCTGAGATTCAATTATATCCAATCCAGCGATAGAGTGATATCTGCTAATTTATGTCTTATATCCGATCTGCTTAGAATATAATATCGCCAGTGAAATCGATTGATTAAGTGATAGGAATACAGATTCCTTGCACAACTGCCTTCAAAGGTACAATACTATAGCAATTAAGTCAAAGTGTTCCATCTTAGATCTAAATTTCATTTTAATTTAATTTTTCACTCGGAAACTTCACATGTTCCCGCCAAATAACCATGCTTTGCTATTCATCAGTCCCAATTTTCCTGTTCTGGCACACATAAAGCTCAATTAACCTCCTCCACGACAATCTCGTGAGTCTCTCCCCGGCACGAGGAGCTCCCATATTGCCCTTATTTCAGATGAAACTCATCCGAGGACTGAAGGAGAGTGTGTCTCACGATGGGAAGTTTCTCGTGAACTTTCTCCGGCTTTTTTCATGCTCAGTGAGCAACTTGAGGCAAATATTTTATCTCGAGACATCTGCTTATTGCACTCCCTGTCCAACAGAGCACATCTTCTCCCCACTTTCTCAATGTATATAAATCTACAATTCACAGTGAGAATATAATCTTTTGGATACGGGATGAGTTGTTTGCCATTCTCTTGAAATGTTTGAATATTTTTCTCCCATTCTCCGTCCACGGGGAGCACGAAATGAAGTTGAGAGTTGAGTTTGAACGAGATAAAACGAACTTAGAAAACTAAGTGTAGGAAGAGAAAGAAAAAAAGTCTCCGTGAGAAGAAAAGAATTTGGCGAAAAGAAGTGAAATTCAAATATATAAATTATATCTTTTGGATTAACATACAATTGGATATTGTAGGAAAAATTTTTCATGGTGAAAAGTCATAAGATTATGGTATAAAGAAAAGTTCGCCATGGAAACTTTTAACAAGGCAATGTCACCCGAGAAAACATACTTTAGATGTACTGAAAAATAAAGAAAACTGAACGGACTATCCGTGAAATTATCTCATTCTCACGAACAAGACTAAAAATATGCATTTAATTTAAAATTTTCTCTTCCATTTTCACAGACAGTTGTGCAGAAAAGAGGGAATTACAGTTTTGTGTATGATTTTTTTTCTCTGTACAATTGGAAGAGGTAGAACCGAAACAAGGAGAAAATTAACAGCACACACAAGACATGAACATAAAAAAAAGAACACTATATAAGTAAATTTAGTAATTTTCAGTGGTCTGGATTTATAAATTAAAGCTCAACACGGACCACGATTCTGTACACGTCCAGGTGTTGCTCGAATCGATAAGTTTTTTGCCATTTCCGGCGATTCCATACCGCAACAGAAATCTGCATCTGGAAATACAAATGCAAAAACCAACTGCAATGCCAGGATATGCAAGCAACATGTTTCTTAAGAGGCTCATTCAAAAAATCAGGGAGGACAAAAATTTCAATTTCTATGCTGATTCTCTGGAAAACAATATACCTAAATTCATAACAAGGACAATAATATGGAATACAAAAACAAAATCTCATCATTCCGAAGAGTTCCCAAAAAAAACAATCAATAAAGAAAACTGAAAGAGAAAAGTAAAGAAATTAACATGTTTCTGCATAGGATGTTATTTTATTGAAGAGAGTTTTTTTTCCAATTTAGAAATAACTTAGCCAAATCAGATATTTTATTTTCCACGTGAAAATTCATATTCTATTTGTATCCGAATAGCTAAAATCTCCTCAATTAACCCAATGGATAGAGAGTCGCGGTTCATGTTAGAGTGATTTGTGCAAAATGTGCATCTCAATTCAATCCATTTGACTTTTAATCTAATCGTGAAAAATCCATTTCAGCTTTTAATATTTAATGGCGATGCTGATGATTCAGTGAAAAAAATAAAAAGTTGTTTGACGTGTGAGGGAGAGACATCGCGTTTGTATTAAAATGAATAAAATTCACAAGAGTGAACTCCTCAATGGATCGTAAATAATTGATTTACGAGCGACAAGAATTCAGCTCATCGATTTTGCTATCTCTCGCAATATGGGTTTATTTTTGTATCATGTGTGCAAGTTGACTCTATTAAATTGCCAGATATCAATTTTCACTATCAGGAGTGCATCAATGGGTGCGATGGAGGTGAATGTTAAAAGCCTCCATACGACACTCATGGGAAAATTCACACCAAGAATCGCGCTGTGCAAAGTTCTTCAGAATTTTAAAATATCTCCAATGCATTCACCAAAGGTATTCGCCTATTTCCCCAACGGAATACTTGAGAGGAAGTCTTTGTTGCTAATTTTCTTCTCAGAGATATGGTGATGGAATTTGAAAAAGATCTTCACAGAAGCCACTCAATGGATTCCGGGCATTTGGATGAGAAATTCATATGAAATGGAGCAAGAGATTTATTGCAGGAATTTCCATTGTGTATCCATCTGAGAGAATCTTTCTCAGCTCACAATGGAGCTCTTCCTCAGACAGTTTGTACTACTGATTTTTCTTTCCCTTTATTTATTGTCTCTTATTTCATTGATGAATCCGTTGTTCTCTTGCTGCCAATATTTCGTACATCGAACATTGATGATGTCGTGATGCTAATAAATGAAAAAAATGCTCCTATAATCCTTATCTGTGAGCCTCGTCACGGGATCTGAATGTGAAATTTTCAACACTGTCAGAGGTGAAATTATGAGGAACACCTCCATTAGAATTGCCGAGTGTAATTTACATAATTTGCTTACTAATGCCCTCATAAAGGCATCATATATCCTCGATGATGGCACTACAATAATAACACTCTCATCCTCCTCAGCTCATGCGGGAGAAAGATGCGAGATAAAAGGCCCTAGAGAGTTGTAATTCAAATCAAGATTTATCCCTATTTGTTGAGAATTGTTTAATTATAAATGTGCTTTTGTGACACAAGAGTGTGGAAGAGCCCCGAAAAAGGTGCTGGGTAATAATCACTGGAAAAAAAATTTTTTTGCACAAAGGTCGGAAAAAACAGAACGGAGTGATGAAAATAAGTATAAAAGGATATAAAAATGGTTTGCACAGTGAGAGATTAATTAGAAATTTAGGGGGGAGGAATGTGTACTCACCGTCTACCGGCGGTAAAAGTCTCTTATCGTATCTCGAGTTCTTGAGAAGATGATCCAGAATTTCCTTATCAGACTTCCCCTCGGCGAATCTATATGTTGGAGAAATTTCCAGTGTTACGTATCGTCATATAGAAATTTTATGGCAACATAACTATATTTGTCTAGCGACGCACGCATTCCAAAGAGAGAGAGAGACCCTCCTCAACGCAACTTCAATTGATTTTCCCTTTTGGGCTTCTTCCGCACAATGATTTGTAACCTTCGAGTTTTTAGTGGATGTCGTTAACTAAAATTGTTTCATACACGAAATGACTGTATTATTTATATTCAGCACGCTTCTGCCCTATTTTGCGACGCGGAAAATCGATATGGAGAAGCGATACCGCGGTGGTGAGCTTTCGCCACGCTCCCCAAGAAGCGCGGCCTGTGCTTCGCCCTCGACTTGCTCTAATTGAATTGCCCGGCGAGACTCGGTGTCGGCGGGAAGGTCAGCGGGAGTGCATATGCTTACATGGGGTGTGCGGTGTCTGAGGCGGCTGTCGGGGTGGCTAGGTAGCACAGGGCGAGGATGAAGCTGGACGCCGCGTAGAGGCACAGAGAGTGCCGCACGAGGCAGTGGCTGCTGGTGTAGGAGGCCCTCGCGATGCTGAAGTTCATCAACTGCGATAGCTTCGTGGCGATGGCGTGCGCCACATCGGCCGACGTCAGGGCCGCCTCGCATGGTGCTTTGCGGCCTAGCCGGCGCCGGCGGTGCTTCCGCCGCGGTGCGCCATGGACCTCGGGCACCAGTAAATCCGTTTTGAACAGCACTCTTTCACATGGCAAGTCCATACTGTGACATCTGCAAGCAGAGCGAAAGAATTACTCAACAGAGATGACTAAAACTGGGCTTATTTCCAACAATTCGCCAACAATTCTTCTGCCAAAGAACCCCTAAAAAGCTCCTGAACAAACAGAATAGAAGAGCACAGGACTCTCGTCGATATCATTTCACCTAAGCATATGCTCTTTATATGCTTTGAAGTGTTGAATTTTAAAAGCTCAACAAGCTCCACGCGTCATTTTGAGTTTGTGTCACATGACATAAAACGTCGAAATAATTATATTTGAGTCACTCCTCTCGGCGGAGAAGTTCGTCATGAAACTTAAAACAGTCGCACCCGCATAAGTGAAAAGGTTACATTCCTCCTCGGCGGTGTCTTCATTCCGCACAGCACTTATGGCGGGTTTGGGGGGTTGAAGCGGGGTTTGTGATGTGAATAAATTAGGGTGACATGCTGGAAAGTCGAGAAAGGCACTTCAATAAAATCACTCAAACAACCCTCCGGCATTTCGAGACACCTTGACCACAAAATTGAGCAACTTATCTTCCTCGGGATGCGGACAAACTCCTCTTTTGGGGCTGCTGGTTTACTGATTGCTTGAGATCTGGAGATTGTATAGTTTTCCAGTGAGTCTCGTGAGAACAAAGACATGATTTTGCCATCGGATTATTCCACTCAATCAACCGACTGAAGGGTTTGTGAGGCGAAGATGAAGAAATCCTCAGAATTGCAGCGCATAATGTGCGCCTTTCACCATGAATTCGCCATTAAGGCTTCTACAGTGGCGGGTAAAAATTGGCTAATGTGAAAATGAATTTATCCCAATTTTATCCACATTTCAATTAATTCTCTGTGCATATTTCAGCAATGACGTTAAAACACACCCGTTTGGGGTGGAGGAGAAATAGGATAAAAAAAACAGGCCAAGTGAGATGATATAGAGTCCCAGTGGGAGGAATTTCACCCACAGCACTAATGACATTCTCCCTGTGGAGCTCTTTTTCCCCATTTCGAGAGCGGGAAAAACATGCAGAAAGAAAACACTCTGCGAAAGATACACCCGAGAAAACTCAATAAAAAATGTATATGGCAAAAGGGCCAAAGTCTGATCCTGTATGGCAAAAGCCTTCACAGTAACATGATATCTGCAGAAATGCACAAGATTGAATGGTGCTTTTCTCCTTCCAGGTGCTTCTTAATGAACCCATGCCAAATCATTTCTCATGCTATGGCTCTTGAGGTCTTTCAGGGTGCACGTCAAAGGGGTTGAACACGATTGTCCTGGAGGATTAGAGATGAATCTCGGAAATGCTACAAGCAGCGACTGTACATACAATCCACTGAATAAAGTATTTCCCATGTTGCTGTCTTCCTCCTGTTGAACTTCTCGTTGGCAAGTTGATTAAAAGTCACGGAGAAATTTCTGTTTTTTTTTTCATTCCTGCTTGGGAAACTTATCAAGCTTGCGCTGCTGATAAACACGATATCCTCGAAAGCCAATGGGGAAAATGGAGTTGTTTTTCACCACTCCATCGAATTGAAGGGGACTATTTTGGTGGGTGTTAAGCGAAAATTCTTGCTGCGATAAAAAATTTATGGCTTTCGATTTCTAAAATATCGCATACGGAGGGGTGTGACACTCTAAACGCCCATAAAAAGCACTAAATGATAAATTTTGGATCAACATTATACCTCGAGTGAGACAATGGGTTGTTATTCTCAATTGCGCGCTTTCTCGTCTTTTCCCCGAAAATGAAATATTCATGGTAATTCTGTGCGACAAGAGATTATGCGTTGCAGAAGTGCCAACTGTCTCGAATAATTTTATTCCATTTTTATTACTTTCCCTCCACGCGTGGCTCTGCGACACAAATATCTGTACGTGTTCTTGTCAATAGTTGTACGTATTTACGCCAGAACAACTTCCCCAAGCATTCAAGTAACAGGCAAAGTGTCTCTCACGGATCCGGCAAATCGCTGAAGAGGTTTTTTTTCTGCTTCATCCTTAACAGAGAAATTGCTTGTGTTTTCCCAGAGTCAGGCCAGATAATCCATATTTTCACAACATCTTCTCCCACTCTGGGCAACCATTCAATTGTACTTCAACTTCCTTCATTCACGTGTGCGCCCGAGGGGTTAATATCTCGGGGAAATGGGCTATGGGAAACACAATCCGGTGTGTGATTAATTTTTCAGCAAGTCACAAATTAATTGAAACATCATGCATCATTGACGAAGGGACTCACTTGGGACACTTTACTCAATTAGTTCCTGGGCTTTTGTGTACAGCAAAATTGAATTCTGGGGGATTTGATTAGAAGATTTCACTCCTGAAACCTTTAAGAACTAAGTGTGATTTAAAAAATTCACTCTTGGATTTCGTTGAGACGTTTACCCCTCACCAAAGCACTCTCGCGTGGCTGTGTGTGAATGAAAGCTCTCGTGGTACATTTGCTGAATTTGCGCCGCAGAACAAAAGCTCGAATGGATGATGAATTCCTTTTGAAATGTAGCGCAGCGTTTGCCGAATATTGACGCTCTTATGACTATTTAGTCGTGTACAGAAGAGCCATTCTGAGTATTTAAATGTTAATTTGCTGCGTTAATTCGCATTGATGCAAGACAAAGAGGCCACAGGGGCACCAAATTGCTGCTAATTCCCATGAATGTGTTAACTCTGGGTGATCATTAGGCATTCCACCTAATATGAGCACTAGAATTTCCAGTGAAATGTCGCAAGCATAAATTTATGCAAATGCAAAATGTTTTCTCAAGTATGGATTTATGCAACTACACACACACAAGAAGAAATTTTTGCCAGGGAAAGTTATAGTGAGAAGAGAGAGAGAGAGGGTTTGGAAAAATGCCACACGAGCAAAGTGAAGTACTGCAAACTGGGCTGTAAATTCATTCTTGTCACACAAATCAATCAAACCATTTTGTTACACACGAACGGCATCAGTGCGTGACATAGAAAAATTTTCTGATTAAATCAATAAAAATCACAGTGAGTGAAGCACATTGTAAGAGTGGCATTAGTGGTGGGAAAATTAATGTCACCCTTGGGATTTTACGCATTAGCACGTGATTTATTTCACTGTAAAAGCCGGTCGTTGGGAAGCCTTTCAAATTCTTGAAATATTTTTTTATGATCCGCTTTTCGCACGATATAAGTTTTGCCAGAAGACATTAGCATTTTGCAAATTCACTTTGTGCGTTCCCTTTTTTTCTTTTAACCCACGAGAGAGTGTAATTAGCGGCAATGGAGCGCAATGAGAGGGAATAATCAGTGTTCGGGGTTTGTGGCCATTGCTGCTGTTTAGCTACAACTCCCAGATAGTGCATCTGTAAAACACATAAATTATCGCCAATTTATGCCTCTCTCTCATTTCCATCCACATGCAGGAAAAATTGAAAGCCTCAGCTTGTGTTTTTTCGCAAGAATCCCCAGTTAAATGAGATCCCTCTCAATATTGCCGAAGGAAATTGCCCTCTTAGAGCAAGAAATGGCTTCTATACATTAATGTTGGCTTTGTTCATATCCCACACCCATAACTAAATCCATTGGGGTTCCCTATCCACCCCTCAATGGAAGCCCAGTTTACACTTAATTTAATCCTGAACAAATTTATGGTGAAAAACTACAAGTGACACGACAAAGTGGAACAACTTATGCCCACCAGGAAAATTTCCATATCCACCTTGCTGCCAGTTAAGTGGTTATCATGATTGCAAATAGAGTTAGGAAAGTTGGGAATGTGCTCATAACTTGCGGAACGTCGTCAAAACTATCCCCGAGCAGGCTTAGAGAACAATGTCATTGCCATATGGCCCCCTGAAGGTGAATGTGTGAGCCTGATTATGCAATACATCATGTTTTGGGTGAATTCTCAAGACGCCGGCATTCGGTGCAGAAGAAAGTTGCCTTTCGCACATAATCATCGTGTAGTTTTGATGCCAACCATTAAGGGGGTTCCTGCTAGTGCTGTACAGGGAGCATATAGGGAAAAAAAAGGCTGGCAAATGGAAAGGGGTTGGAGCTTCCTTATCTCCCAGTGCTTTGCTTGATGGCAAAAGTTTACTTCTTGTGGCACACAAATGAAAAGGGAAGGATAAACAGCCAAAAAGCACATTCTCTGCGGGAACAGGATATGAAACAGCAAGAAATTGCGAGAGCGTATATATTGCAGAGGAGGAGAATTGGAGCTGAAACACTTCGAAATGCTAGATAAAATTCTGTGTCTGTGTGTGAAAAGTATTGAATTCATAACAGCGAAGAAACACAATTGAGATTATCCAAGTTAACTTGAAGAGCATTGAAATTTAACTCCCTATCTATACATTTTCAAACACACTTCAACTCTAATAGATCATGTACTTCTCTTTAAGCAAATTCACCGATTTTTTTTCGCCATAGAGATCCATAGATGTGAGCTTATTTAAGGCTTTGCGACGTGAAACACAAAAGCTGAATGTGATTTGAATTTGAATCAAATTGATTGCTCGAAATGCCTCCAATGTTAATGCCGCTTTCTCTTGAGCATTCTCACACACAGAGTCATATTTTTAACCACGAAAAGCTACCCCAAATGAGAACTTGTGGAGCTGTTCTGGGGCCCGAGAAAATGAACGTGACTTTGCGTGTTCTTGAAAAATTTTCAATTTACCACTGTCCTATGGCGTTTGGGGCATGGCGGGGAAAATTCAGTGCCACGAGGCAATATTTAAGACGACTCCGGCGACAGTGTGACTGAGGCCAAGGCGCGGAAAAAGTGAAAGAATTCCTTGTGGGTGACCTTGGGTGTTGCATTGTGGGTGAGGCGGCTGATGGCTGTTTTACACCACTGAAAGTCATGCACCGAAGTTTTATTATGCTAATTAGGTGAACTGGCCAGAAATAATCTATAGTATTACTATTCGTGTGCCTCGCAATGTGTGTTTCTTGTGTGGCACGATTTCATCAAGGAATATCATGCAACTTTCATGCACTCCAACTAAACTCTCTCTCACTATAGTATGCCACATAGTTAGGGGCGGGGGAGGGACAAAGAGAATAACTTTAGTATGCTTTTTGTGATGTGATGGCGAAAAATCCATCGGGACAGCATAGAGTTACTCACCACAGGAGATGAGAAACGGCAGCTGCGATATTTTTATCGCGCCCGGCTAAAAACTTTCATGCGGACTTTCCTCCAGGGAGGGAAAAAAAAGCTCCAAAAGCTCTGGGATGCAGGGAAATGCAGGGGGAAAAAAGTGAACAAAGATGTTGGCTGAATTATTCAGCAATTTGCTCCGCTCTACAATTCATTTAAAATACACTCCACAAGCGTCGGTATATAAGCATATTCCACTTAATTACAAACTTCCTGCCTTCTTGCAATCACGATGGCAAATTTGTGTGGGTCCTGCTTTGGACAGCTCTACCCATGATCGATGTTGATGAATTACATGTAATTTGCATAGAGTGACACGCTGCCGTAATTATTACTTCTTTTTCCCCAGGATTAATCATGGAAATCGTTAAGAAGATTCATCAATCTCCCGCGAAGAGACAGGTGGAATTTCAAACAAAACACCACAAAATACTCAATTTAATATCAAAACGAGGCAAACAAAAGTTTGAGAAAGTGACAAAAAGTCTAATTAAGATTTCAGCACTGTTTGCAATTATATTTTTCCTTTAATCGATATTCTCCACATCGCATTCTATGCATGGCAGAGTGAATTTTCCCCCATTTTTAGTATGCACCCAATTCCTCTCAATTAGTCTCGTTGATTTGATGAGGTGTCGTGTGGCGTCTAACCGCCCAGCAACCTCATTTGACCCACTGTCCAGTAATTAACTTAAAAACAGACGTGCATAAAAATACATAGGTTTTTTTGTGTTACACAAGCCTTGTCAAACCTATGCACTCAATTGCATTGTGTGTGCCTATTTGTCGAACGCCTATCATCATTAACGAGCGCCAAAAAATAAACTCAATTTCCGCAGTTTTTGCAGGATTGTGTGATAAATTTTGTGACCATCCATCCCAAAATGGAGATCAAAGGATAAAATAATAATAATCAAGCGTTATTTTCGCTTATCTCTGCCCAATAGACATTTGCAAATAGTTTTTTTCCAATAATAACTTGATGCATATTGATTGAAGTGCTCGTTGGGAATAATTTTCTAAAATGCAAATGAAATCATTTGGAAGCTGATACTGAAACACAAATATTTATCCCAACACGAAAATATATAATTCGATAGGAGTGTTTTTAATGAAAAAAAAACGAGAGAATGGCTATTTTTATCAATTAAGATATCTGATTTTAGTATGTTGCTCCATTAATTTACAATTTATTTGTGACTCTGGCAATATTTTTTTTTAATTATCTACATAATAACAGCCTCGAAACTAATAACAACTGTGCAATTGTACTAAAATAGATGTTAGATTATAATAATGTATGATTAAAAAGACATGAATAGTTTTAAATTGTTTTTCAGATGAATATAAGTGGTTAAAGTTTCGCTCACTGATTGTAATCAAGATTGCAGTTTTTGTAAAGTAGAATTTACAATTGTGTTAATTGCAATTTTTTCACGTTCACCACAATTTAAGAGAGCAAAACCTATTTGTTCTCCTGCAATTGCTTAACAAAGTTTACCCAGAGAAATTAAACTTCAATATATGGTGCAACTAAAATTGGTTCTTTGTCTGAGCGATGAGATGCAAACACTATCTGCTGTTCAGACCATTAATTACAAATGAGATTTTCGTATCGTGAAATCGGGGGTGCAATGAAACACATCTCTTGAGCGATAATTTCTCAATATATCGACAGTATATCGATTTTGGGCGTATGTACTCAGGGAAGTAATTCCATGGGAAGACATTTACTTTGCACAAGAGAAACTTGTGCAACCCACTAATTCCCTCTGCAAATTCTCCGCCACGGGTAATCGAAGGGGTGATGTGCTTTCAGAGATTAACCATTTCCATTACAGTGATATGCTCGTGCTCTGAGTGTCGATTGTGCATCGCTGTGGTGCCATTTGGGACATTATGTAAATTCCGCGAATTAAACTTTCACACATCGATTGTTATTGCAACGATAAATTACGTGGGAATTACTTGTCTCTGCGATTTTTACTACTTCAGAGCTTTTTTCGGGGGTTGATTTAGAGAGATTCTGTCACATGTGATTCTCCTTCTCAATATATAGTTTGTGGAAAATCATGGAAAAGCGCAGAAAATTGCAGTTCTGTATACATAAAATTAATGGCATTTACATAAAGAGAGCGATGCAAAGTTCTCTCTAACTATAAGAAAGCATTAGATATGAAATTGTACGGTTTTCTCATTCTCAGAAAGTCCTTTTCATCGCATCTTTGTCGCAAGCAGTAACATTTTTCACCACCAATCTGCACAAGAGTGCATATTTATGAGTGCAACTTTACCCATTCGCTACCAACTCCACCACTATATTCTCGTGCACTTAACCATGCACTCTGTCATCTCTTGATGGTGCCTGAAAGGGGTAAAGCTCGCGAGCTTATGTAAAATGCGAAGAGCGAGCATTCAAGTTTTTCCTCGCATGTGTAAAAACGAGTGCCTAATTGTGAATCATGTTTCCCTCCCAAATTGCCACATACCTTCCTGTGAGCTCCAGCGTTGGTTCCAGCTCCGTTCCTTGTGCAAGGATCCGTCCTTGTGCTCTCGCGCACCGACACCCAAAAAAACCACAGACGCAATTGCTCGGTGACACCCCCGGAGACACCTGCCTAAAATCTATCGGTGACAAGGTTGCGCCCTAGTCATAAATCTTGCAGAAACTTCATTGTCTTCTGTAAAATTGCACACTCAGAATTGACTTTCCAACTAAGTCGCTCTGCGGAAATATTCTGAATGAATATATCTGTGTAAATTCACTGCTTCGCAGCTTCACTTGCTCAATCGAAGACTTTCCCAATTTTCCGGGTAATTTACTTTTGGTCTGTGTGAAGAGTGGAAAGTTTATGCAATTCTCCTTCCGGGAATTTAATGAAAGTTTTCAATGAGAAACCGTTCCAGTTGAGCTGCACTCGTGAATCTGCAATGATATAAAGATAAAAAAGGTGACGGCTTTAAAACAAATTATTTTTTATGAAATCACATAAATTTTTGTCAAAAGGAATTATTTAGAGAATTTGAGTAAAAGTGAAACTGTGCAGTAACTGAATTCAGTATTGAATTATCCAGATAAATTGAATTTTTGCATGGCCGCATGGAAAGGAGTGAAAATCAATTATTTGTGTAAAAATATTCAGAGCCATTTGGAAATGGGAGACACCAATGACACCTTCGGAATGTTATCAGGTCCCCAAAGTGCTTAACGACGCAACGAACACGGGTTCACCATTAAATTGTACTCTGGGTGATATTGTAAAGTCTAATCCCATCTGAAGTTGGTTGTTTTTCTTGCTTCGCATGCAAAAAAGCCAATTTTCTAATAAAGTCCATCAACGATGGGGTAATTGGGGGTGGCAGGTTTCGGTGTACACCTCTCAGGAGCCTCGCCACCACGCTCCAAGAGGCACATGCGAATTTTGCCAGGACGTACGCACTTTCAATGCGGAGAGTGCTTTTTGTGCTGTAATTGGATTAAGGAGAGCTTTTTTCATTGCGAAAACACTCAATTTTACACAACAATCAATCAATATTTACTGAGTGCTTGACAGAGAGCCAGAACGAATTTGGGCAACATTTATTCCATCTCTTTCTGGGGGGCGCTGAATATCAATGCGAAAAATATTGCGTGCAGATATTTTTGGCACCGGCGGTGCCACCCATTCGCGAGTCCACGTCCTGTGCAGAAGCAGCCCGAGAGTGAAATATCAACACAAGGGTGTTCTCATCGTGCTCATCAATTTAATGCAGAATTGGACGAAGTGAACAATTAAATGGGAACACGTTCCATATGGCCGAGCAGCCATTGGAATAGTGTCTATTCTGTTCCCCATTTTAAATATATCCCCCGAGTTGTGTATTTGCCAGTGACGCTGACATGTTCGAAAGGACATCATCCTCGTGTCAATGGCATTTACAGGGTGTTCCCATGATGAATGCAAATGTTGCGACATCAGGGAGTGGAATTGGGATCTCCATGAACACGGCTTCACCACCACCACCACCACTTCTCCACCCTCCGCCACTGCAGCAACTCTTGCACTCCATGGAGTGATGAATCATATGAAAAAATCCACCTCATCGTCGCTGAGACAAGGAAATATTCCCGTGAGAGACACAAACTATTTCAATAAATCACCTAAAAGTCAGTATAAAATGTGTGACGGTGAAATGCCATCGCCAAACACTCTCGTTACGTTTGCGAATGGCTGGGAAAAGCTGAAAAGTTCAGGGGGTCAATAACTTGATCCATACTTCTTTTGCGCTATGAATTTCTCACAAATGCAAATGTAATTTTTCTAACAACACAAGTGCTTGAATATTTCATTTTACCACTAAAATATACAGTAAAAGTAATGTCAGAAGCTCAGATTTACAAGTAACGACTCATAGCTTTCTTAAAGCGATTAAAGACTTGCCGGTTACCCTCGAACTGTGTAAAACTGAAGATCAGCGATAAGTCATGGTTAATCTCAGACATAATTCGTGGCTGAACTGGCGCTAAACACACTCAGGAGTTATTTTTCTTTATCGACACTAGCGACAATTTTCCTTCGTGCATTCAGCTGTCAGTTGATTTGTTTATTATCTCAAAATAATAATAAAAAGCGTGAAATTTTACGATAAAATTGCAGAAGAATTTAAGAATTTTAAGATTCCACGAAATCATTCGCAAGACATGCTCCATTTTGTTCATTTTGAGTTGTGAAATGTTTCAGCGAATTATCAGCGCAGAAATATCGGTTGAATCTTTGATATATCGGGGGATTAATCGCGTTTTATGGATCAACCAACTTTCAGTCACACACTCGCTCTCTCGCTGATCCTTCCGTGAATCACCGGCAAGTCTGTAATCGCTCTTATCAACTTACTTCCAATTGATTTCTCAACCACTTCCACGCTATTGATTCAACTGGTTGACTCTGCAGTTCTTCAATCAACATCCCTTGCTCCTTTATTTGTCCGACATCCGGAGTAAAGGCGTGCATCTACACATTTCTCGGAAATTAATCACAAAATGACGTTGTGTAATTCATCCATATCCCCTTGGCAAATATTTGCATTGACTTGCAGAATGTGTGCATGCTTGCTCGCCCCGCGTCTGGACTTTTGGCAGGACGAGAAGCTATTAAAGTTTTACCCCAGTGAATAACTTGGCTTTGCACAAATTCCAAACTCCCACACTCCATGTGACGCCCTGAGGACAAGCTCGGGACTCGGTGGCGACTCCGTGAGTGGATTAGACAATGTTAGTTTTCTGGGAGGAAAAAGCGCTCGCGATTAATCCTGGAGCGAGGGTGGGAAAAATAAATTAAAAGTCGCATTCTGCCAACGAAAGGGTTCTGCAAGCGTGAAGTTCATTGGTACTTGTGGAGTGACGTAATGAGAAAATCCGTGCCAGCACTGGGGTGATTGTGAAAAATGTCTTGCGGGTCTGAGAGCAAGGAAGGAGCCATAAAGGAGTCCTTCTTCCTCATGTATGACAGAGTGCTTCCTTCGCTGCGCCAATGATCGCGTGGTTGATGTAGGGTGGGGCCTCGTGAAAAACATGAAAAGTTGCTGATGAGGCGAGGAAAGCATTAATTAATTGATTTTCTCCGGTTGTGCCGACGTGGAACAATTGGGGATGCTCCCACTCGGTCTGCCAGCGCGAGTGCTGCGCCTTCGAGGCCAGGTTTTCGCAAATAATGAGATTTCATCCGTCGCATGGGAAGTGAATTGCAATATTAGTTGACTCGATTAGAGCCATAATTGAGCCGTCACAGAACATTGACTTGTACCTCAATTATTTCACGTAATTAATTTGCGGACGGGAAAAAAGGGACTTCCAACCGCAATTACCGGATGGAGGATCGTGGCGCTGTTGCTGACGGCATATGCTCATATTTTTTTTTAATTAAATAAATACAACTACATGTTTCAAAAGCGTTTCAACACTCTCAGCAGTCATCGTCGCAAAGACTTGCCATTAGTTTGACCCAATTTTTCACGTGAAATTTATAGTACACGCGCTCGAGGCGATGACTCACTGAAAAATCTCATCTGCTGAATTATGTTCTCAATTCTGTGTCAGTTTTCCTTGGTGTGACTGTAAATTGGGCTAAAACCCATTGTTTTCTCACGTCAGTTTATTTCAGTGGTAAACAACCACCTTGAGGAAGTACTGACTGCACTTTTCGCAATGCCCTCATTCATATTCCCCTGCTTTGCTGGACTATTTTCGTGCAAGACTTTTGCTGAATGGTTGAATGTAAGGAAAATAACACAATTTGCAGCATTCCAGTGAGGTGATAAATAAAAAGGATTCAATGTAGCGCTGAGTTGATGAAATATTTCACAGAGACTGCTTCTGGACAATTGAATGAATGGTTTCTTTGAGATGCAATTTTCCATTTTGCATAATCAAGAATACTGATGTATTTTTGAATAAATCGATGGTTAGTGGGGGAAAATTCTGCTTCCTTCCTCGTGCACAAAGTAACAATAATCATAGAATCGTCTCAATTTCCGACCAGAGTATCATAAAATGTGGCAGACGTAAGTAAATAAAGTGAATATGAGCCATTTCGTAATACTTAAATGCACCCATTGACACACTTTTCACTTGCTCTTCCTCTGGCAATTTTCCCATCTGGGGGTTTTCAAGTTTACCAATTGTTCCACACGAATGCAAAATGGAAAACACGCAAATTGTTTGTGAGTCTCCTCAACATTAGACCAGTCCTTGAGCCTCTGCAATTGATTTATGCTCTCCGTTCTTGACCGTCGCGCGCGGTGCCGAAAGACTTATCTGGCGTGCACATATCAAAATAAAAGTATGTATATAATGCCGACAAGCCGGAAAGAACTCCACTCTGAGTGGCATTAACACCCACTTTGAGATTTCCATTAGATGACTGTTGATGGAGGATTGACTGCTGCTATTTTTGTGTGCCGATTTACTATATAGGAAATCTTCTCAAATCCTGATCCACTTCTGCACACCATCAACTTGTCTATATTTCTCAAATCACTGCATTTTCATGTGTGTGAGAGTTGATTTTCCCAACAATACTTGTTGAGAGAGAGAGAGTGAGAGACACGTTTGAGGAGAAGCCACAAATAAATCTCGGTGAACCTTCTCGTGCTATTTTCATCTTGACCTCGACATTTTTGCCCCTTTTCTCCTCGCAGGCAAAACAGACATAAATTTGAGTTTCACTTTTTTAGGGGTTACATTTTGAGGAATTAACAGTGATTTTTTTTTCGGCCACCTCAACTTTTGCACGGTTCACCGTGAGTCATGGTCGCTATTTATCAAAAATATATTTTTCGTGCCGCGCCACCATCATTCTCGCAATATTTACCATGGCGGCGGCACCAACAAGAGCTGCGCCCGAGAAAAAAAAAACCGCCACACACATAAGAGTGTATGAATAATGATTACAGAAATTGGATAGTGTTCTCCGTGGCAGAAGAAAGAGAGAAGTCAAAATTTCCACACCATTCATATCGATTTTCTCTGAATGCCCAGAGAGAGAGAAATGCTGCTGTACAAGTTTGCCCTCTTCGGGCATATCTTGAAGTGATGCATTTGGAATTTCTTCCACAGACTTAATGTGGAGATTTATATATGTTCCACTTCGGTGAGGAAGCATGTGGTGAAGAATTTCCTGAGAGATAATTTTTCTTGTAACGAGTAATTTTCACTTTCAGAAGAATGTTTTCCGCAATTTTCACATGGTTTTTCACCGGGTGGAAAGGGCTTCGTTTTGTCAGATAAAAGGATACCGAAAAAAACGAAGAGCCTGCAAAGGGTGCTTTTCGTATTCCCAAATAAAAATTTTATGAAAATTATATTGCCTTTTAACTGATGGTTTTGCATATTTAATATAGGGAAAATCCGAGTAATCTTTATTCCATCTGCAAGCAATTTTCGTATTT